AATATCACCCTTGCCGGCCCAAGTTGGACCACATAGTTCATTACAACTGATGTCCAGGGTATGAACTTCTGCGATAGCGAACAACATTACAACAATGTTTGTTTCATAATTTTAGTTTTACCAGATGGAGGAAGCTGAAATTTTGTTTACATACATGTATTCCTTGTGTCCAAAATTACAAAGATGCTCGGTTTAGAAAAAGTAAATATCTCCTTGGGAGACATGTTTACAGAAAATAAATCGCAGATCCATGATTTCGTCGTTAACATCCTAGGTACAAACATGTCGTGTGAAGACTTATCACGTGCCAGCGCGCACGCCCCACATAGCAATATAGCTTACGTGTTGCATACACGCCCGGAAGTCTTCACACAATGGTGGCTGAGCGCATGTGTACTGCTGTATTGTAACAAGTGGTCCCATAGGACTGTTGTATATTTGGCCAATCATTGACTTACATGATGCCGGATCAGTGCTGGTTTAATAAGGAGCCATTTATTCGCTTGTAAAGCTAGTCTTTATATCACATGTTAATACACCCCCACATGATCGAGTCTCGACCAATCAGAAGCTATCAACTCTCCAAGGCATTTATTAATGGTTGATTAAAACTAATCGGATATTTGTACATGTGAACATAATATATGATTTTTAAAAACAATTATACCAAAACATAATATTACTAAAAACCAAATATTAAAATACTTACATTTAAAATAAAAATATTTTAAAAATATGTAGGCCTACTTTAAAGTCTTTTTTTTTAAGAACCACAAGTTCAATTCAGTTAATTTATACTGGTATTTGGCCTGTATACAGATACAAAGAAGATTTATCTCCTTAAAATGATGTTGCATTCGGGTGACGTGATTATCGGTTTAAATAGTGTCTTTCAATTCAAAATGTTTTCCAGGCCACATACATTATATTATGAACCCAGTATGTCCAGGAGTTGGTGCCCTCATGCATCCATGCCATGAGAACTTGACTACCGAACCGTCTCACTAATTTGTGCACCAACAGTTTATTTGCCAAAAATTGTGCTCGAAAAAAATCATGAAATATGCTCTTTGTTGTCAACATCATAATATAGTGTGCTTTGATAATATCCTACTGTTGGCTCTCAGGTATGTGAAAAACATCATATTTAGGTTTTTTTTTTAAATATTATTCATAAGATGGAATTTGCATTGGGTGATGTAATGAAATCAATATTGACGTCAGGCGCGGATCCAGGATTTTTTTTAGATGGGGGCACAACTTTGGAGAATTTGCTCCGAGAAGTAATACGAGCGCGGAGCCCCTGAACATTTTGGATTCTAGATAATCGAAGTGACCATTTTGCCAGGTATGACTGTTTGATAGGCTATAAATAATTATTGAGGAACATAAAAGCTTGTTTATTATGAAATCAGAAAAATATACATAATGTACAGCAGACGACAAAACTAAATCATATGAAATCATGAAATTTCATGTTTCAATATTATTTCTTGTAATATCTTGTGTCGATAGTCATAATCTGGTTTCAAGGCAAAAAGGTTTTGGAAGATTTCCATTCCTTCTCTAACCCTATACGATTACAGACGTGCCATGAATTCACTGCGGAAGGGGTGGGGGGGGGGAGATAAAACAAGTAAACAATATGGAAAGGCAATAAGGTCAAATTCCGTGATCATACTGGTAGGAACATCACTTACATATTGCAAAACCAATTGTCAACAGAGCCACCAGAAAGCCACCAATTCCTCCAACCGTCCCAGCGATCTTGCAAATATCATCCCAGTCATATCCACCGCTTCCAGTTGCAGACGGCGTATTTGTAGTCGTGCCGCTGCCAAACTCTGCCATTTCAACGACAGTTAAACATTATTTACATTCAGTTTACATTTCCAATGTGAATAAATCAAAACGTTGATTCAAAGTTTACTTTTTCTCTCCTGCGGAACGACTTTTACCAAATTGAATGGTTGCATTTGGGCATGTTTTAAACGACTGCTATCACCTGGGCAACTGCAAAATATCAAAACTGTTAGAAACAAAAATGTCAGTTTTTGTACAGATTATTGATCATACTTGGAACAAACAAATCTAGTGTCAATCAATACTTTAAAGAGGCTTGCAATGAAAAAACAAGCAATTTGTGCACTTGTACCTATTCCAACATAATCAGAAACACAGAAACATTTTTGTGTATACAACAATTGCAATGATTGGTCCTGGATGAGCAAACATGACCGTCCTCTGACAAAAAAATGCATCATTTGGCAATGCAACATTCTACATGTATATATTACAAGCTGATTTACCCGATCATAGATCGGGTAGGGCGAAGTGTTGGGGATGAACATTTGGGGAGTTAAATGTAAATGGGGATCATAGTTAAGGAGACATGCAGTTATAGAAAAGCAATTTCTGTGGTGTGATGCGAGGCAATTTCTGACCACTAAAACCAATTTTAGCAAAAGATCATCTTTTAAAGTTTTGAGTTTGGAGTAATTGAATCAGCTACATGTATTCTGAGCAATAGAATCATTGTTGTAGGCTACAATTTTTATTCGGGGAAGAAAAAGTGTGGGGGGGGGGAACCAAACAATGTCCCCGCTTTAAAATGGGGAGGGGGGGGGGTTCCCCCTGTCCCCCGTCGTTTTACGCACATGATAATTATGTACCATGGCAACTGTCTGTAAATGTTCCCGTTGGTCTGTTAAATTGGCATTTTGTGAGGCAGTCGCATTTGGAAAACGCAGTGAAAAGGTTGCCGTAGTACACAGGCGAAGGCTGATTGTACAGTTTCGACAATAAATCATAATGCAATAAAACGTAAAGGTGTCATTTGAAATGAAAATGTTGAGTGTTACCATAAAATTACAAACGGTCTGAATCATGGACGAAGGTCATAATTAAGTTTCAGTATTGGACTCTTCAACAAACGTAAACTTGAACTTCTTACAATTTGCGAGACCGTCTGCGAGGAAAAAGTCGATTTAACTTTTATTGAAGTTGGTTCAACCATCTATATAAGAGCAAGTTTTACTCGGCCTCCGAGAAATGTTTGCTCCTGAAAGGATCCGAGACCGCGGTCTCCCTCGACACCAAAATGGCTCCACGTCCGTGGAAAAATGTGGGTGTCTTCCGCCGGGTCGGACACTTTTTCGTCGATTTTTTTGTGAATGCATCGATCCTTCGTTGACCCCAAACAGGCCCCCGAAATTATAACACGACACTGAATTATACGTGGCGGGCAGCGAACTCACAACGCTCAGCCTTGGTGGTGGAAGCATGGAGCTGTAAACACATTATGGAAGCAACAGCACTCTATCACGCGACGTCACATGCTTGTGCTTCAAATAGCGAGCACCGTAGACTCAACCTCGATTCCAGGGTGTGGAGCAGGCTGCAGTACGCGTTGCCAGTGACGGTTTTACGCATAGCCGGGAAGTACCACGCAGTGTAGACTTTCGATTGGTCAGACCGCGCTAGGCATACTAATGTGTAGTCCTTCTGAGTATTCGTTGCACTCGGCACAGGGGCGGCAAGCGAAGCATATGAAAGAATAGGGACACTTGGTGGCCACGCACCATGGACAAAAAATATTTTACCAAGGTCACCCCATACTAACGTTTGGTGAACTCTTTTGCAAAACGGCCGAGTAGAACACGTAAACGCAACCCCTACGTTGACCTCGCTGACCTCGCACAGTCTAGACACGCAGAAAAAGCCAGCACAGGGGGCGGCCAGGCAGTCAACGTGAAAGCGCACACGACGGCAAATTCCTGCGCAAAACGCAGTCACGAAAAATCGACTAAACGGATCGCCGGTCCGTACGGGAAAATCAGGACAACCCAAAGCGTCCGACCCGGCGGAAGACACCCTCCGCATTTTTCCACGGACGTGGAGCGATTTTGGCGCCGCGGGAGCCCGCGGTCTCGGATCCTTTCATGAGCAAACATCGTCTCGGAGGCCGAGTTAAACTCTCTCTTATATATATAGATACATGAATTGTTTGACAGTATGAACACTGGTTTAGTAACTCTCAATATGCACATAGGCCTATAGTTGAATAGTAAACAAAATCCACGTTATACTGTCCTTACACAACTGCACCACTTTAAAGGTATATTACATAAACAGTCAAGGTTAAAGATCTATACAAAAGTTAGCAAACTGGAATCATAATTTTTGTCATTTTATGCATGTAATTTACATAAATTTACACAAATGATTTGATAAAGAATGAAGCACAAACACTCAAAAGAAACGTCTGTTTGAAAGGCGTGAAGTTGCGAGAATTTTCTGAATTTGTACATAAGGCAAACGCAAAACAATTCAAAAGTACCCAAGGTTTGGGGTATTATTCTGTATACTAAGTTTTGCACAGCACTGGTTTATGGAAGGGTGTCGTGCAGCCATTTGCGTGTGGTCACATTAGTTTGTTTGAATGCCATATTACTACATTGATCGGATAACAGGGTAGGAGGAGGCCTTTGTCACAAAAGTTGAAGACATCTCACACAACTTTCACCTAAGATGATGCGATACAAGTTTTTTTCTCAAAAGAAATGGAAAGGAGAGGTGGATTCTCCTGTTTAATTGACGATTAGATTGTAGATTTATAATAGTACTCAGAGGTCACCCAAGATACAAGGTCAATTTAATATCACTTTCAAGTGACACCCAGAATGCTTAGTACAGTGCTATTATGTTTAAAGATTTCAATGAATCATTTTGTACAGGAATTGTTGATTGACTTTTCACATTGACTGATTGATTGATTGATAGATTGAATTTTTTTTGGGGGGGGGGGGGTTCAGTTGAATGAAGAACTATGCTGGGTATATTTGTATTCATGATATAAGAGAATTCCGAACACATGTATTTGTATTGAAACCTTTTTGTTGACTTTTCTATTCATTATCGAGCCCCTATTGTCCTCTGAAAATGTAGTTTTTATTGTTATTGATTGTTAGTTGTTGTTGTTTTTTTTTGGGGGGGGGGGGTTTGGGGGGGGGGAGGGGGTTGCAGAGCATTGATTTTACATAACATGACCCATAATACGAGCTACTTGTTTCAATTGAATGTGTCTCGTGAGCGTGGTGCATTCATAGGGAACAGGGTGAGAGTTATGACTTGGTGGGAGATTATTTAGACTCGGAAATCTCCCTTTGCTGTTTCCTTCAGGTGAGAGAGGTCTTGACTGACAACTTGTCTGACGAGCTCAGCATCGAGGCCGATGTTACAAAGTGACAACACACGTAACTCAAGGAGACCTTGGAGATGACGGGTGAGAGCCCTCACTGCATCCAAACTGAATGCATTGTCATCAAGGTCAAGCACTACTAAACCATGCCCAGCAGGAAAGATGCTGATCAGGTCCTTCACGTCATCATCTACCAACCTGCATGCACGGAGCTGCAAGACTGTAAAGGATGACAGGATGTGGCTGACATCTCCCATCCGTGCATGCAGGTCGGTGCCACACAGTGAGAGATGCCCCAACCTGCATCCTTCCAGTGCCTTCAATAAATCAACAACCTCATCCAGTGATCGTTGGAACATACCCAAACCAAGCCCGCCTATTTGTTCCTGCATGCGGAAAAAGCTGTGTGATACACGCCCCACATCAAACCATGACTTTGCCCCAATGTATAATTGAGCATGGTGCTGTTCATCCACCACACCAAGTGTTTCCTCAAGGAGGCTAAGCTCCTCCTCCTCCTGCTCAGACAAGTAGTAGTTAACCGATATCAGCCCAGCTGACTCCATGCTGTCACTCAGAAGAATTCCCTTGAGAAGGGTAAGCTCCAGCTTTCTTACATGCATGTAAAAATATGTACCTTCAAGTGGTGGAGTGACATGCTGTGAAAAGTAGCTCAGTGATTTCAGGTCTTCGTTACTCTTGCACTTTACCAAAGTTGGTCTGACTAGTTTGGTAGCCAACTCTTCTGAACCAGACTCCCACAACAGTAACCGAGCCAATCTCTGCAGTTCCTCCTCATCACCTTGCATCTCTCGTATGTGATCCAGAATGAGACCAGCAGCCTGCCTTGATCTACTGCAACAAGTTCTCAGCAGGTATTCCATTTCAAAAACATTGCCTTCTCCAATCTGCTTCAACTGATGACGGAATTTGTTTTCGAAATCTAGTAATTTCAGCAGGTTATCTGCTGTACCCGGCCCCTGGAGTCCGGTGATTTCTAAAAGAAATCATAACATTAGTAAGAGTAAACTATTTATTAAGTATACATGAACATGATTCATAAAAATTCTCTCAAGCTGCAATTCATCAAAAACGAACAATTTGCATGTCCATTTTTGGACATTTTTCTACTGAAAAGGGTTTTCTGTTCGAATCAAGGCCCCATTATTTGGTCAATTGGTCAATAAAAAAAATTGAGAAAGCTTTGCTCATTGGCTTTTACTGCCATTTACTGACACAACGAAGCCAAAGAAAATGTACAACCGGAAAAATGTCAAAAAATTCTAGCAATTTGTCATGCTGAAATAACTGTAATATTGAGGTTTCTGACCAGAACAACATCCCAGTTTTGCTAAAGAATATGGAAATTTGGATTACCATAAACACACAAAAAGCACCAAAATAACCCTGAAAATAGCCAAAAAGAATTTGAAGTTAAATGGGACACAAAGGTGCATTTTCAAGAATTGCATTAAAACAATCCCTGAGATCACAAAACAGTGAAATCTCAATAATCAGTCAAACTCTGATAACTCAAAACAACTGTTAAGTCAAACAAAGAATCCATATCCAAAGCCTTGGTCAAGGCGCTAAATGTTATTCATCCCGGCCGTGGCGCGTAAAAGATATCCTCGCTAGGGCCATGCATTATGATTTGCATAAAAATAGTGGCCGCGTGAGGTCGCTGTTCGCGCTGTATTTTTAATGCACTGTACTGCATGCATAGCGCATAGACATTATGACTGCATGCATTACCGCGCTACGGCCGGATAAAAAACACAACTAGCGCCTTGACCAAGGCTACCATATCCATTGCCTTCATTAGTATAACAATGATATACAACCCTGCTTAACTTAAAACTCTGCTAAGTCAAATTTTTAAACTGTTCCTTTGAAGTTTGACTTGTCAAGATTTCACTATATTGATCAACGTAGCTGCACAAGGTTGACATTGCGCGCAACAGCCAGTCTCTATTTACTCTATGATGAAGTCCACGCAGAAATTTTGATCACACCACAAACGGGGTGATGAAAGGACGAACTGCTGCTGGCGGTACATCACACAGCAGAAAGCAAACCTTTGATAATACTGTACTGTGCAGTGTTGCAAGGTCACTTTCAAGTCTTGTGTGTTATCACGAACAGGGTGTGGACCCACTTATCAGTCCTCATTGTCTGTAAATTCCTGGGCATATTTAAGGATGCATAGCAACCTACCTTTCTCAACACCACACCCCCCCCCACCCAACCCCTAAAAAGAGGGCAAAGCAAGCTGAACAATACCAATTACGACCAGACCAAGATTTGTTTATCGAAGACTTGATTCTACAGTGAAACGTAAGCTAAGTAAGTTGTGTATGAAATGAGTTAACACACATTTGTCTTTGAATATAGTAATGGAAATTATTTTTAAAGCCATTATTTTTTTCCAATCTCCTTTCAAACTTTGCTGGTTTATAACAAAGAAATTGTGAACATTGAACAGAAAGTTATTCATGTTAATGTGGGCATCTGGGGATTTCCTTTGATCTTGATTTGCATATTTCATTTTGACCCACACGTGCTGAATTACAAAGCATTTTCTCGACCACACTTGTCAGTAGGAAGTCACTTACATTGTATACATTTGTATACATTGCACTTGCAAAGTCTGCGCGTTTTCGGAGACAGTTCCCGGACACAATTTCCATGTTTGACTCCTGCAGGTCAGAAGCAAGGCCTATATGCCGTGATAGGGCAAAATCACTGAAACTTGGTGGGCCCGATTGTCATCTGAAATTTTTAAAGTCCTATATATCTGGAGAACTACAACAGCTAAGTCATGGAACTAATGTTCAACACATATTCTAAAACCGTAAACCACCCTCCCCCTGCCCCCCCCCCCAAATACATTAACAATTGATTTAAGATATCAAACTACTTCACTACTTCATTGCATCAAACAAGATTATATTTACCGCGTTCCTCCGACGGCTTGTTGTAAGTGATATGAACTGCACTTGGACCAACAATGACAGGGTTGTGGCTACCGCTGATCGTGCCGGTGTTTCCTATGCTGGCTCCACTTATTTGTGGGTAATCTACAATCAAAAGCAAGAATTACAATATCTATTATAAGATTTAAATGGATAATGTGGACATTTTTAAAAACAAGTAATTTTTTATTTTGATTTATTTTTTCTCTAAAAAATTATTTCAATTTAATATGTTTCATGTTAATATGATTTTCCTTACTGCAAATAAATATAACTTTCTTAATTGACTCATTTGCAGATACAATGAATACATACAAAACAAGACTCAGGCAGACAGTCAGCAGCATACCATCACCAGTTTTATTACACTTGGTGCACATAGCAGCATTTTTTTTTTTTAAATGAGGTCTCGGTCTCGGTCTTGGACTATGAGGTCTCGGTCTCGGTCTCGGATGGGGAAGTCTCGGTCTTAGTCTCGGTCTCGGACTATGAGGTCTCGGTCTCGGACTTTGAGGTCTTGACTCCAACACTGATACTCAATTATCTAAAAACACGTTAAAATTGTGCAGCAGCAGGATGCCAGTCAAACCAGTGAGTTTGGCAGTTTTGAGACATAATCTTACATTGAAAAATAACTTTTTAATTTTGCCATCGCGCATGGCTACGCACAGACCAGAAATCTGAGACTTTTTGTTTTGGCCTTAAGTTAAAAGAGATATTTGTTTCAGGTGGTAAGAAATCTTTACACATATTATAGGATTAAATTGACAGGGCAAAATCACTTCAACTTGGTGGGTAGGTAGATACTGTTACTAAGATGCATACAGAAGTCATCATGATGACGTCATTGACCTGATTGATTTTTAAACCTTTTACATTTCTTCTACTACCAACATTTGACATAAATTGCAATCAGATCGTCTTTAAACTATGCATAGACAAAGAACCCAACCCTAGACAAGTGATGTCATGATGACGTCATCAATGGTCCTATGACGTCACCTTAAAGATTAATGGATTCTAAATGATAAGTCCAGTTAGAAATGAGATTTTTGTGTCTAACTTCGGTAGGGGGTTGCCCTTGGGTACAGGCAAGTTGGGATTAGTTTTGGGATCAAAGGTCAAAGTCACCATGGTGAGTTTAAGGTCAATGGTTTCTGGATGATAACTTGACTCCGGCTGAGAGGTTTCAACAGCAACGCTGTTATTTTTCTTTGATATTTCAATTTCCATTATTATATTTTTTTCGTTTTGAAATACCAAATATCTCCTTACCTTTACGTTGACTGCGACGTTTCTCAATGTATTGATCTGCAATAACAACACAAAAGTGTCATTACTTTTCAAGGACCTCATATTTCAGGGAAACAATTTTCGTTAAAGGCACAACCACTGTCGTAGTCTTGGTTTCAAGACGTCCTTAGTGGTGCAATTAATACTGCATGCACGCACGGGTTATTGGACTGTGCAGCGATTCACAGAAGTGGGCGCTACGCAAATACTAACAAGCCATGTCAGGTTTGTGGTGATGTGCGGTGCAAAGGCTGTACTGTCTCAGTATCCTGAATTAAGAACGTCTTACTCCAAAACTACCACTGTCTGTGAACTTCTACACTCTCTAATAATCAAAGTGACCATTTTGCAAGGTATGACTGTTTGATAGGCTATAAATAATTATTGAGGAACATAAAAGCTCGGTTTTATTAAGAAAATCAGAAAAAAAATACATAAGGCTAAAAAAAATAATAATCAGTCTCTGGTCAGACTGAAGTTCCGGAATTGATGCGGCAACACATTTTTTTTTTTTTTGGTGGCTTTTTTTTTTTTCAAGCTTGTATTGTACAGACAAGGTGGGTACTATTTTGTTTTTTTGTGTCCTCATTATAAATTGGTGTCCTCCATCATTTGCCTTGGTGCCCTTTATCATTTGCCTTGGTGCAATTTCCCCATTCCTTCATGGTGCTCCTTGGTACAAAAATGTCAGGAAGTGCGGCAATAGAGGGCGCTGTTGTAGCTTCCGTGTTAATTTGAAAAAAAAAAAAGGTTGACGCGCATGATTAAAATCGACGCACGTGCTGACCAGAGACCGAGTATCTTTTTTTTTGCCTAATGTACAGCAGACGACAAAACTAAATCACATGAAATCATGAAATTTCATGTTTCAATATTATTTCTTGCAATATCTTGTGTTGATATTCATAATCTGGTTTCAAGGCAAAAAGGTTTTGGAAGATTTCCATTCCTTCTCTAATCCTATACAATTACAGACATTCTATGTATTCACTGCGGAAGGGGTGGGGGAGGATAAAACAAGTACACAATATGGAAAGGCTGTAATGTCCAATTCTGTGGACATACCAGTAGGAACTTCACTTACATATTACAAAACCAATTGTCAACAGTGCCACCAGAAAGCCGCCAATTCCTCCAACCATTCCAGCGATTTTGTAAATATCATCCAGATCATATCCACCACTTCCAGTTGCAGACAGCGTATTTGTAGTCGTGTCGCTGCCAAACTCTGCCATTTCTGTTCTTGTCAACAACCTTTTAAAAATAAAGTCACAAGCTAAAATTGTAAGTGAGCTACATGCCAGATAGCGAGGTGTTTGTTATCTAGACACTACAATGTTATGAATGGATTTTTTTAATCCAAGGGCAGATCCGCGGAAGTGATTGGTGTCTCTCACTACCCTGAAATTAAAATGCTAATTCTTTACGTGATGGAAAAAGTCTTCATTTTTGGTTTACATTTTTCTCTGCATAATTGTCATCACTCAATATTGCAAATCCTGAATTCACTGATGCAGAGAGGTCCTTGATATTACTATGAGGTGACTGCAGTAATGACCCATCCTCTCCTCTGGAAAATCTACCACTGAAACTACAAACTCAATGAGACTTTTATCGGATGATCAGGTTGTTTAAGGTATATTATTTGCAGCTATCCAAAAAGTAACTGATGATATTATTGTTGAAAAGCACACTTGATTTAAAGATAGTAATGACACTAAACTCCCTGTGAATTGTTTTCTTCTGACATGCTGTCATTTTAAAGAAAGTAAAAAAAGAATGTCATATCCAAAGATGCATTTAAAGACTACTTTCCGATAGTAGTTCGTTTTTAATTCATTGAAGGCATGAATGGGCCCTATATCTAGAGAACCGTACAGTTAGCACTGAAACTTTGTAGTGTATGTCTATAGATGGGAATGCGTTATCGATGAAAATCAAGATGACGTTATGGTGCTGTCATTACGTGATTTTATATAGATTTCAGACATTTTGATGATTATCGCCATATCTCACCAACACAACATGCCAAATTAAAAATTCTTTTGTAATTTTTTAGTTAGGTCATAGATATGAAAAAACGTGTGATGCCATCATGAAAATGTGAATATTTAAAACAAACATCCGGGTAGGTCCGGTCATCATGAAACTTGGTGGAAGGCAGATAATAGTATGCAAAATGTGAAATGACGTGAAGATGACGTCATAAACTGATTTTAATAAATGTGAAACTTTTCTTTGTGGGTAATAGCAAAACTTTAAAGTATGAATCTAATACAAGAACATATCAATTACATGATTAGGCATTGCCATCACTTCACACTTTGCAATAAAGCAAAGTGTTATTCCTACGCTTGTAAGCTAGCCTTAACCTCATCCAAAGTAACTGACAATTTTCTTACCCCGTTTAAGTTCCCAGTCAAATCACTTGAAGACAAAGTTTTTCTACTTTGATGTAAAGCGCACAAGCAGTTGAGGCTTTTGACGGGGCTGATCTGGTAAAGATGGCGCTGGACAAACACAGCATCGTCATTAAGTCGCGTGACATGGTTTATATTTAGAGCTTGGGATTTTTGTTTTGCTGCATACATGTACGTCACACGTACCGGTACAGTCTGTTTATCTGTTTATCTGTGTACATACAGTATTTACTTGACACTTGAGTTTTAATTTGGACCTTAGAGACAGGTAGCTCCATGCACTGATTCTATCTACAGGCGTACTTTGTTAGATTTCAATCGCACACACCTCAGCATCTGTGTACATACCGGTATTTATTTCACACTTGAGTTTTGGACCTTAGATACCGTAGGTTCATGCATTCTATCTACATGTACAAAATGCACTTAGTTAAATTTCAATGGCATACACCTCAGCATCCATTTAATTCCACTAATGTTTTTTAACCCTCAAATAAATGCCCTATAATATTGTAAAAATCTTGCTTGAACCCTACAAATGATTGCAGTTTCTAGGGTTCACCATAAATTCAAATGAAATGGAAGTCCGGCTTCCTATTTTGAAGTTATTGTGAACCAGTTGTGAAGTTATGTCGTTCTTAGTTTAATACCCAAACATTGCCGACTGTGCAGTTTGTCACTCAAGTAATTTGGAAACTGGTTCCTTGCTTTCCAGGAGAACAATCGGGCCCCTGTTTTACAAGAACCTTGAAATCAGTATTAGATGCAGCACTTAACCTGTCGTTCGATTTTTATGTTTTTGGTAATAAAAGATGCGCATGGCTCAAGGCTAAAAAGTCATAAAAGCTTGGGTCACAAAAACATTTTTTTTCAAGGCTATCGCGGAAAAAGTTGAGGGGGGGCGGATCCTGCCCCCCCCCCCCCACCCTTTTAGGGTTAAGGAAAACGGAAGCATTTTCACACAAAAATGTCATTGATAAAGAAGCAAGAATTGAATTGCAGTGGTGGGTTTCCAGTTTGCCCGCTGCGTCTCGTTCTATTTTGCCTCAAGTGAGCAACTTGCAAATAGAAATGGATGCATCCAATAGTGCATGGGGAGCCTAATGCCTCGCAATTAATCTTAAAACTAATGGAAGATGGACTGCAAATGAAACCAAATTTCATATCAATTACTGTACCTTGAGCTGTTTTCTAGTATGGCCTTTGTTCATTTGTATCGCATGTTGAAGGTAAACCCATATATCCGTATCAATGGATAAGACCACTTCAGTAGCGTGTATATAAATCATATGGATGGATGCCATTCATTGGAACTAAATCAGTTGACTAAGAGAATATGGCTGTGGTGTGTAGTGGTTAATTTCACATCATATTCCAAGTGTCCATAACACCATGGCTGATTCCTTATCACAGTCATTTAATGACAATCTTGAGAGGCAACTCAACCCTCATGTGTTTTGCCACATTATGTCGTTTTGAGATTTTAAACCGACCATAGATATGTTTGCTTCTCAGTAGAATAAACTGCCAAATCAAATCTTTCGTATCTTAGCTGCCAGATCCACAGGCAGGAACTTGCGATGCCTTTTCAGTGCCATGGGAAAATGAACTAATTGATTGTTTTCCGCCATTTTCTCTAATGGACAGAGTCTTACAGAAGATAGAAATGGCCAGGAGTGCTCATCCTCCCCTTCTGGAAAACACAGCATTGGTTTCCACGGCTACTACGTCTATTGACAACAGAGCCAGTTGGACTGACCAAGACCAAGACACGCCTGCGTCTACCTCACGACCCACAGCGTCAACATCCACTAGCAACCAGCCTAGAGCTGTGTGGGGCACACTTGTCAGGAATTCTCTCATTGAGAAAGGACTATCAGAGGAAACAATCGAGATTGCCATACAGTCATGGAGAATCAGAACACGTAAACCGAACAGTTCAGCATTATGCAATAATTCCTGGATCCACCCCTGCTGCGTTACCAATAACAAGTGCGAGTGCAAACTCTGGCAACAAATGTGACCACACATTTGGTCAATTTTGACATTTCCTCTTTCTAGACACTGTCCAACCGCTATACAAAATACCACGTGACTTTAACATTACTGCACATACTTTGCCTCCATTTCCAAACTTTTTTTATAAACATCTTTCCAAATTGTCACAAACAATTTTCGTTAAGTATTTTATTTGCCTTTTTATTTCAATTTGGTAGTTAATTTTTTTATGGGAAACTGAGGGGGCTTATTTCGATCAATTTTCAGGGACAAACATAATGCAAAATTAACATGCATGCACAAAGATTGAAACAAAACCGGTGTTCCGAAAACTTTTGGCAAGAGTGCATTTTATGACCACGGCATGGCATTTGGTCAATTAGTCAATTTTTTTGGGTCAAATATTTTTGGTCAATTTTCGGGGACAGACCGACCGAAAGACAGACAGACAGACAGACAGACAGACTGACCAACCACCAAGTGACATGTAGAAGCTCCTGCCAGAGCTTAAAAACTTATTAGCAAACCAACAGAATGTTAATTTGTTGACCTCTTTTTTGTAGTTTATAGTCATTTCATGGCAAGGGATTTTCTGTGAGAAAATCCACCCTACACAATGCAGGGTTTTCAAATTTGCCATGTTCTTTTCTTATAACGTGGGTTACCGAAAAAAAAGTAATTAGCAAGTAAAAGTATGACAGACTGACAAATAAACCCAAGGAAAGTTAAAAACAAAGTAATTTTTCTACCTACCAACCTGGATAACTGTTAGGATGTTACCGTAAACACACACATATTTTCAGCCTAAGTGAACCTACCATGATACGGGTCTTGACACACATCCATGGCTTGGCCGGTGTCAATTCTTGCTGTCCTCTTTGGAGGTTTGTGGCCATGAACTTCCTGTATGCATCTTCATCGGTCTCTGCAAGCTCATCCAGCATTGACCAAAAGCACTGTGCCTGCTTCATCAGGTCATGTTGGACGCCTGTCGCCATAGTTTACTGAAATTGGAAAAGAAAGGAGGGCAATTTTGAAAATGGCGTCTGCGCAATATTCGCAACGCAGCCCTCACCGATAAACGGTAAATTTCACTTCTAATCCAGATTGTAAGTAAAGCTTAGTATCTCGATCTTAAAATCATAAATCTGTAATTGTATCTCAGGTGGCGTATGTAGTAATTCTGAGACTATTTTGAGGGTGAAATTTGATGTTTTGTTAGTAAATGTTTGGTTGTCAATTATTTGAAACGCCATGTAAGTACTATTGCCAGATCATGTCCAAATGTTGAAAATAATGGAGGGGCTACTGTTGCGGCAATTGCTATCGTTACAGCATTGTCTGGCTCCCTGACCTAATAGTAAATGTCATTCGCACAAATGCATGTGCACACATCACATGACAAGGATTAGGGTCTGTGGATGGACAGTTCACCATACGCATGCAAAATCATAAAAGAAAGTTCTTGTTTTGAAGTAGATGCAAAATGTTGATTGTTTAACAGCACCATGGTTTAAGATGGTTTGTATTGATCATGTGTATGCTGCAACTGTCCAAACAAAATTGTCCCTCTTCTTTTTTACTGCAATAGCTAGGAAAGAATTCCATACATAGACATCACTAATATTTCCGATAAAATGCCCTAAAAAGTCTAATTTTGCAGGTAAAATATTGAAGCATTTACAGAGAAAACACTTGGAATTTTTCAGACCAGTCTCATAGGGTTTGTGCACAGGGTGTCAAGTGATGTCCAGGTGGGGTATGGAAGTCTTTCTGCTTTGTTTATCCACAGACCATTGTTGTCATGTGATGTGCACACGCGCAGTTGTAACTCCGATGGGGCTTACATTGTGTACTGAGACTTGGGTTATCATTATCTTCAGGACACCTCTATTTTTTACGAGTTCCGTTCAAAACTGACTTGTGCATTCACTGTTCAGTACCAAAGTGACTTTAGCAGGCTAGTCTTTTTCTTCAGATTAAGTCATGTTTGTTTGTTGTAATTTTGAAACGCACTTCCAAAGAAAATGTGACTTTCCTATCTTTTTTTTGCAATCGGAGACGATGTGCAACACACGAGCAAGCCAGACAGAATGAAAGCCCGATATTAATAAATAACAACAATAAAAAAATTAAAATGTTATCCGCCATTCGCCAATCAGCTTGATCAGCATTGAGCCTTCAATGCATCAAGCTTTCAATTTCAGTTGCCATCTTGGTTTTTGAACCTGTTTTCTGGGAGTAATTGCAGAATACCCCGCCACTCGGAAATACACCCCTAAAATCTCTGGCTACGCGGTTGGAATCACGGAAAAGAAACAATTCATTGCCAGCTACGCAGATATGGAGTGGGGGTCTATTATTTGAGAACGAAGCAACACAAAAGGAATGGGAGTTGCTGAAAAAATTCTCCAAGTCCAAACCAACTACCCTGTTGCCGGCTACGCGGATACGGAGTGGGAGTGCAGTGAAGCATGATGCATACTGGGCATAGTACATACAATTAGCGCTGAGAAGGTTTATTGAGGGCAATCAACCGTTATCGTGTCCATGACTCCATAGCCCGCTACGATGTGGATAGATTAAGTGGCGGGGTATTCTGCAATTGTGCCGTTTTCTGGTTGTTGTCATCCACTTTTACCCCATAATTTCCCTCATACATCAAAGATATGCCCTCTTTCCACAAAATACTAAACAAAAGGAAAGAATGCAGTATTTAGCGTTTGTGTACAAAGTCTATGGAAATTCAAGAAGATTCTCAAAGTGTTTTTTAACCAAATTGGAAATGATTCTCAGTCCCAGATTCATGTCTTTTTAAAAATATTTGGTTTACAATGACTGACCTTTATTGAGATGATATATGAAGACAATGTGGCGTCAGGTTTCAACGTTCTTTCCCAAAACGTTCCCTTTCTTGCTGAACTTCAGGAGTTCCATATGTAACTTTCATGACTTTTGTTTACGATCGACCAGGTTGACAGGCGCCCTCTCTGGTTCTAGTTGGATGTAGAAATCTTACATTCTGAGGGCGCCCTTCTCAATTAAGGGGGGGGGGAGGGGGAGATTAAAGTAAACCGTTTGGCACATAAATTTGTCTCCGTGCGAGACAACAATTTTGTCAGGCGCGCCCTTTTTCAGCAGAAACCCCTTACTAGTTGACAAAAGTGTGAAGGTGAAATGTATGGGGTAATGCCCTGGTAAACTTAGCGAAACAAACGACTTTCAATAAAGGAAACGGGTACATATTTCTTAAGAGGATTGTGTTGCTTATATCAAAAATAATTCGGATTGCATTTTTCCGAATAAAAATTTAACAGTATTCGGTCATATTATTTGTATCGTTCGACGCTTTCTCATGAACACACTATTCATTATAAACAGCTACCCTCAAATTCCAATAGGCTTGTGTCACAAGGGCATTTCATTTCAACGGGTAACATAAAAAAAATATTTTAATACACATATAGAGCAGAAGAGTGGTGTCAGCGCGAACACTAAATCAATCCGAATTCAAACACAACACACTGGTTGAGGCAGGATAATTCCACAAGTGCCACGTGTGATGAACTCATTGCCTCAATAATTGGTTGTGATGTCAAGAGGAAGTCCACTAAATTACAATAAAAAGGGAATATCAAACACTTTATATCAAAACCATTCTCAAGCAGTAGAGTAGTGCGAAAGGACATTTCCGCATATTTTAAATTTTGCCCACTAATGTTTTAGATTTTCTTTCAAAGGAGGGCGCGCTTTACAACCACCGTTAAGGATTTTACCATTGTACAGAAACGACACAGGCATTATGAACGGACACACCTACTCATAAATTAACTGATGCATTGAATTCAATTACAGCCAGGAGAGTCATAACAAATAGAAAAAAATACACAAAGTAATTATGCAATAAATTGTTGTTCTCCCCGTAAATATTATAGAAATTTGTCAACACCGGAGAAAAAACGCGCCCATCTGCAATCACAGTCTAGGCCTATAGACCAAATCCGAAGTCAACTTTATTGGAGCGAAAATAAAAATCGTTGTGGTAAGCGGTAAGCCTTGCATTTTTATTAAATTTGAGCATAATTTGCCTTCTTTTCGAAAATTAACAAAACTAAGGGGATAGCCTTGCTATTTGTATCAAAACTGGGCAAAATTTGACTTAATTACATTATGAGATTGAATTTCATGAGAAACCATCAAACAATGAAAAAAGAGCATACCCCAAACAAATATAGTATTTTAAACGTGAAAAATACAAACCCGATGAAAAATGGAAAGTCAAGGCCCATGGAAAAATAATAATACACTCGTTGTTTGAGCAATAACCCGAGCTCACCAGGTCAGGCTATATTAAGTTGTAAGTTCAGCAAGTGATCGGTCTTGATGTCTTACATGAGGAGATTAAATTTCGTGAGAAACCGTCAAACAACTAAAAAAAATCTTTCGAGAAAGGGCGCGCTGAATAAAACAAGTGATCTCGCACCGCCAAGACATAATACACACCCGCACGCCGTAGAATATTTTAAGTTTCGTTCAATAGAGGGCGCGCCAAATAAATAGTGGTCTCAACAACGCATCAACATGGGTGCTGGAAAATTGAACAAAAAGAATAAACTCGTTTCCGATGAACTACTCAAGAAATACGAAACGGATTCAATTGAAATTTGGTACAACTAGTTTTCACGATGTGTACCAGAAGTGGTTTGAATGGCGTGAGAAACTGTAGCGCTATAAATATAATATGATCGTAACAATCTAGTGTTTGAAAAGCTAGAAATCCACGTTGACTTCCATTAGGATTGTATTTGTCGCGATTAAAACCCTGTATTGTTACGGTCATAATAGCTTGATTGTTTGACCTTTTCTTCTGAAATTAAATCTGTTATGTTAAACATCATGACAAATGAGTGCACAAAAATTCATTTTTATGTAACGTGTTTTTCTTGAGTTATTTAAATATATAGCTCGTCTGAGTGGTAAAAATTGAACTACGCGTTTCAACTTCGCCATCCCTTTTTTCGAAAATAAACAAAAGTAAGGGGTTAGTCTTGCTTTTTTATCGAAATTGGGTTTAATTTGTCTCTTTTCGAAAATTAACAAAAGCAAGGGGTGAGCCTTGCATTTTTATCTAAATCGGGCAAAATTTGACTTTTTTTCCAAAATTAACAAAAGTAAGCAGTATGCCTTGCATTTTTATTAAATTTGAGCATAATTTGCCTTCTTTTCGAAAATTAACAAAACTAAGGGGACCATTACTTTTCAATATTCAGGGGAAATCATACTATATTTCATGCACTTAAAGAGCAGAGAGCAAGGAACAGACAGGGCGCGCGCGGCCTCCCCACACTTTTGTCAACGATCGTTTTATGCAAAAGATGTTGAAATATATATATTAAATTAGGCACAAAAGTGACTTTTCTCCAAACAAAACAGAATTTCCTTTGAAGGTACAAACGAGTATCAATTAATATTTCTCTTTTGCGTCATGTAATTTTTCAATTTCAAATAAAATGCTTTTTGCAAAGCTATTTTCAAAGGTGAGTTTCTGAAGAAACAATACCAAATAAAATTGCAGATTTTGAATATTTTGTGGCACGTCCATTTTCCTGTATTACAACTTGTACAAAGCGTCCGGAAGCCTAACGCCATTACTCCAACACTCATTGTCAATCGTCCACGCACCCTCCCACACTCCCGCACTGCCCCTCCCCCACCTTGGCTCGCAAATCCAGATAATCTACGTATTACTGAAGGTAAACCTCTTAAGTCAGATGGTCTAGCGGTCTAAGCCACCTGCGGGATTCGAACCCGTGCCCGGGCGCTCCAAAGGCGTAGTCTTTGGAGCGCCCGGGCACGGGTTCGAATCCCGCCCAAGTTTTGACTTAAACACAATTTAAGTATAAGAAAATATCTTCTTGATATTTTTTTCGGGGGGGGGGTGTTCAAAACTCTTCATTGGCCAAGAGAACGAGTGAACATCACAACCAATTATTTACAATATTTAACAGTGATTAAAACCAATGTTATTGATGAGAGAGATTAAGAGATGGCTAGTAAGAGGTTTAACATTTGAGATATACTTTAAATTGCTCAAATTAATTGGGCCGTAATATTGTTGTCAAAATTTGAAAAATAATAAGAACAAAACGAGAAAGACATTATGGGGGGGGGGGGCGCTGGTCAAATCCGACGATCATGTGGTCACGATAACTAAAAAATACATGTGTCATAGAAGTGAAATTCTACATAAAATTGAAACTGCGTCTATTGCTGGTCCTAAATGTCTTAAATAATTATTTGACATATCAAAAAGAGAAGCAAAACAATAAAGGTATGTGAAAACACATTTCAGTGTTTTTTTGTTTCCTTTGCAGAATGATCAAACCATTAAGAATGTTTTACTTAATGTCGTTTTATTTTATGTTAAATTAATGGGGTTTTTTCGAGTGCCGAAACGTTAATTCAACATACAAGCCGCCGCATCACTGGGGTTTCTCAAAGAAAAATATTTGTCTCGACTTTCATCTTTATTTATTTCTTTTTGATGGCCAGCCAATTGCATTGTCAGTAAAAAATATTCACAGCAAAACAAACTCACTTCCCAAAAAGCGACAACAAGAAAAAAACAAAGAAGCCCATATCCAATTTCTGTTTTAGACATTGACAGCAAAAAAAAACCCAAACAAATCAATATCTCATTTCCTAACCGTCAGTGTCATTTTGAATCGGTTGTTGCCATAGCTTTCTTTAGATTCTATGCCATGTTTGTATCTTCAGCAAAATGCGACCACAAGATGGCGCTCTTCAAATCATCTGAAGTCGACTGCCTGAATCAACAGAAAAGAAAAGAAAACTTTGAATCTCTGCCATACATTGTGAAAACAGATCATACAATTTGAAGAAGACAAATCGTTTGCAAATTAAACGTGGAATAATTAGTCAGTAATAATTGTTGATTTTAATAAATATGACGACAAAATTCTTCCAATCGGTAGGCCTATCTCAATTACATTGTTTTATTTTCGTTGGTAATAATTTCATCAATTTCACCCTAAGTCTGTCATGATGATGACCTCAGTCGCCAAATACATCATGTGCAGCCTGGAACGGTCTCATTGTGTCTTACGCTGACAGAGGATCGTGATCTTGACCTTGATCTTCATCATGACATCAGTCGACGTCACTGCTACGTGATTATTGTCTCGACAATGCCAATTTTAGGCTTTGAAATAAGACTATAGGCCTACATTTAAAATGTTAAAGATATTGACAGCCATAAAAGTCAAAGTTTTCCTACCAATAAAAATATTTTTCTGCACCCATAAATTTAGGGCAAAAATTTGTAAAATATCCAAACTTCTATAACAAAATTGCAAAAACAACTGTGAGCCCCCCCCCCCCCCAGCCAAATCCTGGGTGCACCATTGACTTAAACTTAAAGCAATAGAGTGGCCGGGAAAATATTCAGTTTCATTGGTAATTTTTGGCAACAACCATTGTTTGTCTTACTTCCTAGGCTTGTTTTACTAGTAATGACCAAATAGGCGAAATTTCACTTGTCCTTAATCTGTCAATTTCTTGAATATTCAACTGAAACAAACTTATCTCCCTGTATTAAAGCGACAACAAAAACCATTACAAAAAGTCCATATTTCATTTCCGTTTTGGACACCAAAACCCAAAACCCTTATCCCAGCAGCAACGCAACCATTTATTTCCAAACCGTCAGTGTCAACTCTCATTTTTTTCCCCATTTCTTAAATTCTAAGCCATTGCATCTTCAGCAATGTTTCACCGCAAGATGGCGCTCTTCAAATGTATCATCTGAAGTCATCACTAGCACCATGGAGCTGGCACTCAGTGCCTGAATCAACCTGCAACGAAAAGAAAAGAAAACATTGATTCTGTGGCATACAATAATATTCTGAAAAGAGGTCATACAATTTGATTACTCATTTACAAAGGTAATGTGGAATATTTAGGCAGCAATAATTGTTGATTTTACTTTTAGGCCTACATGATGACAAAATTCTTCCAAGTACTGTAGTTGGCTCATTAGTTGTTTTGTTTTCGTTAATTGGTGTGATAATTTCATCAATTTCACCCTAAGTCTGTCATGATGTTGACCTCAGTCGCGAAATACATCAGTGTGCAGCATGTAACGGTCTTGTTGTGTGCGCTGATCAGAGGATCGTGATCTTGACCTTGATCTTCATCATGACATCAGTCGACGTCACTGCTACGTCATGTACGTCTTTCAATAAGATATGGCTTCTCATTTCACATAACAGAAAAACATGTTAATTTACATGCCTACATTAACGAGCAATAAACACATGCATATATACCTGATCTAATTGTGATTGTGTTCTTTAACGTCATGACTACATACGTCACACTTTTTCTTTTTCTTTTTGCTTGTAGGCTTGTAGTCTACAAGTTCATGATCATTGATCTTGTGGGATTCTTATCTTAGATCGCATTCAGGATACTCAGATCTCTGACCCTTGACCTTAGATTTTAGATATCCCTGATCTAATCATGGCTCCTCATATACCTATTTCAGTCGTCGTCATCATAAGAAATAATTTATTATAATTCTCTTCCAAGATATAACTGCTTTAATTGGCATGGGTATCGTATTACATCTTTCTCCATATAGTCCATCATAGCCTGAGACTAATTTCCATAATTTCTTGGAAAATATCCTTATTATTTTGTGAAGTGCCTAATTATATGCATCTTAATCAATTTCTCTTTGGATATTCTTTGGCGAATGGTATTGTTTCAAACTCACTTTGCAACCTCCCCCTTTTCAACTTCCCATGGCTGGTAAAATGTTAGGTTTCTCTTGTCCAGTAGGCCTACATGTAAAATCCCCTTTCCGTTACTGATGAAGTATAAACAATGACTTTAAGAATTAGGCTTACCTTTCCCCTCATAATGTCCACGTCTTAATATGGTTGTTTACGAATACATGCCTAGCGCTCCTGTAATTGTAAGGTTCGCCTAGTGCGCGGGAATTATGGTGGCGGTTGAATTTACAAGCGTCAGTCCGGTAAAGAAATTATCTGTGTTTCATTTCGTATCGTTTGCGCTTCAGTTCATTTCACCTCGAATGTTGCCGTGAATTACGGAGCAAAACGAACATGCATGGCGACAGCTTAGAAGTCTTCTGGGTTACCTAGAGTTTACATCGTCACTGTTCTCATGGGCATCAATTTTGGAAATATTTTATCGCAGAAAAAAGAATGGAAATTTAAAACAAAAATACTCACAAGGTGCAAATGTCTGGCACCCATCTTGAAATGCAAGCAACAGATGAGCGGGCGAAAGTCAGACGGCTAGGCTCAAGGCGTAATGCGGTTCAAAAACCCTATCACTTTTTATCCCTGCGCACTGTCACAAAATGATTTTTGTTTTCTATTTATTTTTTACTTGTGTCTAGGGTCATGACTTGTTTTTATTAATTACTACGATATATAATGAATCATGCTGCTGAATAGGAAACTATCAAACCATATTAAACCATTTTATTCAGAAAATGGGCTTCTATTTTTCTTTATCCGCGGACTAACACGCACTAGTCTCAATGTTCGCTGAAAAAGTGTAAGAGCGGTTCTGATTGGTCGAAAGTCAACAGGATATTCTGGGGTTGGCTGGGATTGGCCAAGATACACAATTTGCATATGGCATGTCGCGTGCCACGTATGGAATTTGGATGACAATAGTTATTTGCATATAATTCTTCGGGAAAAACCCGAGTCAGAGGTCAATGTTTTGTATTGTGCATGCCTACCGGTCACACGACGACAGTTTCATGACTGCAGTGCTGAGATTGTATGGAATCGATCGTGCTGGTAAATTTTAATTAGGAAAGAATTAAGCCGACATCTCAACAGCCAACAGTAGAGTAACTGGGGTCCCATGAGGGAGAGGGGAAGGTTGGTCTCATTGGAGGCACACAAAAGGTTTGGTCATTGTTCTTTTAAAGATATTTGCAGGTGTTTTCTTTACCCATACCCGTCCATATCAGAATATCAAAGCCAAACGTTTTGTGACTTTTATGCTTTCGTCAAGACCGTGAATTTATTACCAGAGCTCTTTATAGAGATGCGCTTGCCACGGATTTTACTTGCTTGGAAAAATTCGGTTTAATAATTATTTCATTATAAATTCGATGATTTTTTAAAATATCTTTTGTTGAAAAAAAAAAGCACGGAAAACGAAAATGGGAAAATCAGATTTATCTTCACAACCTTCCCCGGGCGCCGGCGAACGTATTTTCCGATTTGGTTGCCCACAGTATGTAGCTTGCGCCACCTGTTGTTCAGTATTTGATACATCCCTCGATTGCACATTCGGTCGTGCATGCGGCACGTCGATCGTCGTGGTGTCATCAGATAAAAATTGTTTTGCCCGTGGAGCTATTGTTGGCCGTGGTTTTACACACAGACTCTTAAAGTTTTGATTAGCATTTACAGGATAACTAGTTTAGTACTAGAAACCTTCAAAAGAATGTCAATTGCGTCCTGAATTCATGACGTGTATCCTCGAGCTCGACCCTCCATATTCGACGCAGCTTATAACGCCGCCACATGGCATGATCGCGTCGTTTTAGGGGGTCTGACGATGCAGATAAGGTCAGTTAAAGGTTGAAAAACATGAATCTGGACTGAGAAACTGAACTCTCCATAGACTGACTGTGTGTAGTTAATTATGCAAATTAATTGTAATTTATCTCGTGATGACAATTGAAAAATCTGGAAAAAATGTTGCAACCTGAAGCTAGCCCCAAATGTGGCCAGTTTACTGGACTGCCTCCGTAAACATACAGTCCAGTAAACTGGCCACATATTTGTAATTTATCTCGTGATGACCATTGAAAAATCTGGAAAAAATGTTGCAACCTGAGGCTGAAGCCATTTCCAATTCCATTGCGCTTGTGTACAATGTCTATGGAGACTAAGAACATTTTCCAAGTATTTCCTAACAAAATTGGAAATATAACTCAGTCCCAGATTCGTGTCTTTAACACTTATCATCATTTTTGCAATGAATGACCTTCATTGAGATGATAGGGCCTATATAGAGAAAAAAGTAGCGTCAGGTTGCAACATTCCCCAGCAGGCATTTTTGGTCGGTTTAACGTCCAAGCGACGTTTGATTCTGACCAATACTGACGTTGGATTTTGGTCCTTTTATAATTGATTATGAAAGTCAGTTAGACGTCGAAATCTGACCAAATAATAACGTCTGTTTATGGTCGAGTTGTGACGTCAATCCTACTGGTTTTATTGACGTTAAACTGACGTCAGATTTCATGGTCAGATTTTGGTCATTTGATGATTGATTTTGTAAGTTATTTAGACGTTGAAATCTGACCAAATAATAACGTCTGTTTATGGTCGAGTTGTGACGTCAATCCTACTGATTTGATTGACGTTAAACTGACGTCAGATTTCATGGTCAGATTTTGGTCATCTAATGATTGATTTTGTAAGTTATTTAGACGTTGAAATCTGACCAAATAATAACGTCTGTTTATGGTCGGGTTGTGACGTCAATCCTACTGGTTTGATTGACGTTAATCTGACATCTGATTTCATGGTCAGATTTTGGTCATTTTATAATAATATTGATTTTGAAAGTTTTTTAGACGTTGAAAACATGACCAAAATCTAACATCCGTATATGGTCAAATCATGACGTCAGTCTGACCATGATTAACTGGCTAAATGGACGTCGACAGGACGTCAGATTCTTTGTTGAATTTAGGTCAGTTAATGGTTGAAAGTGTAATTTATTTAGACGTCTAAAACACAGACATGAGATCTAATCTCTTTTTTGAATATGTGTGGAGGTAGAAGACATCAGGCCGTCGATCTTGATGTTTTCTCTGATGATTGTTGACACGTATGGTAGGGCTTGGGTAGTATGTTTCTTCTCCATCAATTGCAAAGAGCAGAGATGAGCTGGAAAATTAAAAGGAGATGAATGAAATTGTGAATTCTCTTGAATACCAACACATTCAAAAATATTTTTTTGTGACTCGTAAATAATTAAAACAAAATAGATTCTTTATGTAAGCCAATTTAAGTGCAGCGGCAAATTTATTTTCAGAGATCCGAAGAAAACAATTATTCTTATGAAGAAGACATGCATATTTTAAGTATACTGGGCAGTTCCATGCGATTCCAAGAAAATGAACAAAACTTAAAAATTCGAAGAATATAAAAATTTTAAAAACTGCAAGCATCACAAGGTCCTCATTTGAGTTAGTGCGGTAGTGAGATTTGGAATATTTAAGTTATCGATCAACATAGTGTAGGAAATATGTCTCATGTTGAGATGTGCGTTAAATGACAGCAGTTTTAGGCTTAAATGCAGCTTGGACATGATGATGGAAGGCGGGCAGAACATGCATGACTGCTGATTAGCTTAGATTGTCTAGATTTCAATGTTTAAATAAAGGGCACCGTAAGTGTAACTTTGAATTTGAAATAAGAATTGACAATAGCGTCAAACATTAACAACTTTCAACAATGAGAAGTTGAAGTATTTTTCCATTGAATTTTTATGTTATACAAGTAAGTAGGCCTACAGAAGGGAACCCATTGTACATATCACTGTCAGGATAACATTTCAAGACTACTCGATCCCGTCCTTAAAAGAAATTTCAAATCCCTAACTCGGAAACAATCGCATTAGAAACTTACCGTTTTTCAGACCGGTACATTGCAAAAGCCGACCATATTGTACGCCTGCGTACTAATCTTGATAATTGCAGTTCAATCGAATCTTGTGCTTGTCCCATACATCCTGATGTCGTATCTTGACTTGAAGTTAAGATTAGCAGGAACATGATCTTGTCATCAAGTGGCATATACTGTAGGACAATGACTGTTGCAATGTGCCCACAAAACTTCGACATTTGACCCACCACGTCTTTTCCCGAACTGAGCTGTTTCGAAGTTGCTAGACTCGTGTAGCATTGGATGGAATGCAAGAGGTCACACACAGGGCGTAAATAATGCTCACGCACGCGCGGTGCGCGCGCGATGTTTTGGTCATTTGGCGCGCGGGGCAGGAATTTTGGCTCGGAGCCAAGACGTACGTTTGGATGTTGTATTTTGGTTTAAACCATGACATAATGACAACGTTAGATATTTTAACCATCCATCGACCAGAACTTAACGTCATTATTTGAATCGTCGAAAGGACGTTAGAAAACGGACGTAACTATGGTTGAAAACATGACCTTTAATAATGACTTCAAATATTATAACCAGCAACCGACCATAATCCAACGTCACTGTTCGAGTAGTTGAAAAAAAAATGTCAAAACCATGACATAATAACGACGTTAAATATTTTAACCATCCCCTGACCAGAACTCAACGTCGTTATTTGAGTCGTGGAAACGACGTCAGAAAACGGACGTAATATCATTGTTAAAACACAACCTAGTAACGACGTCAAATATTATAACCAGCAGCTGACCACAATAAAACCTCGCTTTTGGAGTCGTTGAAAAAAACGTCAAAAACGGACGTTATATTTTGGGGAAAACCATGACATAATAACGACGTTAAATGTTTTAACCACCCCCTGACCAGAATTCAGCGTCGTTACTTGAATCGTGGAAACGACGTTAGAAAACGGACGTAATATCTTAGATGCAAACATGGCCTCATAATAACGACTTCAAATTTTATAACCAGCAGCCGACCACAATTCAACTTCGCTTTTGGAGTCGTTGAAAAAACGTCAAAAACGGACGTTATATTTTGGTGAAAACCATGACATAATAACGACGTTAAATATTTTAACCATCCCCTGACCAGAACTCAACGTCGTTATTTGAATCGCGGAAACGACGTTAGAAAACGGGCGTAATATCTTAGATGCAAACATGACCTCATAACGACTTCAAATATTGTAACCAGCAGCCGACCATAATTCAACGTCAATTTTTTAGTAGTTGAAAAAACGTAAAAAACGGACGCTGCATTTTAGTTGAAAGCATGACATATGTACGACGTCAGATATTATAACCAACGGCCAACCACAATTCAACGTCGTGTTTTGATTTGTTGAAACGACGTTAGAAAGCGAACGTCATATCTTGGTTGAAAACATGACATAATTGTGACGTCTTGAAGGGAACCATAATAATGACAATAATACAACGTTGTTTTTCAGGCCGTTGTAAAGACGTTGACAAAACAACGTCATATCATGGTTGAAACTATGTTACGTATTATTTGTGACCAAATTCCTACTACATTGTGACGTTGTTGTTATGTCAAATTCTGACGTTAAATTGCCGACACTAAAGCAACGTCTGGCAGACGTTATAATGACAACGTTTTCTTTGGTCTACCAAAACAACGTTGTTTTTCGGTTAGGAATGGTTGATCCGACGTTGCGACCATAGTACAACCGTTATACAACGTCAGTCTGACGTTTGGTGCCTGCTGGGTCTTTTCAAAAATCTGTGTGCGACGTGCCCCATTTATGTGGGTACCATACCGCTTCCAGGTACAGCTGGTTAAATTTTCGTCTGGTGCATTAATAAAAGCAAGACGACTGTTTCATGCGTTACGCGTTCACGCAGAAGGCACTCATCACAGTCTAACGCATGAAACAGTCAATTAGAACGCGTGTCGCGTAACATTCCCCAATACAGAGCGCGTGACCAAGGCCTTTGTTGCTGTGTCTATAGCTGAGTTTATTTTATCCATGTCTAGACGCAACAACGGGTGAATGACCGAAGACCCGATATATAGAAAGCACCCACTGATTGGTAAAAATCTAGAGGTCAAGATGCGGTTGTCTTGCATAACTAATCAGCGAATATGTTCAAAAATTATAGAGCATGGCTTAGATTGCCATGGTCTATTATATAGACTAGCACATACATTGTGTATTTGGCGCAGTAGAAACACCCCTATATCTGAGTGGAACAACCCGCTATATCGCAGCGGCGCACACATGCTTTGGCCTCTCTTTTTAAACTTTGTGCGCGGACGTCCTTTCCAGCCTTGTTTTCATTTGTGGTTTTTTTCATTTGTAATCCAAATCATCTATTTCATTGAAAAATAATCAAAATACTTCATGCTGTGTTGGAACACTCAAAGAAATATTTAGACTCTCATTTTTTTTTAACCAACAGACTTTGAATGATGTTATTTGACCCCTGAAAATTGGGAATCAGCCAAAACAGTCCTGTATGGCGGTCGTGTGGAAAGGATGCAACCGTGTGGGATGGCCGTCACTACAAGCAGTCACTTCTTGGTAAGCCCAACGTGATCATTTATTAAGTTGCCCCATTCATGGGGAGGGGAGGGGGAGGGTACACTTTTTTTTGGAGGGAGGGGAAATGGAGCAACTAGAAACTCTTCAGCCCTTTTCACACTAGAGCCTCTCAACCTGGGTTGAAATCAACCCTGGGCAAACCCAGTGCCACCCTGGGGTGAGTTTTTTTATTTCAACCCCGCATTCAACCCCGCATCGTTTTACACTTGTTTCATGCAAATCAAGCTTGTCATTCTCAGTTACTACTATTTGAACCCGGCCTGGCCACAATTTCAACCCGGGTTGAAAATCTCAACCCTGGTCAGGAGCAGGGTTGAGTTCAACCCGGGGCGAAATCAATCTCGGGGTTGACGCATGGTTGAAATTCTTTAAGTGTGAAACGATGCATGTTTTCAACCCTGCGTCAACCCCAAGATTTGTCAAGTGTGAAAAGGGCTTCACTTTAATAGAGAGAAACCATAGTTGCAAGCCTACTTCTGGACCCCTTTCCCGCAAGACTAATGCAAATCCACTTTGTTCACCAAGCTAGCTGGCATGTTTAGAATAAAGAATAACTACATTGTGTATGTGTTTTGAACTCATTACAAGTGTCCCTAAATAGGGTAGAGTTTCGTGGGTGTCCTTAAAGCAATATGCCTTCAGAAACCATGAATGCGGATACAATTGGGACCAACCGTGTTTGTCCATGTTTACCCATCCTATCAAGATGGTAAAAAGAGAAAACAGGTCACGATGAAGCCATTCATGTAAGAGCAGTGGCCCCAAAATATTTGTTTTCCACAAATTTAGCATCAGAAATTACAGTTGTTTGAGCTGGAAGGCACAAATACCAGCTGTGCAAGTCAGAGTTTCAGATGTCCTAAGGTTTAGTTCAACAAAATAATATTTAAAAGATAAATCATACAATTTTGCTAATAAATGGCCTGATCCCAGGGACTAAAAAGGATGAATGCATTTATTTCTGCTCATTTCAAAACCTCAGATTTTACAGGTAAATTTGAATAGAATTTATTACAGTAGAGTTTGAAAAGTCTCATGAAAATTAATAATTCTTTGTTGAAACTACAAACTGCAGTGACGGGGATAATTGTTTTCATTAATTTCAAGTTGAAATGGCAACCAAATAGGTAAAACAATCAAAACAGAGGAATGGAATTTAATTCTTGAAAAGGCAAGGAAATTTCAAGGAGGCAGTCAGGCAAAAAGCAAAGCAACGGAGGCCATAGCTTCCTGAAATTCAATACCATTGATTTGAACATTTGTTAAAATGATTGGCAACCTTTTACACTTGAAGAATTTTTAACCTTCAAAGAAAAATAATAAAAATTTCCATCAAGATAACCCCTTGGGAGTAAATTTACACAAGTCTTTATTCTGTGAATTCAGACAGGAAACCCAATTAATAGGATAAGTATTTGTGCTCATCTATAGCAGACATTTTGATGATTAAATGATCATCCACATTAGTGTTTCATTGATATAAATGCAAATGTACAAAGCTTGTAAATAATAACAATAAACATGATTTCTATGAAAAACTACAAAATGAAAACAAATACAAAAACCTTTTGTTTTTAAAGAAACTGAGTGAATATTAAATTTTTTTAAAGTTATCTTGATTAACTTTCATAGTTTGTGTATGCTTAAAGGTACATTGTGCATAGGATCATTTGCTTTTTGCAGGGTTTTCTTTTCCGAAGCAACAAAAGTGCTCAATATTTTATGTACGGTGCATAACAAGCATTCTGTTCAAGTCTTAGCTGAGTGGCTACTATACATTTTGGAGAAAACAGAGAAAACATAATGCACAAGTCTTTGGATCTCGTGACTGGATTCTGTAGGCACCCCATTTTGAAACCACCTTCAATGTTTGTTTTCTGACAAAACCATTTCAGGTGGAATTATTTCACAGGGTATTTGTTACCGGTCCTATCTTCACTTTGAGGTTTCTGTCATTAAATCGGTAGGTGCTTATCTGGGTAATTGCAAATGATCCTACATGGCTTTAAAAAGAGAAGTTAACAGAAATACAGAATAATTAAAAGTGTACAGGCTGAACATTCTATAATCATAAAATGTAATATAGAGATAGCACAGTTTACAATGAGTAGATGTTTGTTCTATTAGGAACAAATTGAAGAATATACATAAAGGGAGTTTACAAAGTCTTGTTGTGACAACTAAGATCTACATACAGTGGTGAATTGTTAAACACTTAAAAGTCTACTTGAACATTTAATTTTTACAATAAGATTGTCACTTTGCAAACAAATTAATAATTTTTGCTGAAACCCAAACTGAAGTGATGATTTTTTTTATTTCATTTTCCAGTTTTCTGAAATGGCAACCAAAAATGCAAAACAAAGATAACAGAGGTGGGCAATTAGATTCTTGAAAAGACGAGGCAATTTGTTTGTAAGAAAAAATAATTGAAGTAGAAATTTGCTATTTGTGTGGGACCTTGTCAAGGTGGCAGTCAGGCCAAAATCAAGGCAACTGAGGCCGTATAGCTTTCTGAAATTCAGCTTCAGTTGAATTGATTTCTAATCATTCAAACTGAAGGGATATTTGACAGTCTGAGAAAAAATGTCAACAAAATTTCAAATCAAGATAAAAACATTCTTGTAAACATGAGTCTTAATTCTGTGAATTAAGACAGGAAAGCAAATTAATTTTCACTCATCTTTAGCAAACATTTCAATGAGTAAATTATCTTCAATATACATGCAAGTGCATCGTAAAATCAAATGCATAAACAGAAACTGCAACAAGTAATGTCAAAACTGAGTAAATAAAGGCTTACATTGGACAGTAATCTAAGTACTAACTATCATGGTGATGCGTATGCTTAAAATGAATTCAAACAATACTATTTCACAAAATACTTGTAGTATGGTTACATCTCAAGGATGAAGTGGTTGTAAAACTGTCTCAAAATTTCTATTATCAAAAGTACAATATATAATGGACTACATGTACATGTAGATTTCATTAGGAACACATTTCAGAATCTCAGGGAGTTTACAAAGTCTTGGCTTTGTCTCCAGCTTTGGCTTCTACTATTAAAAGCCTCTGATGAGGTCAAGATATAAACCTCATGAACACTGTCAACACAATTCTCCATTCTGTGAATGAAGATCTGAAACCACATTAATAGAATGAGCTTTGTCACTTATCTTAAGGATACATTTGATCAAAGTCAATTTACTTGAAGAGTAGCGTTTTATTAATTAAATATGCAGATGCCAACAACAACAAAGTAACAAAAAATTAACTGAGTAAATAAAGACTTATCTTGAACACTAATCCTAACACTAAATTGAACTGAGTAATGCATTTGTAAAGTTGTGATTACTCAAAATAAACTTTAAGAATGTTGCATCTCAAGAATGAAATGATCCTAAACATTTCTCAAGTCTTTGTTATAAAAGATAGCAGAATATATACAGCAAGTTCCACCAGGAACAATTTAACAGTCTTAATTGTGTTTTTGAAATCTTGGCTTCCGGCTACATGATTTTTGTCCCCCTGGTGTAACTCCAGTACAATATTGGTTCATTTTCTTCTTCAGAGACACCAAATCCTGTCACACAAGGCCAATGGATGGTTGGTGCATTTTCACTGAGTTTGAATGTGGTAGGATTCTTAGGAATCTAGTGCCAGAGATGAAGCGGAAGCCACAACGGAGCCGGGGTTTCATAAACACCACATAAAGTTGGTAAGTATTGGATAGATTGATGGCGATCCATGTACTTGGTGAGGGAGGGGTGTTGGGTTGAGGAGGGGGGGGGTCATTACATTCAAACACCTCAACACCCACTAAACTCCCCTCTTCCTTTCCAATTTTCCATTTAATTTAGACAAGAAAAAAAAGTCATCATGCATGTAAGATTAAAATTTATTATCCCCAAATGAAATTAAATCAAATGTAACTGTAGTCAATACACTGTTTATATAAAGCTTTGTATAGTAACATAATGTAATTGATGCACTGTTTATTTAAGAATTTGTATAGTACATTGGTTCACATCAGAGGGATCTGGCAGTTTGGCTTTTTGAGGAGAGATGTGATATGAGTGCGACATGAATGTTGATTGGTGCTGGAATGACTGGACAATTTCATCCTCAACATTTGCTGTTGGGATGATGATGATTGCTAGTCAATGTCATGTTGGATGACATCACACCTTGTGATATATCTTGATTGAGTAGTGGTCAGCCACTGCCAGCTGGCCCTCTGTTGTGAATGTCATTCCACATGGGTAATGCAGACCCTTAGCCAGGCAATCAAGAAACCTGCCATCTAGGTCATAGTGGTGAATATGACCAGTGCCAAACCTACCTTCGTCCACTGCAAGGTAGATGCCTGAGCTGTCACAGCATACACCATTGCAGTACTCCACTGACTTACCATTAATGGTTGGTTTGATGGTGGCATTTGTTGTACCATTGCTATCAGCAATGTCCACTTTGTTTGTGTCCCATCCACTGACCACAACTCTATCAGCGTCGTCATCAACAGCCAGGTAGTGAGGTGGAGTCTGCACTGGTATGGTGCGTAGGATCTCACCATCAGTGGGTTTGTGTTCAGTCCACACCATATTGTCGGTGTCGCCTACTAAGATGCTATTCTTTGTTACTGCTAGACTCGATAGGTTCATTTTTGTCTTGTCTACCTGATGCTTCACCGTTGGGAACTGCGTAACAAGAGTGTTGTCCTTCATGTTGAACACCTTGACATACTTGCTTCCAGCTTCCAACACAAGCAAGCGTTGCTCAGGATTGTGGATGGCTGCAACTGCCAGTGGATCTGTGGGTAAAGAAGAACTCAAATGTAACATACATTGTATGCACAGTATATAAATGCACTGGCACTATTCTGAGTCCCCATGAAATATAAATACCTATGATAACCGACCTATAATAATGAATACATGGCGTGCCTTAAAGCCTGGTCATGTAGAATGAATAGGCCTACATGAACATTGGGCAGTCTTCAACCACCATACATGTGTAATTGTGAATAACTGCAATGTCTTGGAGATACAGTTTTGCAAAGTCTTTTATAAAGTTGATGCACTCTCTGTGCTATTCGCATTGTTCAAACATCAAAATAGATTAGTCTTATATTTACCTGTATTGTTTTTTTTTTTAGCAATAGTAAGGTTGTTCAATTTTCAAATGAAGCATTAATTGACATAAACCCCATTTTTAGTCATCAAATAATTGTATAATAACAAACTGAACAATAACAATTTAGTTCTTGCAAACTTTAAGACACCTTTCACAAAATGTTCCAAGATTGGTGCGTACATCATAAACTAACAACTGGAAAAAAGAAAAGAAACTTGAAGCATAATTTTATTTTGTAATTTAAGGTCAAAGGTAATTTCATAACGCATTTTTTCTGTGCATCATGGTATGATTTTGGTTTTATTTTATGAATCAGGGGCCATTCAAAGAGCTTTAATATGATGAACAATTTGGCTTTGTATTTGCTATAGTTTTGGAGATACAAGTATTGAAAGTTTGGAGGTCATGCTAATTAGTCAAAAGTTCGTTGAACTGTATCTCAGAATCTAACAAGCCAAACTACAAAAAAAAATATCAGTTCTGGGGGTTTCTCATACAGGCCAATCATCACACCAAATCGTTTCAATCTGTGAGGGTCGGGCCCAAAATCGTGTTGAATTGACACAGAATGACACATCTTAAGAGTGAAAATTTTGACCCCCAAAATTTGTTCTTGCAAGAGTAACACAAACGGCCAATTTGTCAAGGATGGTTTTGTAGACGTTTATATCCTATTTTTAAATGCTCTTTGTAGCCCAATTGGGTGCTTTCCAGGATGTAGTGTTCCTCTAGATCACTTTTAATTTGATATGGTGGTGTCATTGTAACGGTCACCATTTTTGACACGTTTTAGTACAACAGTGCATGTTTGTACAAAGTTTTGTCTTCATACCTTGACCCGTTACGGAGTAAATCCATTTTTTTTAACTCATGCTGCTTTTAGTATTTTGAATTTGCCTTACTTTAATTTGACCGTCAACCCCAGAAGGTCAAGCAACTTCATGTGTACACAGGGAAAAAACCATGGTTCATCAACTGATGGTCCATCAGATCACAAAATGTGAACAAGATTTTTGGCTTTGTTCAGGAGTTATGAATAAAACAAAACGGTCACTTTTTGAAATACAATTTCTTGTAATTTGATACCTGCTGATGTCATCATGACACATTGCCAATGTGGTGTGAATTAAGTTTAGTTATATGTTAGCAATTTCCAAGGTTCGGCGATACGGTTCCTGAAACTCAATTAATATTGGTTATTATTCAAAAAAAATTTAGACTCGCAGTTTGCACGTAAAAAAAATATTTTATTTGCTTTGTTTGTTTTTTTTCCGCAAATTTGTTTCATTGAGATTTTGAATAGCTAAATATTATAACATTCTCTACATAAAAAATCCTAAAACCGTTTTTAAGCAAAACATATTGTTCATGGCCAAAAAGTGGCACAATTGCTTCACCAAGGTTTACCACGCCCACCTCGGGTCAACATGTAAATTAAGGTCACAGTAAAACAATCCATTGGTCTTTAACAAAACAAAACAAATTACACACACTAAATAATTACGTTATGTAGGGCAGTAAGATGCCTAGGTAAATAACAAGACACAACAATGTAAAGATCACTAATGAATCACTGGTAACTGTACAACCTAATCTATTGGTCTTTAAAAAAACGACATAACCTTTTACACATGCTAAATACTGATGTTATGTAGAGCAGTAAGATGCTTAATAGGTAAATTACAAGATACAATAACAAGAAGATCACTAATGAATTACTGGTAACTGTACAACCTAATCTATTGGTCTTTAAAAAATGAAAAAAAATAACCTTTTACACACACTAGATAATTACGTTATGTAAGGCAGTAAGATGCCTAGCTAAATAACAAGACACAATAACGTGAAGATCACTAATGAATTACTGGTAACTGTACAACCAAATCCATTAGTCTTCAAAAAACGACATAATAACCCTTTTGCATACACTAAATATTAACGTTATGTCGAGCAGTAAGATGCCTAGGTAAATAACTAGAGACACTAATGAAGAAGATCACTAATGAATTACTGGCAACTAAAGAACCAAATCTATTGGTGTTTTAGTTACAAAAAAATTACTTGTTATATACACAAATACAGTGGTAACTAGTCTAGGTAATGAATAGATAATAATAACGTTATAATCACCGGATATTCGTAGAAACTGTAAAACCAGAAGAATTGGTGCTTCAAAAGTGAAATGAACTCCTTTTGTCACCACCATATAAAGACGGTTTAAAAACATGTCATTTGGTCAAGTGAATATATAGTGATCATAACGCGATTCGCACTAGTTATAAAAACCTTCAGGAATCACATTTCTTTATTCACGTGATTAGTAGGTAATTTCCAAGTGCCATTGGAACGAGAAAACAGTTCCGTTTATAATTATTAAAAATCATGTTATAAAAACGCAAAAATTTAGTTTAAAAACTACCAAACCAAAAATTCACTAAAAACTCTCTCCCCAAAACAGGTTCTTTTCCGTTGTTTTGTTTACTGGGTAGAACATTCTACTCACACAGCAGATTGGTTTGTTTGCAAAGCAACTTCACACTTTTCTAAAGGTTACAGACCCAAAAATAAAAACAATTTTTCTTCCAAACAAACTGAAATCAGTAATGAAATATATAGAAGTTTTGTTGTAGGTTTTTTTGTGTATGTGTGTGTCAGTGTGTGATTTTTTTTAAACGTAGGCCTACACGTAAAGAAAAAAAATTGAAGTTTTGTCGGGAGAACAAAATCAAATTTGTTAGAGAGCACTGCCAGCACATCAATTCCTTGCCAGTAGTTTATTGTTTTTCATTCTAAGTTGTCAGATCTGCATGTGCACATGGAAGACTGACTTATAATTTCCACACAATTATGAAAGTTTGTGTTGATGAACATGTGCATGAAAGAAACTTACTTGATTTTAGGGGAATGGTTCCCTTGTGTTGTCCCTCATTGCTGCAGATGACCACTCGGTTGTTCCACTTGTCTGCCACACCAATGTTACCAGGTTGAGTAGCAATAACATCCCAAGCCCCATTGAACTGTCCTCGACCACTTCCTCTTTTACCAAACTCACGACACATCTCCCACTTGCCTTTGACTGCCAGCTTGCCCAGATTGATGTCACCAATCTTCTGACCCGGGGTGAAGCTCAGATATAAAAGCTTGGGATCAATCTGGGGAGGATTTTGACTCTTGAGTGATTTCAAGTCTTTACTGATGATAGGGTATAGCGACAAAAAGTCACTGTCGGATGCAGTGTTAATGATTTCCTGGGATGTCCCTAGTGAATGTTTTTTACTTTCAAGCATCATTGTCAGTGTTGACTGATGCTCATCATATGATTTGTTGCGATCCTGCTGGAGTTGTTTGATTTCTGCAATCATCTTTGTCTCTTGAGTTGTTATCTCAGCTCTCATTTTATCCGCTTTGTCTTTCACAGCTTTCACAGTCTTTGTGACGTTCTGTGTAAACTTCTGCTTAGCTTGTGATGAAGTGGCCAAAGCTTTTTGAAGTATTTTTATGCCGGTGGTGACATTTGGCAACGTATCTTTCAGTGACTGTTTGTATTTGTGAGAAGCCTCTCTAGAGTCAATGTAGTGATGTTTTGGTTCACGGTGGTCCACTACAGTACAATCTCGGCAAATTAACTCTTCACATGTCTCACAGTAAAACCGTTTCACTTCCCCCTTGTGTTTCTGGCATTTAGACTCATCTTCTGCTGGTGTTTTTTTCACTGTTACCTTCCCCTGACGAATGTCCTCCAAAGTAGCCACTGTGTGGTTTGATGTAGCAGCAAATCGCAAGTGTGTCTTGCGACAGTTTGGGCAGATATTCTGTGCACAGTCCAAGCAACGATGCATGGCCTCATTTCCCTCATCACAAATCTCACAGATGACCTTTGTGTTTTCTGAACAAGCCACCTTTTCTTGGAGTGAGACCTCCTCAACTATTCCCATCAAATGGAAATTTGTTTTTAGGCCTTGAATGCGTGTCTGTGGGAGTACCGTCTCCCGTCTACATACAGGGCAAGGAATCTTAGGCTGACCTGCATACCTGCTGGTGTAGTATTGCTCCAGACATTTCTGGCAGAAACTATGCATGCAATCCAGCACCTTGGGCTGTTTATATTTGTCTGCGCATATGTCGCATTCAAGATGGGGGCCGATGTTCTTTAGAGCTGTAGCCATTTTATCTGTATACAAAGAGTATTCAAAAAGAAATTGAAATGGTTATAATACAGAGATGTAACTTCTTTAATACTGCACTGTCTGTGTGAGTTTCATCCGGGCGAAAAAACCAAATTTGATTTTGATCCACTTTCGAACAAGACATCAATTTTTGTGTACGTGACAATTTCCCGTCAAATGACTTGTACCCGTAAGCTAGCATTTAACCTCATTCAAAATAACTGACACTCTTTTCTTACCTTCTTTGAATTTCAACCAAATCACTTGAATACAAATCTTTCCAATTTGACGTAGAGAGCACAAACAGTTGAGGCTTTTGATGGGGCGGATCTGGTAAAGATGGCGCTGGACAAACACAGCATCGTCATCAAGTCGCGTGACATGGTTTATATATAGAGCTTGGGATTTTTGTTTTGCTGCATACATGTACATGTACGTCACACACGTACAGTCTGTATTTCTGCTTATCTGTGTACATATTTACTTGACACTTGAGTTTAAATTCAACAGAACTGACAATATTTCCTTACCTCTTTTAAATTCCCAGTCAAATCACTGAAAGACAAAGTATTTTTCACTTTGATGTAAGAGCACAAGCAGTTAAGGCGTTTGATGGGCGGATCTGGTAAAGAGGAGTCTTTGGTTCAGATCCTACTGCTTGTTTTCTTTTCTATTAACCCTGGTTCGATTCCTGTTTATTCCCAGGTGTGACCTCAGTTATCCTTGAAGGAATTGAGGAGTCTTTGGTTCAGATCCTACTGCTTGTTTTCTATTGACCCCTGGTTAGATTCCTGTTTATTCCCAGGTGTGACCTCAGTTATCCTTGAAGGAATTGAGGAGTCTTTGGTTCAGATCCTACTGCTTGTTTTCTTTTCTATTGACCCTGGTTTGATTCCTGTTTATTCCCAGGTGTGACCTCAGTTATCCTTGAAGGAATTGAGGAGTCTTTGGTTCAGATCCTACTGCTTTTTTCTTTTCTTTCTTGAAGGAATTGAGGAATCAAGTCACTTAAAGACATTTTTTTTAGAAATTGTTAAAGGTTTTCCACTTTAATGCAACGAGTGTGAATAGTTGTAACCTTTAGAGGGGGCGGATCCCAGATCTGAGTCATGTACAGTTCATTATCTTGTTTGTTTGCTGACATGTTTACTCTACACTTGAGTTTGTATCTTGGACCTGAGTTAGGTTAATTTTTGACTTGCATACGTGTACATGTACACGTGCACCATCAGGTTGCAGACTACTTAAATAAACTGCCATAGACCCCAGTGATAGATACCCCCACTTCCAAAATTCAGGGGAAAATACTCACAACTCTCCAAGGTGTTTAAACCACATCAAATTAAAACTGATTTTGTCATCTTTCATTTTGTGTTCAATTTTGTTGTGGTAATACGATAACTTTTGTGAGAAATGTCCATCCAAAGATGATCACTTCCAAAAGAATAGTCCGGAAACCCATCGCCATTCTGAAAACTGATGCCTATGCTGTATTGCAAAATAGAGCAATTTTAGGGCTTAATTCATCTAAATTAAATAGAAATACAAGCTGGCAGTCCTGTTCACGGCTTCCACCCTTCTTTAACCTTCAAGTTCATGGCCCACAAAATGCTCTAATAGCAAAAAAATTGAGGGCGTGCAAATCGTGATTTGGCCGGCCTAGGCATTTTGGGCCTATTTACTGGCCTGCAACCATCAGTGTCCATACATATGTGCATTGTACATGTCATTCCAAACTTGTTTCATCAAATGAGGTGTTAATACATGTACCTGTGCATACTTGTTCCTTCCATTCTGTGACATAATGGACTCATTTAATCTCTCATTTTTTGTTCTGTTTGTAAAAAGCCCAATGAACAAGTTTGGATTTCTATAGAAGGTGTGAATTCCTTTGACCTAGCTCACAAACCAGCTTCAGTCAGAATTTTCAGTTGTAAAATTGCCAACCTGTCTGAAGAGTTGTTTCATGTCAATCTTTCATATGAGTGTCCACAATCAAAACTTGATTGTTTCAACTTGATTGGACTTGGGAGTAAATAACCAAAGTCTTTTAAAATCCGTACCAGGACCATTGCCATAGTAACAGGGCATGTGTTTTGCGATTTTTGGCCAATTTATGGGCTCACTGCAACTACATTTTGGGCCAATTTACAGACTCGCTACTAATATGTTTTGTTGCTTTCTTTTGAAAGGCCACCCAGCCTGAATGCAAACCAATGTCACAACATTAACTATATCACTACACAGCCTCACCCTTACATGTATGTACATTGCACTTCTTAAAATTCATGCATCTTTTAAGCCCTAATATAGCACATGTTTTCACAACTTGAAAAGTTGCATTTTGAACTCCATTTTCAACCCCCCCCCCAAAAAAATGCAAGTTGCCAGCTGGGCACTCAGAATACTTTGCTGTTGGCTGTGATGAGATCTTTTTATAGTTTTATTTTCATATTTGGGGAGAACATCTTGAGTAACTGTGTACTCTTTCTGCAGCATCAATCCAGAAATGATTTTAAAAAAACCTATGTTGAGGTTTTTCCTTTCTTTCTAATTCAAATTGAGTATCAAAAGAAAATAATCCTAAATCTTGCAAACTTTTACAAACCCAAATAATTGGTCAATTACTTTCAGATGAGTGCCACCAAATTCAGATTTCCTTTGCTCTTTTATTAAGAGTTCATTTTTTTTCTGTGCACACTCATAAAAAGTACTTACATGAAATGACTTTTACTTTTTGTTTTCAATAATTGTCTCTTTCAGGTGATGGTACATGTACACAATAAACAATGAAGATGACACCCAGGTCAGTCAATCCATTTATAATCTTTTTAATAAAACCTTGCATTTAATGTTGAGTAACTAAAATGAAAATGGAATTGAAGTAACTTTGAACTCTTGTTGTCATTGAGTTCCGACTTGACAAACTATTGATAAAAATAACAAAATGGTTTTGAAAGTGCTTTCATTTGGAAAATGCAAAGAGTGTGAACAGTGGTAAGCTTTTGAGGGGGCGGATCCCAGAGAGATGGCACTGGCAAACACAGAATCATCATCAAGTAACGTGACATGGTTTATATATAGAGCTTGGGGAGTTTGGGGGACAAGTGCTGGATGCAACAGACATGTACAGTTCATTATCTTGTTTGTTTGCTGACATGTTTACTCTACACTTGAGTTTGTATCTTGGACCTGAGATAAGTTAATTGGTCTTTTCATATTTGGTGAAATAATCTTTTACAGTTGTATACTCTTTATACTCTTTTTGATTCACAAACTGGAAAAGCCTATCAAATTATGAAAAACAGTCTATCATTATTGACTTAAGCCCTGTCCGCACTGGACTTTTTTTGGTCAAACTAACCGAGACTATGGGTACTTTTCCCATTTTAAGTCCAGTGCGGACAGCCTAGGACGTTTTCCTCTCGGTTACTTTTCCTGAGTCCAGCGGTTACTTTTACTGGCCAACTGCTGCCCAGGAAAACTTCCCGAGCGCCCAGGAAAACTGACCAGGTCACTTTTCCCGAGACGAAAAGTCCAGTGCGGACAGTGCGAGTCGGTAAAAGCGGCTCAGGAAAGCGTACATCCGGCCCGAGCGCCCTGTTATGCATACAGAGACCGCACGAACCTGCACGTGCAGTGGCCGAACATTTTGTAGAAACACGCTGCGGTGTATCATCAAGTCCGAGCGGTAAAATATCGTCAAAATATATATTTCAACGGACAAATACATACACAGAGAAGAGAGATCACGTTCTGAGAATTAATTTGCGGAAATTCTCTTTCTCCACCGATGTATGTTATTTTCTACGATCCAAATTCGTCCTGATACGCTACTGTAGTCATGCACGGAACATCATGGTCCGCCGTACGTAGGCCGTAGTCACTGGTTCCTGGCCCACATCATAGCTTCGATTCTGTAAGCATGCGATGGGAACCAACGAATACCGATGGCACTGCTGCTGCGCGGAACATCGTACAGCAGCATGGCTTTGACGACGTGCATCACAAATGCGACAAAAATTATAGGCCTTTTCGTCAACATTTAGCGTGTCAAGATGAAATAATATCGTGTAAACGATTATGTTGTGCATGCAAATGGCGTGTGTCATATTACTGTGCGTATCGGCAGCTGAAAATGTGATCGGCAATTTGTTTTCTGTGTATGGTGAGTCATTATACTGACACTGTGACAGCTCGGTTACTTCTCCCACGCGGTCTGGGTAAATTTTCCCGTGTCGAAAGTCCATGTGCGGACAGTGGTCACATTTGACCATTTCTCATTTTACCATCGTCTCAGTAAAACCTTCCCCCAAAAAAGTCCAGTGCGGACACGGCTATACATTACATGTATTTTTCTCATTAATTTTGAGTTTTTATAATTTCAATTTTATTTTGAGCAGCTCTCTCATCTCATTGAGCCTTGCTTCGTTGACCAACCGCCACGCCCAGTCCAGACACCATGGCAACTAAACAGCCTCAGGCTCCGCCTCCAGCAGCCATTGGTCAAGATCGTCGCTTACCAATTCCAATCAGCAATCAGCAATGAGCGTAGTCGAGGGCAATGCAAGACACTTGTCAGCTTTGTTGTTGTTGTACCTGTCAGTGATCTGGGTTACCCTGTTGGTTCACCAGGGAGTAGCATCTGGGCTTATACACCAGGTAAGCTCAGTTTTCATATACCACACACTTTCATTAGATGCATGAAAACTGACTTTATCTGGAGCATTAAGATAATAGGAGTGTGAAATAGTCCCATATTTTCTTCGCTCGGTACTTAAAGATCCTAATTGAAGAACTTAGCTTAAAGATCCTTGTTATTTAAAAAATGTTATAAAAATCAACTCAGAAGGATATGATAACATTTCAGTTCAGGCCATGAAAATACAATTTAAATAATAGACCACTGTGATTTCTAAACCCAATGGACATACAGGACATGCAGATCAGCAAAATATTAGTTGTCATCCATTCAAGAGAATATTTTCCTATAAATGGCAGATTGTTAATAAAAGTTCTTGTTTTTTCTGAATTTTTCCCCCAGGGAGCAGCGGTGACTGGATCCCAAGTAGCAACTTAGAGGACATACCAGGCACAGCAGCTAACAGGATGCCTAACTTCCCCCATCAAGACACTGTCAAGAGAGGATGGCTTCCAAATGAACAAGTAAGCATCTCACCCCTCCACCACCCCCACTACACTCAATCAGCATGAGTTCAGGACTTGAAAACAGTTTACAACAACACAAGGCAATTCAAGTTGGTTCCAGAGTACACACAGTCCTATTCAATTGATTTAGCCCATTCATTGGTGTTACAGGGTAATCCTATACAACAGCACTGCCCAGCTCACAAGTGAAAGTGAGTCGATCCGTGAGGTACAAAGAGGACTGTAGGCTGGCCCTCTGGGACCAGCACAAACTGAACAGCGATCATTGAGAAAATCAAATAGAGAAATCAAAACCTCAGCAAGATGTACCTTGTGTATCTCAAGACATTACTGAAATGTCATCATGCTTGCGAGCTCTAACTTTATTGCCCTGGTTATTTCCTACAGACACCTGTCAGCCGGTTTGGTGAGCAACATGAGCCAATGACTGGCATGCATCATAACATGGCCATGGGAGATGGGGGAGGGGTGACAGCTCATGGAATGGCAGGAACGGTCTGGAACCCTGTAGCCACCATGCAACTTCATGGCACCAATCCAAAGGTGGGTCCTGTCTCAAAGCTTAAGTCCGTGTCAATATTATCAGGCTATATATGTGAGGCATTCTGGCAAAATGAGACGGAATTGGGCACAGGCCGTAGTGGAGAAAAATGAAAAATAATTTCAGATTAATTAATATTCTTATAAGTAAGTAAAACATGTAGTCTAAAAATCATGGAATACAAGAGTTTTTAAGGAAAGATAATTGGCATCTTTCATTTTCACAAATACAAAACTCGAAACTTTACAGGCCTTTTTCTTAGTGTTTTGCCTTTTTGACATGTGGATAAATGTGAACTTTAAAGTGAGCCATAACTTGTCAACAAAATGTCTGATGGGAGTGCAACAAACAGTATTGTAAGGAGAATTTTATTCTCTTTCCTAATACCTGCAAACCCTCATTTCAACCTCTGCCCAGTTCTGTCTCATTTTGCCAGAACGCCTCACATATATGGTCGTCAGTAACACGTGTCTATCAGCCGCTTTCATATCGGCGCATTATTGCTAGTGCAGCAATTGGGAGACAGTCTGAAAATCTGTCATTATTTATGAACATAAATTCCTTGAGTGTTTACTGCAAAATCCTTCTTCAGGCCAAGTTCAATGTGTTCCTGATGTAGTGTGAATGCCCAGTCTTTGAAGTTGTTAAACGTTAAAGGTCTAAAGTGGCTGCTCAGAAAAACTAAAATATTTCCAGAGAAACAGAAGTGTTAAGGCGTGTTGATTCAGAAACAAAAGAATTCAATATTCCCATAAATACCACTTTTCATTTTGCAGGGAGAGGCCCTAAAAAGTTTGTTGACATGAACTACACGTTCTAAAATAAAAATTTGCACAACAGCATTGCATGTAGTTGGGATCAACTACCCTCAGTCACCCAACAAACAATCCTCATTTTTTGACTTAATTTTTTTTTAATATAAATGAATAAATTTATTAATTTGCAATTTTGTCTTCTATTTTCTCAGGTGTGGGGAGCATCACGGAGCCAGTCAGTCATGTGACATGAGGACACCTCTCCATCCATTCCTATAGAGGGCGCTGTTCATCACAGCCGCAGCATCCACAAGAGATAGTTAAGTTAATTAATTTTTCTTCGATGTCCAGCAGCCATAGAGGGCGCCATAATGCTATCTGGTTTGTTCACAGATATATAAACACATAGACCGCCAGTCGTGCGCTTGAAACTGTGATTTAATAATTGGGCAAAATGTTTGTTGACAGCGCGCATAACTGCGATGCCACTCAATGCGCCAACGCGCTTTGTACAGTTCATACATTTAAATACAGTTCATAAATTATTTTGGTAAAGGCTGTATTACTCAAACTTTGCAAGAAAATGTTGGGTACCGTATTGTTTTTAATCTACGGAAATCATATTTAGTTCACAAGGGATTGGTTTACAATCAAAAACTAACTTCACAATTTTTTTTTTTACATGTTTGACTGGATTTCGTCAGATGTGTGTAAAATCCTATACCGAGAGGTGAATTTGCCCATAGTTTTGATTTTAGTCAGGCGCTAGGCAAATCACGAAATGCTCATGTAGTTTGAATAGGACCTGGCGGTCTATGCATTTATATGTCTGTGGCTTTGTTGCCTTACCTACCAAAAAATTTGCTGACGGCATAATTCAGAGAAAAGAATGAAAACAAAATAATTAGGCCTTGGAATAAAAAAATTTGTATCAATTCTGTGAAATTTAAGATTATTGTAAACTGCGAGTAGTTTGTATTTAACTTTATTTATGTTAGGCCAAAAAAAAAATAGTCGGACTCTGGTCAGTGTGCGCGTCGATTTTAATCATGCGCTTCAATTTTTTTTTTTTTTCAAAAATGTTCCATGGTAGCTCCAACAGCGCCCTCTATTGGCGCACCTCCTCACATTTTTTTTACCAAAGAGCACCAAGGAATGGGAAATTGCACCAAGGCAAATGATCAAGGGCACCAAGGCAAATTATGGAGGACACCAATGTACATGAGGACACCCAAAAAAAAAAGCAAAATAGTACCCCCCACCTTGTGTGTACAATCAAAGCTTGAAAAAAAAGGTAAAAAAAAAAAGCTGCATCGCCGCATCAATTCCGGAACTTTGGTCTGACCAGAGACCAAGTATTTTTTTTTTTGGCCTTACTGTAAAACAATTGAAAAATCCTTTGCTATTTTGTTGGCATAATTTTTATGTAAAAAGATGATAGGCTACTAATGTTAGAAATTTGAAGTTAATTGAAATCAATCTTGGAAACTGTCAGTTGAAAATATGTTTTGTTGACATGTACATTACAACATTAAAGGTCAGTGAACCTGGGTGACCTTTGACCTCTGTTGTCCCAATAGTAGTTTATCAGTTAAAATGTCCATTCCATAGAGCTGTAGTAAATTATGAGAGCGTTTACTCCTCATTCCCTTGCACACTTCAAAGTTGTCTGAGCTCAACACAGTGCTTGAAGAATGTACATGTAGCGAGATCAATGTGCAAGTCACGTCGCCAATATGACATCAATTCTTTTGAGTTTTGCGCACTTAATGTGTTGCCAAAATACAACAGATATACGGCTGAGCAGGCACGTGATCTACAGTGAACAAATGCAAATATCTATGCAGCGCATTAGTGTGAAAGCACAGAATGAAATGAAAGTTGTACTAACAGCTTTGAAATGTATAAACATACAACATTTTGAGCTAATTTCCTTTTATTTAAGCACAAACATGGATGCATGCGCCCAGCAAGCTTCATCCTATTCATATATGAATAAGCTCTCTAATAATTTACTATAGCTCTATGGCCTGATTAAGTGCACATGTGCAGATACAAATCTAGAATAACAGGGAGTGCGTAACAATTTATTGCAAAAGTTTTTCTTGCAACAATAAAACCAAACACAATGGAGTGTGTTCAGTGGAAAAAGTACAATCAGAATGCAAGTCAATTGAAATTTTGTTTGTTGGTTGGTTGTGATGACGAGGCCCGGATTCTCCAATAGATCTCTCTCATAGGACGCCATCTTTGTAGGAAAATTACAACTGCGTGTTTAACGCCATGTGCGCGTAGTGTGCAAAATGTTCTAAACATGCGCTCCTGTTGCTTGGAATGTCTCCAAAATACGGCGCAGCCGATGCGCGTCACGAAAATTTGAAAATTTGACGTCTTAAACAGCCCAAATTTGAAGAGGAATTGTCAAATTTAATATTGTAGAGTGTGTAAATTCAGCAGGAAAACAAGTACAATACAAATTAAATCAACCATTAAGGCAAAGTAAAAAAAAAATGTTTCTTGTCCCCGCCTGCTTCCTTTTTTGGAGGCCGCCTGGATTTTTTTTTATTATTTTTTATTTTTGAAAAATGCAAGTCCACAATTCATCGGAAAATAGACCAATACAAGTCTAAATGACACTGTAAATATGTTCAGTTCTCTTGTCTTACTTATCTTTCATTTTAAAAGTGTCTTTGAACAGTGGAAACACGAACAGTTGCAGGAAATTTTAATATGGCGGCCATCTTGAAACAAAGAAAAAATAAAAATCCCCGCTTCCTCCTTTTTTCAAAAACCCGGACGAGAAACATGTTTTTTTTTTACTCTACCTAATGAAACAGAACATACTCGTTGTCTAGAGGATATCATGAGAAATACTCATTGTATTAAAGTGAAATTTCCTCCGTTATAAACTCATCATGACGTTTTTGTGAAGCCTGAACATTTTTAACAGGAATATCAAACAATACAGTTAATGTTACTAAAACAATTATAATCAGTTTCTAGCAAGAAAATTGCAATGCAAAATAATGAAGAAAAAAAAGTCCCACTAAAAACCCACACACTGGTTTTCGAGACGATGTCTATTTAATTTCTACAGCAAATTAATTAAATTAATATAACAAAAACAACAAAGTGTTTTCTGTGTGAGAATTTAAATCGGAATGAAAAATATTCCTAATACGCAACAAGAACAACACATTTGTGTGGACGACAATTCTGGAAATATATGCTGAGCTTAATTTAAAATGTGTCCATCGATTGTTCACAAAGTAAAGTCTTCAATTAAGAACTCCATAAAATTCCAAGAGAAATCGTGTAACAATTAAAAAACGATTAAACATTTAGAAAAGTACTAATGTAAAATATAATCAAAGCCGTAGAAACTTTGCATTATACTGTTGCACTGAGAAACAAATCTACAATTTGCAAACATTTAGGCATACCTCTAAAAATTAAGTGTAAAAATTATTCCTTTTTAAAAATCCTGAAATTTTCACCGGCACCAGACTATCATGTGACCTCTCAACACCTTCACAAGAGAGGGCGATAAGCCATACAAAATCATCGAAGCATGAAAACTCAATTTGACGGCACGCTACACGGTCAAGTGAGGAAGGCCCTTCAACCAGGTTGTATCGAGACCCTCAGGCTAAGAAGTCTACATCCACCTCACACACCACTGGTAACCAGCATTCCAGCAGTCTTATGTGGTCTCTAGCAGGTTTGAACAAGTGTAGCAATCTCCAAAAAAGGAAAAGGCTAACTACCAGTCTGACTGATGATTGGCTGCGAAGACAGACCTGAACTTACAGGACAGGGCAGGACTTCAAAAGAGAAGTCTGAATATTCAGTCCAAAATTTAGTCCAATTAATATGAGAAAATTATATTCCCAAATCAAAGTCCAGCTAAATAAATTCTAAGTCCAAAAATCCCCAAGACCCTTCCTAGTCCTATCAACTTGCAGACCTATCAGTCAGGAAGCCCTTCAACTAATATTCTATTTCCCTCTCAACCATCAACCAGTCAGCCCAAAGTCCCAAAGCCTACCCTCCAGCTCCAAACCCCTTCAGCTCCCAACTTCTCAACCTCCCAGCCTCAGACCCTCAGATCTGAAAAAATTTCAAGGGGTACCCCTTGATTTCTAAAATTCTGGCCAAAGCTGAAAAATTGTCCAAGTCCAACAACCTAAGGGTTTTAATTACGATAACCGGAGATTTTTTCAAGAAAGTGCCATGGCAGAGCGGAAAAGAAGAGAGCTGGCATGCAGAAGGTACGCGGTTCAACCCTGCTCCATGCTACTATTTTATATATTTTTAAAATTTTATCACTGCTGTGAGGAAAAATTCTCCTCCCGGGTCCCCCGGCTGGGTTTTGAACCGGGGACCCGGCGCCTGGCGGTCAGCGAGCTGGACCGCCAGGCCACTGGCCTCTTCGAAAATTTGTTCTCGGAACTTATATTTAAAGGTAAGATTGCGCAATTTAAAAAAAAAGGAAAAAAAATGGCCGCCTGGGCTCATTTGAATATTTGAATAATAAAAAGCAGAAAACTGAATATTCAGAAGGAAACCACAACAGACCCAAAATTCTGGTTCTCAAATTTAGCCATTTATTCCATATAATTTCTATTGTTGGCCATTATGTACACTTTCTACAAACCTATTTCACACTTTTTGTTTAAAAGTTAATATTACAGTTTTTAAACTTTACATACATGTATTTAACAAGAAACACAATTCTGTCTAATAAATGTAGACGTTAATTTACTTCCCTTTACAAGATTCCAAATTTGTCAATGCTCAATATTTTAAAAGCAAGTCCTACGTTAAATTTGTTCACTAATTTTATTCTTCGGGGGGGGGGGGGGGGGGGGAAAGAGTTGTTTTAAACTTTAAAAGGCCACAAAAGTTGTTTTTAACTATGAAGGCCAAACTTTTGTTTGAATGTGGAAATGGAGTTTTTAAATTTGGTTATCTCGATTTTACTTAAAATTGTCAGTGATTTTTGCCTCAAATCTTATACAACTATTTTTTTCAAATTCTGAAATGTTTTAACCACTTCAAAAAGAAAAACAATACCAGTTCCAATACAGTAATGCCTTATTTCAGGAATACTTGCTTGTACAACTAAATTTAAATAAGTTGAACATTGATTTACGAACATGTTACAGATAATAAATGCATACTGCCCTCTATAAACCAAATATTTTAACTGTGTCTATCTGGCTAGATTTTTATGCCAATTCATTTTTAGAATGCTCAAATTATTTCAAAAACACTTTCCATTTCCCTTTTCTTTCCATAAATTTAAGGACATCTCAAAAAACAAATATTTATGGATTTTGTTTCCTTAAAACTTGGATTTTTCCTCCCAGAACTTTTTTCTATTAGGAATGTAGTTTTAAAATTGTCACTTTACAAAAAAAGACAGTTTCAATTGTATATTGCAAAGAAGTTACTAATGTTTAACTTTGTTTGATAACATCTTTTACATCACACAAATTTGGCCTGATTTCATTCATGTCAACCATATCTTACACCTTGTAACAAAGCACTCCTATGCATCATGTTTAAACCAATTGTTAGTGTGGATCATACACTTTGAGTTTTGAATAATCACATTAGTAAAATTGTATTTATATTCCTTTTATTTCTATAAATAGTTTGTAAAGCGCCAGGGAGCACTTTTTAAATGGATTCGGCGCTACGAAATTCCATTAATATTTCATTATTATTATACATCAATTCATTCATTAAACTCATTCATTAAACAGTCATTAGCAATTCATGGGCAATAGAGGGCGCTCCTCATTGAGACTAATTTTTATTTACCACAACAAGGGTGCACCACTATGTACAACATTTTTTAACTTTCTCTCTTGATATACAAACAAAAATCTCAATTTTAAATTTAAACAAATGATAACTACACAAATGAACAAAAATACAATAATGCCCAGTAACTAATTGGGCAAAACGAGAAAATCTACAGTTTGAGCAAGTATATGGGCAATTCCATGGTGACAGACATTAGAGAGTTTCGGCAGGTTTCAAATTTGCATCAGTATTACAATTTTACGCGTGACGCCATCACTTCAATTCTTTTCGTACGCTAATCGATATAGTGGCATAGGGTTTTAATTCAAATTTTTCTCTTAAAGAAAAATGATAACCACCTCTCATTCTTAATTTGATGATGTACAAGACATAACGTCTGATTGCAATTAGAAGTAAAAGAGTGAATTTTTCAAGGTGTACGATGAATTTTTAGCATTTTTGTGACAAGAAATTATAATGCGATTTTCTCAATAGGTTTACGCAGAGACGCCATGCCAAAAACTGAAATTTGAACACGCCATTATGTTTGCATTTTTTTACACTAATCAGCCGCATCATATAATTCCAATACGCATCATTTTTGGGGGGATGAAGTGTTTTTACATTTTTCAACCTGTAGACGCATTGATCTTTTCTGTCCTTCCCTTTATACAGAACTCTTTCTTTATTGTGACCGACATTACATTAAAAAACAACTCAGGAAACAAATGATAGATCAAATTGAAATTTCTCTTCATGTTAAAGGCCAATGGATGTCATATTTTATTTTTCATATAATTTATAGCCAGTAAAACACTTTATATATGTACAAAGATGTAAAATGAAAGTTTTTATAATCATAATAATTGAGAAATGTAGACACTGTGTATTGAAAAGTTTCTGTTCAGGTCAAGTTTTATTTTCTTTATAAATTTCCAACAGTGACTGTATGCAACAACAAAATATTTTTTTCAATATCCAAACTCAAGAGTTTTAAAATTTATGAAAAACAAAAACGTAATAAAAACCTACATGTATATACCATCAACACCAAAAAGTAACTGATCATAAAGCTAATTAAGTAAGAAACTTTGCAAAGCGACCGTAATAATATTACAGTTGTCTCCAATAAAAACTGTGTTAATAGACTTGCATCATATTTTCTGTGTTACTAAACATTTTGAGGTCTCAACAAGTTTAACAAATTCCATGCTCAATTCTAACTACTTTTTCTCCTAGTTTTATTCTTGCGAAACTTCTCATGTTCTGTTCTTTTCTGTCTATTCCTCTTTCATTTGTTCCTCTTGTGGTCTTCATACAATCCTTTTCTTCCAAGTTTTGTTTCTGTTGTGTCTTTCTCTCTGCTGCAGTAAGTTGCAACTTGGCTGTACATCTTTCCTGAAAATATAAAATATTCAACAGAATTATTCATAATTTGAACATGTTTACATTAACACAATTTTACTTGCTATTTTTCTAGCAATACCAAAGTTATCCAATTTACCAACAACAAAACAAATGAAATAAGTTAGCCAATGTTAAGTAATAAATAGGGAATTATGAATATCAAACTATTTGGGGCCAAACAATAATTCAGTTCTCACAGGGAAGACTTCCCCCACCCCACCCCATCAGAATGGACAATGATAGACTACTAATGCCCAAAAGCAAATCAAATATATTTTTCATTTTATCAAAGGGTTACAGATGTCCAAATTAAATTTTAAAAAGACTTGTTTTGTAAAAAATATATAAGTTGATCAGACAGTGGCTTGGCAATCAGTTGCATTTTGGTTCAAAGAGTTTACTACTTGTATGTGTATGGACTTAAATAACATGTGTACTTGCATTTTCCTCAACTACGGACTGTGCAATAATGTGACTGACATTACGTTACGCTAAGAGATTGTGACTGCATGACATTACATGTGGCCGACATTACAATATTTCATGGCTGGCCTATAAGCATTACCACTAAAATGTAAACAAAATGATATTTTTTTAAAATATACTTGTCAGAAATCAAGCTAAGAAACTTTTAACATAATTATTCATTAGTCAAAAAATGTAGGTACATGTATTTACAAAGAAAAAAGATCTGTTTTGGTGAATTATAAATAACTAAATTTGTATCTCATTTAACAAGCAAAGTCTGACGAAAATTAGCAACTTAAAAATAATATCTATTTTCACAAAGACGCCCTAAAAATGGTAACAAAATATTGAGAAAAATTATTACTGAATAGATAGCAAAAGACTAATACAAAATTCCTTACCAGTGCATCCATAGGTCATCATGAAGTCATTGCAGACTTTGATGTGATGGTGTACCGTAACTCACAAAATAGTGCGCGCATGGGACGAAACTATTTCAGTTTTAAAAACGCCAAAATATATTGTGTCACTTCAGCAAATCAGACTTAAACAAACCGTGAAATAATTGTCTGTTCTTGTGTCTCCACCAGCATGGAATTGCCCATATAACCTTTTGTTCTCATTTAACAGCCTAGTACATTCTAAATAGGCCCAAGGCACCTTGGATGTAGTTTCTCTGATGTTTGATGTCCTCACAAAGTGGTGCAGTTTCAGGGCATTCCAGCATCAAGAGCAACGTCTTCTTGGTATGAGCAGGAAAACCTGAAATTCAAGTTGAAAAAAAAAGGAAAATTGAATACAAATAGCATACTTGTATACATGCAGTTTATGATTACTTTTTGCAGGCTTTTGTAGCTTTTGAGGCTGCACTGATTTGGGAGATTGACTATATGTAGGGAGGAGTTTTGAAGATAGAATTTAGAATTTTAGCTTCCTTTGCGTTCACATCTACAGCAAAATTTTAGTATGAATTTATCATCAACCCATAATTCTCATAAACATTGTTGCAAAAGCAAGTACTCAAGTATATTGAACAAGTTCTTAGCTCACCTGAAACACATGTGTTCCTCTTCTTGTGGTTCTGATAACAGACGTCTGATGACTTACTCAGGTTACTCAGGTCCTGTCTTATCAAAGACTGTGCAAAAAATGAAATATAGATTAGTTATGGAATTACTTGTGAGGCTGTAAGACAATAGTGGTTTATTATCTGAAACAAATAACTGACTTTTAGAGTCAAGTAAAACGGTACACAAACACTATTTCATACACGTGAGCACACAATGGAAAGTTAGAGAATGATGTGAGTGTTCACAGAGCTGGAGCTGGCATTGTAATCATTGGACCATGCAATGCGGGTAGTGGTGTGTACGTGTTTGCAGCCAAAGACAACAATCAGTTGTCATCCAGGGAGTCAGTTCCCAACCAGTCCACGTCTCATCTGCTGTGCCACAGGGCACTGTGTTGGGCCCTCTCCTCTTTTTAGTCTATATCAACGATATTGCCGAAGGACTGAACTCGAATGTCTGCTTGTTCGCTGATGATTGTGTCATTTATCGCAAAATGACATCTTCATCTGACTGCGATGTTATTCAGCAAGACCTGAAGACACTAGAGGAGTGGGAGCAGCACTGGCAGATGTCATTCAAACCAGAAAAATGCAATGTGATCAGATTCACCAATAAGAAAAACATCATCCACTCTTCATACAAGCTCTCTGGTCACATTCTGGAATCAGTTACAAGCCACAAGTACCTTGGCGTCCACCTCTCATCGGACATGAAATGGAATACTCATATCAATGCAGACACAGCTAAAGCTAACAGCATGCTTGGTTTTCTTAGACGCAACTTAGGTTCAGCCCCACCCAAGGTTAAACTCCAAGCCTATCAAAGTTTAGTCTGTCCTCATCTCGATTACTGTGCATCAGTGTGGGATCCCTTCACAGCCACCAATAAACAGAAGATGGAGACGGTTCAACGAAGAGCTGCCCGCTTCATCACTAACACATATACATGTAGCTGGGACAATTCTACATCTGTTACTGCTCTTCTTGAAAAACTGGAATTACCCACCCTGGAAAATAGGAGATACGTACAGCGCCTCACAAACTTCCACAAAATCTTCAATGGATGGATCGACGTTAACGTTCCACCTGAAATAACCATTAAGCAGCCAGAAATAACAACGAGACGCTCAAAACCCAACTACCTTCAGATCCCCTTCACCAATATCAAAGGCCTCCAACACTCATTCTTCTATCAGACCAGCAAGGACTAGAACGACCTCCCTCAGCACATTACTGGCATAGGAGACACCAATCAATTCAGCGATACCCTTAGATCCCTCAGCACTCGTCAATAGCACGTCCATCCCTTCCAAGCTGAGTGATGTTCCTGTAGGAGCTTACAGCTATATCAATCAAGATCAAGATCAAGTGAGGGTACGAAAGAGGGCTGATTGAAATTACCCGCTGCAGTCGGTTCTCAACAAGAGTAAAACTCTCGAGCCGCGGCACGCAGAGCTGTGGTAATGCTTTTGGAGCGTATCTCCTTTCCCTTGTCTGTACGTGTAAGTACTGAGCTGGAACAGCAGCCCCTGAAAGAGATACCCAACAGGCGAACCACCATCCTAGCGTGGGACCCAAGTCCCCCTCCATAGACCCGCTCATGAACTGAATGGTGCGGCAGATGATAGAAGTCAACTGTATGGTGGAGACACCGCGGACGATATTGTCAGGTGAAGATGAAATGCGTACGGCTTGCGTGACTGTTTGACTGCAGCATCCCGGTTGGGATCCATCAGACCTACACCTTTCTGTATAGACGTCGCAAAGACGTCCTTGGTGGTGGTCCTCATCGGAAGGATGCAAACTGTCTGCACCAACCTCACCACCTCTTTGTTTAGCCACTTCAGACTTTTCTTCTGGCAATTGCTGACACGCAACACATACAAAGTGCACTGTTCAATGGCAGTTTGTAGCACATCCAGCGTTTGCCAGAGGCCAGGAGAGAGGATTCTACCTTGCGCAGATCTTCTGTCATCTTGGCCACCAGTGCCTCAATCTCTTGTCGCTTCTGTACAACCTGATACGGATGCCGAGGTAGCAATATAATGCTCCTCCTCAGTAGACATGATTGAAGGAAACTAAAGGATGTAGGCCTATACACTGCTGGTGTCTGGTCAGGTCTGCTGCAAATGGTAGCTTTCCCAACACAAGACACAATTCCAGCCACTAAGTGAAAGAATAGGACAAGAATTGATTGCGCTGTCCGGAGATCTTCAAGGCTGCAGATTTGAGATGGACCCGTGCCTGTAACGATGGAGTCCAAAAGCCGTAGGAATGATCTTGAGTACCACGTACAGGTGTTGGCCTGGCCCTTGTCCATATTATGGTCGCCCAAGGGTTCCTGAGCATTCCTCCACGAGTGTTGGGCACTTTCCCGGTCACTTCCCCAAACCCTCATCTGTGATACGGTTACGTAGAGGGGTTCTCAAGCATGCACCCACAAAAGTGTTGGGCCAGAGCCAGAATCCTCCCCTTATCCGCCTTACTGTTGCCCAAAGGGGCGTCTGATGAGTGTTCCTTCGCAGAGTGTTGGAGATTGGCCGTGTAGTGATTCTTCTCCAGCAGCTTGTCTCCAGAGTTGTTTTCCGTCATCCAGGTCCAAGACCCTCAGATGTTTTACCATCACAGGGAACGTGGTCGATTGCTTGAATGACTGCAAGAACGATGACGTCCTGCGGACAATGTTTGTATTTGCAGTGACAGCTGGTTTATTTCTGTGTGAAGAAGTTGCACTTCTGTCAGTGATGCAGGGGTGCATGTAGATGTGACTGAGTTGACCCTGACTGACTGCTGTGGAGCAGCAACATCCATTATTCTGTCTGCAAGTTCAGCCAACTGTTCGATTTTGACGATTTCACAAGTAGGACATTTTGACTGAAGAAACAACTTGCATGCATCTACTTCAAGCGATCTCCAGTAACTGGGTTGGCTGCATGTCACTGAGTATACACTTGCTGAAACCGTTTTTAGTTTTATTATCCGGAACAAATACCTGACTTTATGAAGCAAGTGAAATGGTAAACAAACGAGATAATTACACATACACACAGAATGGAGAGTTAAATAATGAGTGAACTTTTTCACAGAGCCGTCTGAAGAAGGTGCACTAACAATAACTTGGTTACTACAATGTTCAAGCAAGGATCTGATCCATTAATGGTGCCTAAAAACTCTACTGATCCATTTCAAATAAATAGTTGATAACAACCACTTTGAATAAAGTTTATGCAACTGATCACTGATGCAGGCAGGGATGTGAAGTCAACCATTAATTTTATCCTTTAAATTTATTAGTTCTTGAGTTCTGAAAAAACATTAAAACTACATTCTAAGCAAACCAAAGGCATCGTCATTTTGTCAAAGACACCAAAAACTGACACTCGGTTTTCACGAACTGAAACCGGTCTTAATGTCACCAGTTTAAAGGATTCTAATTCATTTTTTGCGTAAGCCCACAAGTAAATGGATGGCGTAAATTTGTGTTGAACCCTTCAAAGCGTTTTTATATTGCATTTCCATCACATGCTTGTGTTTCATTGGGTAAAAACTACATTATTCTATTACGAGTCAGTGTACTATTAAAGTGCGTGCACACACCCCCATGTCAGTTTGTGAAACTGAAATTATTGATAACACGGTTTTCAGGAACTGACTCCACATGCGTACATGTCAGTTTGTGAAAACAGTGAGGATTTACCTGATGTGTGATGTCACAAAGTAGTGCCGTGTCAGTGCATTTCAGCATCAAAAGCAGCTCATCTTTGAGGTCCAGGTATTGTGAAAACCTTGAATTGGAAATAAAAAGCGACATTAAAATTAATTATATGTAAGTATAGGGACCGTACACGAACCAACACGCAATCGCTCTTTTCGGGAGGTATATAACAGGTGTTTCCACATGTTATTGATCGTCAATGAATCTAAGACTTGTGAGTCATTTATTCCTGATATAATGCAATCCTAAGCTGGCTGTTTTATCAAATCCTGCTTCATTGATCCACACTGGATCTGTCTCACACCTGTTAACCCCTTGATGCTGGTATTGTCAGCCACGGATCAGCGGCACTTTGAGTTTGAATGTGTACATGCAGGCATTTGGATATTGCCCATCAATGAATGCAGCAGGAATGCGGCCACAGCGTTCCCTGGCTCATCACCCTTCATTGAGCTGCAGTCACCGCCGTCAGCCAGCGTTAAGGGAAATGATCACCTGTCTTTAGGTTCAGGCATTCTCCTGATGACAGTCACAGATCACTGACTAAATCTTCAAATCTTCAGAACCACTTCTCTCTTTAGAGACTGTCACTTCACATGCTGTTCATATAGAACTTTTCACTAGTGATTTCTATCGTATTCAACATCACCTACCTAGGCAGAGTCAGCATCCAGGATCTCTAGTAGCTACCATTAAACATCAGCGTTGTTAACTTGAACTTTGCTCCTCCACCCCTAGCTACCGACTTCCTCAACGGGATGTGCTCTAGCGCCCATCGCATGGCAGATGGCAGAGAGGTTGGAGCAAAACTACTTCACTGAAACATCCGTCTGTGGTGGCAAGAAATTGGAGATGCAGTGGAAGACCAGGAGACTACTGGTGAAAGATGCTGGTCATCACCTGGCTGTCAGCAACCTCCCTATGGATGCCACAGACAAAGAAAAGGAGACAATACCATCAACGCATGTCATTTGTAACCAGCATGCTTTATATGCAATTGTTGACCAGCTAGGAAGGCAGCTGCAGCTTGCGTGTGTCACACTTGATCGGCAAGTTTCTAATATTCAAACATTCATTTAAGTGCAGTTTCGAAATCATCAGTTTGGAGTCATTGGTTTGTAGATCATTGCTGTGCTTTTACAGTCATTTTCCAATAATGTTGTTTGGTTTTTAATTTTTTCTTGCTGTCCATTTATCTAAGTCTTAGTTTTTTTCAATATTCTCCAAAAATTGTATCCAATTGTTTATTATTTTTATCCTTGAAAGTTTTATTTTTCTCCTTGGCAAATTCATTTTAAGTTTTTAATTCGTTGTTTGATCCAGATTGAGATTGCTTTCATGTATTTCAGAAGACTTTTTTTATTTAAGGATACAAATTGTTTGTGTGTGAAAGATCTCCTTTTTTATCGGAATAAATTAAAAATTTAAGAAGTCTATTTGGTTTCCTTGATTCCTGTTCTTCTTTGTCCCAGTTTCTAAAAGTACATCATGACATAATCATTCAAACCTGTTTTTTTTCTTAGTGAGCCATTTTTTGCCGTTACACAAGTATCAACCATCTTGGACTGAGAAAATATCACAATTGTATGTGTTTGCATGCAGTTAAAATAAATATATTGACAAAATACCAAACATTTAACTAGTCATAACCTAGAACAACATTCTATTTCAAACCTGAAAATCTAGCTTTCCCACCACCACTTTCCAACCACCACTACTTCAGAAAGTTCCGATGAAGGTTGATTGGTCAGTCAGTTGTAAATCTACTCGTGAGAAACGCTCTCCTCTGCAAGGCTATCATGCTGTCTGTGTGGTCCACCTGCAGAGGAAGATGTGAGATAGAAACAAAAAGGCATATCAGAGTCAAGTCAACTTGAATTGGATTGAGAACAGTGGGATCTTATAATAGTGTTTATCAGACAGGGCTCATAGTGGATCATCAGACAATTTCAGAATTTGAGAACATCTCAACTACAAAGAAGATATTGTATCCATCACAAATAAGACATCAATGTTGTAGTTACTATCAAGAGGACATGCAGACTTGAATTGATCTCAAGAGATTATGGAGACTATAATCCGATGAAAACATTTGAAAGCAGTTTCTGAGGTGGAACCAGTGGACACTTTCAGGGCATATGCACAATCAGCGAATCATTCGTAGTTTGAAAAAAAAACGTTTACAACTTGCAAAACTGTTCTTCAAATACACATGTGTAAATCTTTGTGACAACAGCAGAGAGTCTACTCTCTACCTTGGAAGTCAACTACAATTGCTCCTTGATTTCAAAGCACAAATGCAAAATCAGAGACCTTATTAAACTGGTAGTTCTTGCTAACAATGACTGCGGCAGATCTTGTCTCCTGCGTGTTTCTCAGAGCCCATACTGACTATCAGGAAAGGAAGGAAAGAAAAACAAGAAATTCATGTTTGATATCTGAAGGAAATAAATGATCAGGGCTGAGAATGACCAGAAAGCATAATTCATGATAAACGAGGGAGTTTAAATAAATTTGCCAAAATGCACTGCGAAAACCAATTTGGAGCCATCGATTACGTCGAAAATAAATTTCTTCCCAAAGTTAGAATGCATGTGAAAAGTACAAAATCTGACTTGAGCATGTATTTTTGCTCTGACAAGGACCTCTGAATTGGCAAATGTGCGATCATAATTTCAGCCTTTTCTTAGGTTTATTCGTTCCCTTTGCTGTCTTGAATTGATCATCTTCAGTCAGATGTTTTGCTCACCTTTGGTTAGAATGATTCATTGTCACCACAACAAATTCCTCTACAGCCTCTCATCTCCAGTGGGGGGGGGGGGGGGGGGGGAGGGTTAAACTGCAATAACAAAATAACTCGCAAAACAACATTATCCAGTGGCAAATTGGTGAATTTCCTTTTCAATTAAACTGGAAACTGTTCAGTTTAGAAAAAGTTTAATTTGCTGATGCATTTTTAAACAGACTGACCCGACAAAATCAATTTTAAACCGTCTCATGCAGAGCATCAAAAGCCATTAATTTAGAATGCACTTCAAAGTACAGAATTTGATTTGTTCACGGACAAATGTCCAATCGTAATTTCAGCCGGTTTGAAGATGTTTCTCCATTCCTTTTGCTGTCTATAATGGATCAGTTGCAATGAGATGCTCACCTTGGATTGGACGATTGGATTCCCCTGAAGTCGTTGGTTCATCGCTACTTTCCCTCTTCTCTCCAGTAAGCTTCTCATCCGTGGTAGCGTGTACCTTGCAGTGTTATCAAAAACAAAACAAAACAATCATTCAAGTGGTCAAGTTTTCAATGTTCATTTTGCACACAAATCTTGTCCACAATTTTGTACTTCCAATTATAAACACAAAAGGAATTTTATTTGTGTTGTTTTACTTATTTGTTATCTTTATTTAGCGTGCCCAGAATTTTTAAGCTATAGATTCAGAATGCCGAGTTAAAACTGGAGTGAAATTTTGAGAGGTGGAATCAATTTCAATTTCAACAAAAAGGGCCTTGCTTTACCCACTCTGAACTCCAGTCAGAAAAAGAGGAGGAGATTGTTTTCCATTGTAAAAAAAGGTTTTAAAATCTTTCTCCAACAGAATGCTTTGGTTTACTTGATGGAAAAAATAATAATCCATGAAACAAATGGAATGTTTTTTTGGAGTCTAAAATTAAAGTCCATTTTGACTGATCAGCAATAATTATGTTTGTTGAGAATTTATTTTTCAAAAGTTGCTTATTAAGTTTCAAATTTCTTAAAAAATTTATTCCTTCTTAAAATCTTACCTTGTTTTTAGATGTAACCCTTCTGGAAGCACATCCTGGTAAGATTAGTTTAAACAGGGCCACCACGTGAAGGTCCCAGGATACCAGCCCCAAACACGCTTTCAGTATCGTCAGGTCCTTTGCTGGGCAAAAGGCCGGCCCCGGAGGGCCATGCACAGTTGCCGACTGTCCGGTACGCCCACCCAACCCCGAAGGATCAGGAGAGTACCCTAACCTATATGCGTGCCCCCCTAAGTCCATCCCCCATTACGGGTTCATGCGGTCTGATAGGAAGTAGCAGCGTTTGCCGGCTGTGAATACAGGGCCACGCCCCTATAAAGAGGGACGCACTACCTGCTCCTTTATGGCACGGCATCCTAGGGTTTCCAGGCCGCTGCGTAGGACCCACGCCCCACGTGAAAGGCGGACCTTCCACGCGGACGCAACCCGTCCCTTGAAACTGGGTTTGCCCCGCACCTCAATCGGAGAACCAGTCCAACTCCGATGACCTGTGGAGAAACCACCACCTACACCCCACACAAACCACCACCTACACCCCACACAATAACAAGCACACACCCACCACCAACCAGTACATCACAAACACATATTTCAACCACCCTGGACATTCTTATTGTTTAAGTAAAACATTAATCAAAATGTAATCTTTAAAAAAAATAATAAAAAAGAACAATTTGGGCTGATGGGAATGTTTTCCCCCAAACTTTATTTCAACAAAATCCTGAGAAACAAATTGGCTTTTGTGCTTATTTCCAAAACTTCTTTTTCACTCAAATTTAAGTTACATATATATGTACAAGCACATTTGAATTTTTTTTTTTGTGAGAGAATTTTTATTACAAAATTGCTAAAAAAATGCCGCGCAAATTGGTTCACATAAGATAATAATGTACTGCAGTTGCTTTGACTTATAGAATCAGGATAGATTCAAATTTGCTTGCACATGAAAAAGTACAAGAATTGTGGTTCGACTTACTCTGAACAAAACGAACGACTCCACTGTCACAATCCGGGGGGAACAAGTGCATGTGGCCTTGAGCTGCAAAGGAAATGGTTACCTCACCTCGGTTAACATGCAACCTTGTTTCCCCTGCACCGATGATTCCGAACAATCCAACGAATGACTCCACTTGCAAAAACTGTCACAATCCAAGGGGGGGGGGGGGGGGGGACAAGTGCATGTGGCCCTGCAAAAAAATGGTTACCTCACCTCAGTTAACATACAACCTTGTCCCCCATGCCGACGATTCCGAGCAATCTATCGAACGACTCCACTTGCAAACTGTACACTTTCACAATCCAGGGGTCTCTTGTGCATGTTCAGGTCTGCAGAAAATCAATGCTAATAAATTAATGTTTGTTTAGTTTGAAGTATTTTCCTTGTATTGCCTTTGGTCAAATAATGAAAAGCTGAAATTTATAATATACCAGATTCATTATATGTGCCATTTTTACACTTAAAAAACAGATTGGTGAACATAACCAATCATTGGTTGAATTAATCAACAATTGTTAAATATGTGTTGAACTAATCGGGTTGGTTGGATACATTTTAACCCACATTGGTTATTTAACCAATCTGTTTTTAGAATGACCTATAGTGTCATGCCCCATAACATGTGTTAATTTGTGAAACAAACCCAAAGCTAGTTAAATGATGCATTGCTATAGCATCAGCAAAATCCTTTTTAAGTATCTGACAACTAACAATGATTTTTTTTGGGGGGGGGGGGGTTACCTCTGAGGTTTCTGAGTGATACAGGCATCCACAGGTAGCGAGGATGGCGAATTCCACTTCTCCCAACATCAGAAAGTCACCAGAAAGTCACCAGAATCATTCCACTTCTCCCAACATCAGAAAGTCACCAGAATTCCACGTCTCCCACATCAGAATAGGCAGTGATCCTCAAAGTTCCAGTTGGTCCTTCCAAACAAGCATCGTCCTTCCAAACAAGCATCGTCCTTCCAAACAAGCATCGTCCTTCCAAACAAGCATCGTCCTTCCAAACACGCATCGTCCTTCCAAACACGCATCGTCCTTCCAAACAAGCATCGTCCTTCCAAACACGCATCGTCCTTCCAAACAAGCATCGTCCTTCCAAACACGCATCGTCCTTCCAAACAAGCATCGTCCTTCCAAACACGCATCGTCCTTCCAAACACGCATCGTCCTTCCAAACACGCATCGTCCTTCCAAACAAGCATCGTCCTTCCAAACAAGCATCGTCCTTCCAAACACGCATCGTCCTTCCAAACAAGCATCGTCCTTCCAAACAAGCATTGTCCTTCCAAACAAGCATCGTCCTTCCAAACAAGCATCGTCCTTCCAAACAAGCATCGTCCTTCCAAACACGCATCGTCCTTCCAAACAAGCATTGTCCTTCCAAACACGCATCGTCCTTCCAACACGCATCGTCCTTCCAAACAAGCATCGTCCATCCAAACACGCATCGTCCTTCCAAACAAGCATCGTCCTTCCAAACAAGTGTCCAAACAAACTTCCAATATTGCATGGAGTTCAAGGTAGGCATGTTCTTCAGTTGTGCTTCCAAGACGATTGTATCAAGTTATGTTGCAGTTTGCAACGAGTTCGCACTGGAGAAACGCAATACTCAACAAAACAGTCATGTCCATCCTTTGTTCCAAACTGGTCAGATGTGCAGCAGTATTGCCTGTACTGTTAATGTCCAAAGTTCATCCAGGGGCAACTTATAATTGGAGGTGATTTTCAGAGTTTCTCCATAAATGACTCTCACATTTTACTGCTCCGTACTGAACATTGTCCCAAGTATGTCAAGGGCCAACTTGAGTAAATGTCCTATACCTCAATTTTAAATCATGTGGTTATGGCAAACAAGAAATGTGAGTTACCTTGTTTGTAATTACAGTTTTGAAATAAAATTCTTTCAGGTTTATGCCTCATACTAACTAATCCTTTCAAACATTTGTTTTTATGAATGTAGTTTTTAAAGTGCATTTTTAGATTGAACACATTCTTTATTGTTTGGCTATTTATCATTTATACCATTTTCATAGAGAATTTACTTTCATTAAAAATGTTTGTCCATTTTCAACATTAAGATTGCTTTTTAAATATGTCCTTTTTTTTTAGATAATGCGCTGAAAGAATTTGTTTAAAGCATTTTCATTTTTTTTTCTTGTTTGTGCTCATTATTTCAGCCAAATGTAAAAGTTGACTCAAATTGTTTACATTTCAATAAATTGTGTAAATGCCAAGAACTGTTTTTACTGGCAATCCAGCTTTGAAAAACTAAGATAATGCGCAAGTGAGGTTCCCAAGAAGCGTGGAATATTTGCCCAGTCCTTGCAACATTTGGACAGGTCTGGTTAGTGGTTAATTAGGTGGTTTATGTCGTCAGTGCCAGTGGTTAATATGACTGTCTGTCAATGGATGCATGCAGATGATTGAATGACTTAACAAATGCTGCAAGGGTCCACAGTTTTACACAGAATAGTGGAAACAAAAATGACTTTGGCATACTTGAATGCTATCACATTGTAGTCAAAACTGGATTGCCATCCCAAGTGAGCTGCCTCACATCTAAAGCTAAATTTGACTTTTATTCGCTTTGTCCTTGGGTTTTGTTACATTTATGGTTCTGCTGATGCTTTCTAAATTAACTTAAAATCAAGTGGAAGACTTAGTTTTAGGCACTGAATATTCTTAAGTCTAAACAAATTTTGATTTCATTTATTAAAGTGAATTAAACATAGTTATACATATTTGAAGTTTAAATTTACTTTTATGAGCACTAACCTAATGTTAAGGTTAGGTTTACTGTGCAACTTTTTTTCAAGTTATTTTAAAATTGAACTTAATTAGTTCCAAGCATCTACGTGCTCGAGGTCTAAACATCACGAAGATTTAGTCCATTTGTTAATGTATTTGGAATCAAATCACTCATTTCGGATTTCAGTTTAACTACATAACTCATAAGATTATTTCCATGCCCTAAGAAGTTGGCCCTATAGACTTTACTGGAGCTTTGTTCTAGAGCATATTAGTTCAATGAACAGAGTTGAACCATGACAAACCGAATGGCAAGGACTTTGAAAGTTGGGCATTCCTTCAGTTGAAGATCAGCTTTGTGTGGTTCACATAAGCATTCTTGACAGCATCCACTTCATTGGCTCTGAGTCTGACTGTCATGATAACCACCTGTAAATAACAAGAGTGCAACTGATCAGTTTTCAATGGCAGACCTGTGAGAGCTACCATTCAGTACTGAACATTCAAGAGACATGCAGGCAAATAAAATAGACATTTGAAGGAAGTGTAGAATTATTTAGCAGGCTAGATTCAGCTGCCTTTTTTTTTTTTTTACAGTAAACAAGATTTAGCCAGATAGATTATACGTACAGCGCCCCCTTTTGACACATACTAGTTAGCCTACTTTATAAAATGTATCAATCAAATTACCCACATTGTTTGTGCATGTGCAAGACCTGTGGCCTAGTGGATAGCATGTGAATCTTATGAGTGAGAGATCCCCAGCACAGCAGGGTTCGATTCCAAGCTCTCAACATTTTCAATTTTTGTTCATCCCAAAAAATTAAGGATATTCTTTAATTATTTTAAATCGACTAGAACTCTGACATTTAACTACCCATTTCGGAAAGATTTCCATATACGAAGTTCACTCAACACTCTGTGTACAAACCCTATGAGAGTGGACTGAAAAATTCTAAGTGTTTTCTAAGAAAATGCTTGTATTTTCTCGCTGCTCAAATTGACTTTGATGACATGAAATTGCTATCTGGGGGCTGGTTAGTCAATACAGAGGAAAATTAGTGAACTTCGCATATATATGGTAATCTTGCCCCCATTTCTTTTCTCTGATTTTTTCTGATTCTTGGCTCTGGAGGATTTTTTTTCAAATGAACCCTAAAGGGGCCGGGATAGTTCGACCATCTCTCAGCCGGGTGGGGGGGGATTCCCCCCCCCCCCCTAAGATCTCGGCCATCGAATGACGAAAAATTTTGAAACTCAACACATGCATAGAGCAACTCTTCCTAAACATGCCCAAGAAATTTCATGACTATAGGTCAAAGGGTTTTGGAATTATGGCTAATTAATTATTCAAATGTATGAATGGAAATTCTGCTCAGTGTACACGACGTATATGCGAAAATTCAGTTTTCACAGCGCATAGCGCCGGAAAATTTTTCGCTACGTGCCAACCCGTGGTCTGATTTTTATGTGTTTGGTATCAAAAGATGCGCAAAGCTCGAGGCTAAAAAGTCATAACAGCTCATAGAAGCTATCGCGGAAAATGTTGAGGGAGGGGCGGATTCCGCCCCCCCCCCCCCGGCCCCTTTTGGTTTAAAGGGAAATAAAGTCCGAAATTGTAAAATGGTCAGATTCCGTCTCGTGAATACAAAGTCAAAATGACAATGTTGTAGCGGTACCAGACTAAGATCTATCACAGTAAAAATGTAACTGTGCATGTTCAGTGCTTATCTGGCAAAATATCGTTTGCTTCAAGAAAGCCGGCGCCGGCTAAATATACTCCCACTGCCATGGGCGTCGCCAGGATTTTTTCTAGAGGGGGGCAAAAATTTTTTTTGCCAAAAAATGCTTGTATTTCTCAACACATTCTGGATTTATCAGTTTTAGAGGGGGGCAGGGACATTTTGCCCCCCCCCCCCAACTCATTAAATTTACACCACTTTGTCTTCGCGCCTCTTTTTCTTTTCTTTTTTTTTCTTCCTTTTTTTCCTTTTTTTTTTTTTTTTTTTTTTTTGCTTTTCCGGGGGGGGGGGCAAGTGCCCCCCCTTGCCCCCCCCCCCCCCCTCGCGACGCCCATGCCCACTGCCAAATTTGAAAAAGTCTGGGGATTAAAATTACTGTTTTTATCCAATACCAGCATGCATTGCAAATGTCACAAATGTTTATTTTATCCTTTACCCCTCCTGCCCCCTTCCATATAAACCGTTGGTACCCCCTCCGCAGTCAAATTTCTGAAACCACGCCCATTTCCAGATTCTCAGAAAATGGAGAAAATAACTCACGGAATTCCTTCTTTAAAAACTTAGGATTTCGGACCGTGTTTTCAACTGCATCAACTTCAGAAGTATCAACAGTAGTTCAGTCACTTCCACCTAACTTTCCAAGGCCAAATGGTTCACATTCAGACCAAAATTGGCAAACTTACTTCGACTGTTCTGACGTTTTTTCGAAGTCCTCCACCATACGTGCCCCGCCAATTTACGAACGCGCAACGAACCACGTGAGATTGGATGGTGAACAAATCCGTGGTCCCTGTACTATTGCAATGATTTCAAAGGCATTGGGGGACGCGAACCAGTTATTTGTGCGGCGCCTTATTCATCAATGAAAATTACCCGGCATTATTTTGTGGGGTAGTTTTTAGTTCCTTTTAGCTTGGGGTAAAAGTCGGGTGTATTTTCCCCTTCTCATTCACAGTTTTTGTTTATCATCTTTTTAAATTCTCGCAATTTTTATTAAACATTATTGGAGACATGTATCTAAGAAAAGATCGTCTGAATAGTTTGCTTTGTTTTATTTTATTTTAAACTGAGTTCCCTTATTTTTGTATTGATGGATGGGTTCACCCTTTCCATTAATTTGGTATAGCCAGGACTGAGCGGAATGTATATGTAAATTAGTACAGGTGCCAGTGTCTTTTCTTTCATCACGTGATAACTGCACCCCCCCCCCCCCCCCCCCCCGCGACGCCCATATCGAAATTTCTAAAAGTGCCGCGATTTCTATATTCCTCTATTTTAATATTTCTCTATTCAATATATATTTAATATCTAATATTCCTCTATTTAATACATTCAGCCATAGAGGGCGGGCTTTCCATTGTGCGGCTAAAATAAACTTGTCCTCTGATAACCACCTCCAACCCATAATAGAGACAGATAATAAACTCTACAAAAATATATTTTTAGGGAATATGGAAGGGAGGTCAAACAAAATGCGCATTTCTGTTCTTTAACAAAGTGGAGTTGTTTTTGGTAGCGGGGTCTAGACGGCAAGTATAGTTAATTCATGAAAGGGATGAAGGGGGGGGTATTTGTTGTTTACATGTTCCATTTTTTGGTGTTCATTGGGTGCCAGAAAAATATTTTAAAAGGCTTTTTGTTTTCAAATAAAGAGTCACCATGGTGTCGCTAATCCCACAACAGCAAAACACAACAGGTCCACGCCAAAACAATGTAATGAAACAATGATTAATTCAAGACAACTTCAACTTATTTGAAGTCGTCTTGAATTAATCAAAGAAGCTGTCTTGCAGACCGAAGTGGGGGCCACCAGAAATGCCTTTTGAGATAAATCCACCAGGGAACAAGTGAAGACGACTGTTTTTAAAACGAAATTGAAGTCTATTCATCCCCATTGCCACTTAATAATACAAAGAAAGAAAAGAAAGGAAACACTGTGCCACTCCCATAAAATGCGATCTAGCCCCGCCCCTCCACATAAGGAATTGGCAACAACTGGCCTGTCGGTGACCCCTTTCTTAATCCCCCAACAATAAATGCTTCTGGATCCACCAGTGATTTAGCTGTCTAATCATTTTTTTTAATTGCATGAAGTAAATTTGTGATTGTGTTGATATATTTTCTAAGGAATTTCTTTGGATATCCTCATTATGAAGCCTGCATGCCTGATTACAAAACCCAAGTGGTGACCCAGCTGTAGAATTCAGAGACGGGAGATTGGTCCATCACTGAGGGAGGAATGGAGGCATAACACAACAATCATCTAACCTCAAAGATTTCTCCTTGATTGACCCAAGTCATTGCATGCAATGATTTATTACACGATAATAATCATACAAAGTACACAATGTCAAATAACAATCCCGGACGTCTTAAACTTTGCCCAAAATATCTGGAAAAACAAAAGAAGAGATCAGAAATGTTTCTGCACCAATAACAAATAATACAACCGACTTACAATTCCAACATATCTCTACTCATAGTTAACAAATAAACTTACTTCCGCCAAACGGTGTAAATATCAGATATTTAATTTTTATTTTCAAATTAAGACAAGATAAGTTTGCGGTAACACCATGTGAATAAATCTCTTTTGTGAGTATGTGTGGTTCTGAAAAGAACCGGAGGGACTCAACGTCTCGAACAGTATGCTCTGCCTGTCGTCAGGAGAATGAGGGATTCCAACGATGATGAGATGTTATAAGGATGGGTGCGGTGAGGCGTGACAAGGATGCAAACTGGTGAAGCTCCAAACCAGTGCAGCTGAGAAGGATGCAAGTTGACTGATTTATTCACATGGTGCTACCGCAAACTTATCTTGTCTTAGTATCTTTCCACCATGCAAACCTTCAAATCATATTTTCAAGTTAAATAAACAAATTGACTGTAGCAGGATGACCGTTCCGGATTACCGTACCGGAACAGGAATCCGGAGGTCAATGGGTCAAACCAGCTCCAGTCAATTTCTTTGTTCAACTTTCACGTTATTATAATGCACCGAGTCAGTTCTCCTTTGAGGTTTATTTTTATGACAGAAACCAAACTATCCAGAAGTCAGCAGATATCCTGACTTGGAGTCCGTGCCCGAGTGATGACCTTATCTTACAGAGTTGCACATTAATGATCACAAGAAAAAAATCACAATTATGTAGTTTGTAAACCATGGCTTAATGGCATATAGGAACATTTGTATTTCATGCAATTTGTTCGTTTCCAATACATGTAATATCATCACTGTTGCACAGAAGAATACTAAAAACCTAACATGTTGAAGCTTTGGATATTACACTTTTCAAGAAAAGAGTGAAATATCCATGCACAAACTTTTGATCACTAAACGCAATTTCGTCCATAGAACTCTTATTTCCAAAAATCAGTCAATTGACTTATCATTGGAAATCACCTACATTTCTTGATTTCTTCTTAATGACAGCAAGCCAGATGGAATAATTTCACAGGGTGTTTAGTACCAGTACGATCATTAATCCAAGTGAGCTTTTTGATTACAATTCGGTAGGTTACTTTTGGGATAAATGCAAATGATCCCATCCCATATCCCTTTAAATGTGTAAATTAATGAGTACAAAAATCCCCATCATTTAAAATTGCAATCAGTTCGGCTTTGCAAATACAGTGTTTAAATCTCATTTTCATCAAAATCTTCTTTCACGTGTCATGCCAGCAACAACATAATGTAAGTAATGTAAGTAAACATTACTTACATTCAGTTTACATTTCCAATGTGAATAAATCAAAACGCTGATTCAAAGTCTACTTTTTCTCTCCTGCAGAACGACTTTTACCAAATTGAATGGTTGCATTTGGGCATGTTATAAACGACTGCTATCACCTGGGCAACTGCAAAATATCAAAACTGTTAGAAACAAAAATGTCAGTTTTCATACGAGAATATTGATCATACTTGGAACAAACAAATCTAGTGTCAATCAATACTTTGAAGAGGCTTGCAATGATAAAATCAAGCAAATTGTCCACTTGTACCTATTTCAACATAATCAGAAACACAGAAACATTTTCACGTATACAACAATTGCAACGATTGGTCCTGAATGAGCAAACATGACTGTCCTCTGACAAAAATGTGTCATTTGGCAATTCAACATTCTACATGTATATATTATACATGAATTGTTTGACAGTATGAACACTGGTTAGTAATTCTCAATATGGACATAGGCCTATAGTTGAATAGTAAACAAAATCCACGTTATACTGTCCTTACACAACTGGACCACTTTAAAGGTATATTACATAAACAGTCAAGGTTAAAGATCTATACAAAAGGTGATCTATACATAAATTTTGTCATTTTATGCGTAATTTACATTAATTTACCCAAACGATTTGATAAAGAATGAAGCACAAACACTCAACAGAAACATCTGTTTGAAAGGTGTGAAGTTGCGAGAATTTTCCGAATTTGTACATAAGGCAAACGCAAAACAATTTAAAAGTACCCGAGGTTTGGGGTATTATTCTGTATACTAAGTTTTGCACAGCACTGGTCTATGGAAGGGTGTCGTGCAGCCATTTGCGTGTGGTCACATTAGTTTGTTTGAATGCCATATTACTACATTGATCGGATAACAGGGTAGGAGGAGGCCTTTGTCATAAAAGTTGAAGACATCTAACACAACTTTTTCCTAAGATGATGCGATTCAAGATATTTTCTCAAAAGAAATGGAAAGGAGAGGTGGATTCTCCTGTTTAATTGACAATTAGATTGTAGATTTATAATAGTACTCAGAGGTCACCCAAGATACAAGGTCAATTTAATATCACTTTCAAGTGACACCCAGAATGCTTAGTACAGTGCTATTATGTTTGAAGATTTCAATGAATCATTTTGTACAGGAATTGTTGATTGACTTTTCACACTGATTGATTGATCAATTGATGGATTGAATTTTTTGGGGGATGGAGGTTCAGTAGAATGAAGAACTATGCTGGGTATATTATTTGTATTCATAATGTAAGAGGATTCCGAATACATCCATTTGTATTGAAACCCTTTTGTTGACTTTTTATTCATTATCGAGCCCCTTATTGTCCTCTGAAAATAAAGTTTTTTTGTTATTGATTGTTAGTTGTTTGTTTACTTATTCTTTTTTTTGGGGGGGGGGGGGTTGCAGAGCACTGACTTCACATAAAATGACCCATGATACATGCTACTTGTTTCAATTTAATGCGGCTCGTGAGCGTGGTGCATTCATAGGGAACAGGGTGAGAGTTATGACTTGGTGGGAGATTATTTAGGCTTTTCGAATTCTCCCTCTTCTGTTTCCTTCAGGTGAGGGAGGTTTTGACTGACAACTTGTCTGATGAGTTCAGCACTGAGGCCGATGTTACAAAGTCTCAACCCACGTAACTTAGGGAGACCTTGGAGATGATGGGTGAGAGCCCTCACTGCATCCAAACTGAATGCATTGCCATCAAGGGCAAGCCTTTCTAAACCATGCCCAGCAGGAAGGATGCTGATCAGGTCCTTCACATCATCATCTACCAACCTGCATGCAATGAGCAGCAAGATTGTAAGGGATGACAGTACGTGGCTGACATCTCCCATCTGTGCATGCAGGTCAATGTTAAACAGTGAGAGAAGACCCAACCTGCATCCTTCCAGTGCCTTCAATAGATCAACAACCTCATCCGGTGATCGTTGGTTCATAACCAAACCAAGCCTGCCTACATATATTTGTTCCTGCATGCAGAAAAGACTGTGTGATACATGCCCCACGTCAAACCATGACTTTGCCTCAATGTGAATCAAAATGTGTAATCGAGCAGGGTGCTGTACATCCACCACACCAAGTGTTTCCTCAAGAAGGCTAAGCTTCTCCTCCTGCTCAGACAAGAAGTAGTCAACATATATCAGCTCATCTGACTTCATGCTGTCACTCAGAAGAATTCCCCTGAGAAGGGTAAGCTCCTGCTTTCTTACATCTATTTTAAAACCTGTGCCTTTAAGTGGTGGAGTGACATGCTGTAAGTAGTAGCTCAGTGATTTCAGGTCTTCGTTACTCTCGCAGTATACCTCAGTTGGTCTGACTAGTTTGGTAGCCAACTCTTTCGAACTAGACTCGAAAAATAGCAACCGAGCCAATCTCTGCAGTTTCATCTCGTCACCTTGCATCTTTTGTATGTGATCCAGAATGAGACCAGCAGCCTTTCCTGATCTACCACAACAAAATCTCAGCAGGTATTCCATTGCATGAACATTGTGTTCTCGAATCTGCTTCAACTGATGACGGAAATTGTTTTCGTCATCTTGTAGCAATTTCACCAGGTGACATGCTGCAAAGTATTCTTGGATGGACTTGTGGGGGAAAGTGACCAACACCTTTACATCCAGACCACACGTGAACGTTTCACGTTGAACGAAACCCACATGACAACCCTCAGCTAAGGAAGACTGACAATTCTGCAATTCAGTTTCATTGAACATGAGTCTTTCCCCGCTAGAGTCTAGTAGCCCTTGCAATGCAACACGCCCCAAGTCATCAATGATGGACATCATGTGCTGATCACCCATTTCTTCATTGCGGCGAATGAAAAGAACCTTTGCAAACTTTGTAAACAGCTCAGTAATTCTCTCAGGCAATGACTTTTGATTCTTCCAAACAAGGCACATCATCTGGGAAATGATTGGAACTTTGGACATTTCCGATAGATGTTGATTGGTTTTCAGATATGAAACCAATGCCTCTCCCATGTCAGCATCATCAGGAAGGTTTAATCTGATGTACTGATCTCTGTCTTGTGGATTGAAGCCAGTTGTCTCCACCCGGGCAAATGTTGGGTGACCCTCGAGTATTGAATCAACCATGTGCGGTCGGGTTGTGACCAGCACAAAACTTTTTGTAAGGACTCTGTTGTGTAAGATATCCTGAACCCTGTACACGCCCTCCTCAGATTGCAAAACATGAGATGGAATTTGATCTACTCCGTCCAACAGCAAAGCAATGTGTGATTCATGAGCAGCAATAAACCCTTTCACTATGGATTTTGTCAGTTTGGTGTCTTGAGCTAGAATTTGGTCAAATATGGCATCCAAGACACAACTAGATTGCTGCATTTGCCTCAGCTTTATCCAAAGCACAAGATCGAATCTACCACGAAGGGCTTTTGAACCAAGTGTGATGCAAGAGTTAACAACTTTCACTAACAGGGTTGATTTACCCGTTCCAACCCCGCCATAAAGAAGAATTTTGATTTCCTTAACTACTTCTGGATTTAACAAATCATCCAAGGAATTGAGAGTTATTGTCTCATTGATATCTAACAATGTGTCTCCTTCTGGTAATCTCACCGACCTCACTGATTTTGTTTTGCCTGGAATGTGCTTTATTAGATGGAGAGGTACAAAAAATTCCTCAGTACCCACTTGACATGACTGCAGTATAGGGTGTGCAGGAATAGTTGTTGCAGTTTGCTTGTAGTTGTCGATAATTTCCTGTTGTAAATCCTCAAAGGTACCCGGCCCCTGGAGTCCGGTGATTTCTATAAGAGTAATACAATTATAATGAAAAAAAAACATGAAAAAAAGTAGAAATGCTGCAAACTGCTTACTGACTGGATGGACCTGGAATATATAAATCTAAAAATTAATGTAGCCTGACATGGCGAACTTAGCAAGTTCTTCTTCTAATTTTTACAATTATATTGAGTAATTTATTTGAGAAGTGATGAACATTGAACAGAAGTGATGATTCATTACAATTATACTTTTGAGCTACAGTCAACAAAGCTGAACATTCTGCTGGTCTATATTTTCAAGTCCTCGCACCACCTATCAATTTTTTTTGTTCCTGTTTTTAAATATTTTTTTGTTACATTTATCCACATAAATAGTGATTAGTTAATACACTCAACCAAAAAAGAAAGCCCCCCCTTCCAATATTTTTTTGTTTAACTCAAAAACTACTGAGCACTCTCGCTCAAATAAAGACCTGTCAGTACAGAAATTCCTTAGCAATCCAGCCATACTCTTTATTTGGCCCAAAACAGTGATAATGTGTACAAAATTATGCAATTGATGACAAATGATACCGAAAACAGTTGCACTTCTGTATACGTGCAAGTTATGGTTCACACTCACCTTGCACAAATACAAAAGTGCAACTTTTTCGGTACAATTGTCACTTGATGATATCTGGAGACAAGGTAAATGCGCGTAACTTTAGGGTGTAACAGTTGCCATTTTGGTTTGTTACTATGTCTTCATAATCATTTAGTCACCTATATGCTTAAGAAAATGCTATTGGGGTCAGGAAGTGTAAGTAGAATCACCAAAACAAACTTTTCAAGAAATAAAATGATACAAAATATACCAAAATATGAGAACAAATATATAACACCACAGTACTAAAGATTTATGCAAATTAGGCACATTTCCACAAAAAAAGGCCTGGTAACCATCATTTTTGGATTCAGCACCTCCGAATTAGGTAAAATAACTATGTTACCAACTTTACTCGAAAATGCCTCTCTTTGTCCTAAATGAGCCCTTTATTTGAAATATCGCCTAGTCTATAACTAAAAATGGTAAATTGGGGGCAGTATTCCAACGCTTGTCGGATGACCAGCGTTGGAAATTGATAAAAAAAACAGTTAATTCCTCTGGTTCTTTTTAGAACCATTCTCTTAGTTGAGAAATTATTCACACATGGTGTTTCCACAAACCTCTCATTATTTAGTATCTCCACCATGCAAAGCCTCAAATCTTACTTAGAAGAAAAGGTGTTTTGCTTCGTCATTCAATCATATATACCAAGGCTACAACTGTCATGAAAAAAAAAAATGAAAGGGTTCATTCTGATACCTACCTATCACATCTTTGGCAGTGTCTGTTCCCTTGATCTGCTTCAAAGCTATGAAAAGCACTTCCCTCTGATCCGTGCTAGTGGATTGTTGGCACCTCCATTTGACCAGCATGTTGAAGATCTGGTTCTCTGTCTGGCCTGGCCATGGGTCATCCATCACGATGCGCTCGATCTCTGCAGCGCTTAAACCGAGATGTGTAGCCAGCTTCCGCCATTCAGAGCCAAGCATACCAGAGATCTTGTGTAGAATAAGGTCACTGAAACCTGCAAACGGACACGAATTGATTAATGGGGTAACAATAATTATTACAAGAAGATATCTATTATGTTCCGATTACACCTCAAAGGTGAAAGCATTGCTGTTTCAGATAATAACAGGTTCTTACAACATTTATATAGATAACAGGCTAATTTCTTGGTACAATAACTAGCACAGCATATTTGCCATTAAATGGAACTCACTGTGTATGGATATAGCATGCTCGAAAGGGCCTATACCTTATGTTGCAATGGTTGTTTCGACTTGAATTTTGATTTATAAATCAGAGGAAATGTTATTGTCTCATTGAGTAACATACTTTGGATTGGTTTTTGTGAAAACATGCCTGGATTTGAAACATAATACAGAAATGTTTGCAGGCTTCTGTCTCACAGAATAGTTTTGCCTGTGTGTGTGGCTGCACACGTGGGCCACGTTGACTGCACACACCCAACTATATGGTGATACCATTGTCCAGAATGAATATTAAAAAAAAAAAAAAAATGCAAATTATTTTTAATGCGATTGCTTGTTTGCCCCTTTCAAACTTTCTTAGGACCAGAATTTAGTTGATAATACAAGACTCATGCACCTTAAATAGTTAATTCATGTTAGCAAATGTTTCATGTGATTTCTTGAATACCATATGTAAAGTAAATTAAACATAGCTATTTTAACGGCCAAAAAAAAAGGTGTTTTGCTTGGTCATTCAATCATATGTACCAAGGCTACTAATGTCTAATGATACCTACCTATCAGCTCTTCGACAATATCCGTTCTACCCATTTTCATCAGCACTTTGTATAACACCTCCCCCTGTTTTCCCCTCCATTTGACCAGCATGTTGAAGATCTGGTTCTCTGTCTGGCCTGGGTCAGCCATCTCGATGCGGTCGATCTCAGCAGCGCTTAAACCGAGATGTGTAGCCAGCTTCTGCCATTCAGAGCCAAACATCGCAGAGATCTTGTATAGATCAGGGTCACCAATACCTGCAAACAGACACGTATCAATTAATATGGCAAAGGAAGCTTCTGCGAAAAAAAACCTAATGAAGTTTCCTTCAGATCCTACTGATTGTGCCTCAGATCAGAATACAGTTACAACTTTGTTTAGCCTGGGATTGGAGCTAATTGCCCAACCATATGCAATGTTTTCCAAACAGAACCGATTGTTGCTCAACAATTTCATGGGATCGCCCTCCCTTGTTTTCAAGAAATATATATTCATATAATACCCTTTCCTCTGTCTCATCGCCAGCTTTAACGTTATATTTTGGGACTATTTAACCATTCACCCATTTGTGATTATCTATACCTCCTGTTGTTATAAACGATGTCTTCATCACTTTCTCTTCATAGCTGTCTTCAGCGTATTCGGTTGGATCACTACTGGAAGCCCTTGTTGCTGTGCTGCTTTCTCCAAGTTGTTTATGCTGTACCTCTTCCATACTGCTTGAGTCCTCTTCATCTGTTAAAAAAGTAATGCCGACAATGAAAGAGTTATTTTTAAACATAAATTAGAAAAGGAGTCAGATTGCAGTTTTAATTTTACAGCATTTGGCTACCTTTCTGCTGATCCTTTTCCAATTCTTCAAAGAATTTGCAGGCCCGATCGTAGTCGCTTTCTGGTATAGTCGCCTTGATAGCCAAGTCACTCTTATCTTCTGTAGTCAGTTCATCTGTGATGAGAACTGTGATGAGAATCTCTGTCAGTTTCTTGGCGAGTTCTCCAGTGGTGTACATACTCCAGAGTTTGTTCAGACCCTCCCGACTCTTGAAGCGAACAACAAATGTCACAGACCCAGGTATTACTTCCTCAAGCTCTCCGTCACATGAGTTCAGGAAAGCTGAGATTTGCTCAAGGACGTAATCCTTTCCCTCCGTTCTATGTAAGGTAGTCAGGGCTATCCGGAGAACATCATTCATGCCACGGTCCTCGCCACCCTGCCTTGTTACGTCTGTTGCTATTGACACTTTTGGAAACCCTGCAAGGGGGGGGGGGGAGATATCAGGTGACACGTCTTCATTATCAAAAGTACTTTGATATAACAAAGGCCATGGACTCTGTGTGTAAAAGTGGAGTGGGTTGTGCTTCCTAGCAACCCTACATCCCGTAGGAGAGACACTTGGACTTCGTTTTTAAATACTCTCTAAAGTGTTAGTAGTCGTATACCAGGGGACCGCTTCAAATCTGTTTCTCTTTTTCATTATGCATGGATTAAACCGAATTTGTATAAATTATGGCTGAGGCCGCGCCAATTTTGCCATTTTAATTGCCGACATATTGTTTTTGGGTGTAGAGGGAAAAAAGATAAGAAATCAGAGTGCAGTTTATGAAAACTCAAAATGAATTCACGATTCTTTCCGACTGGGCCAACATCAATATATGATGTCGGCCCACTCAGCAATGAATTGCATGTTCATTTTGAGGTGTCTAAACTGCATTCTGATTTTTCATCAGCCTCAGTTTAAGTTGAGCTTGTAATCTATATACTGAGGGTTCAGAATGTGGTTTTGACCCGAGCCAGAAACACCAACAGGCCTCAAAGTCAAATCAAGAAGCCGGTTGAAGTGCGTTTACATAAACAAAAATTTGTTCTTTATACATATTTATCTGACGCATATTTTGTTTCAATTTCATCTATTGCTAGTACGTATAGTACCATATATTTTACTCTTTTCACTGTCATTGTTTGACAATTTGGACATCTGATCGTTTTATTACATTAGGGTGATACACGTTTTTACGCATATCTCGCTATTGAGTGATTGGCTGGCTACTGAGTATCTGGCTTTCTGGTTGTATGTATGATAAAAGCAACAGAGAATAAAAGCCTAGGAAGGAAGCGAGTGAGAGAGAAATGACACATTGATATTTGGAACATACCTGAACTTTTTTCTGTAACCTTCAAGCTTTGAACGTTCAAGGTAAAAGTCGGTTGGTTAACCGCTCCCAAGAAGACAGGAGAATTTTCGCCACTGAAACTCATGGAATCAACGGAAACTAGTTGCGCAGGTCCATGTCTGAGTACAGCAGGTGATCGGGATGAGGTTTGTCCTACAGGTACGATGTCTTGAACTGACTTTGGACCCTGCATTAGCTGTTGGTCTTGTGATGTCATTTCTTTTACCGCTGTCTCTCGTATCTCTGACTGATTTCTTGGTGTAACACCCACTTGTGCATAAGCTGGTTTATGGTCTGTTGACCCTTTCAGTCCATGCTCCTCGGATGATTGCAAAGTCTCTTTCTGAACGTTCGGATGTGTTCCTCCTGCCTCTTGCTGATTTTGTCTCTGTCCCTCAGATGATGAGGTGCTTTTCAGCTTGCTTTGTTCTTTAGCCCCTCTTTCTTGAACTTCTTGGTGAGATTTGTCACGATGACCAACATCTCCCTGTCCCTGTCTTTCAGATGATGTAGTTCTTCTCTGCCTGTTCTGTTCTTTAGCTCCTCCCACTTGAGCCTCTGGTTAAGGATTAATAACAAAATTTTTCATGTGATTTTTGGTATTCCGTAGATAAAGTAAATTCAACACAACTCACTTTTTTAACGGCAAGAAAAAAGGATGTTTTGCCTCCTCATTCAATCATATGTACCACGGCTACTAATGTCATGAAAATAACGATTGATGTGGTTCATTCTGATACCTACCTATCAGGTCTTCAACAATGTCCCTTCTGCTGATCTCCATCAGAGCTGTGCATAACACGTCCCTCTGATCTGTGCTAGTGGATTGTTGGCGCCTCCATTTGACCAGCATGCTGAAGATCTGGTTCTCTGTCTGGCCTGGGTTATCCATCACGATACGGTCGATTGTTGCAGGGCGTAAACCGAGATGTGTAGCCAGCTTCCGCCATTCAGAGCCAAGCTTGTTAGAGATCATACGTAGATCAAGATCACTGATACCTGCAAACGGACACAAATTATCTAATACAGTAAAGAACATTTCTGTGAAAAACTTGTTTCTTGTATCTTGTATTTTATGATCGTTATAAAGATCGGGCTAAACATGAGAATTATACAATCCCAGATATATCTCATGCTATCCCAACCGTTAAGTCTATCAGTGAGGAACCAAAAAGATTTCAACCTTACTAGAAACACCTTTGTAATGAGTACGGCATCTAATTATAAAATATTAAGACAAATCTGATACACAGCAATAGGTGTTCATAAGGTCAGGTGTAGGGTCAAGACTATTTTTATAGGGCTGATAAACATGAATCGTTCTGGTCAAAATTATTCAAACATAATGTCAGTAAGGATATTCATATATTGAAATGTACATATCCTAAAAAAAAATGGGGGGGGGGATGATTCCCCTTCAAATGTTCTTAGGACCGAAAGTTGGTTAATAATAAAGGAGTGGTGAGCCTTAAACAGACGGTAATTCATGTTATTAAAAGTGTTTCATTAAAGGGCCCATGTAATGTAATTATTTTAATGCAATTCTTGAAAAGGCACCTTTGTGTCCCATTTTAAGTTACTTTCAATTTTCATTGTGCTTTTTTTAAGGGCATTTCGGTGCCGTTTTGGTTTTTATGCTATGAACATTTACACATTCATGAGCAAAAGTATGATGTCATTGCACTGAGGCAGAAACCTCATTATTACAGCTATTTCAGCACCATGATTTGCCAGAATTAGGGATATTTTGCTGTTGTCAATTTTGTTTCCTTTGGTGATTTTTTGATGTTTCAGTACATGGCAGGAGGCCAATGAACAGAGTTTCCATACAAATGTATTTAATGACCAAATATTGGGTTCACAGTTTGAACAGAAAACCTATAAATTTAACAGAGTCTTCCTGAAATGACATCACAGCAACAGCGTCCTCAGTTGTCATGAAAAGCATGGAACATTATCAATGTTTAGAGAAGTGCACTTTTCACCGAATTTAACCGAAAGGGATGTCAAATAGTTTTTATACATTTAAGAGGACCAGCTCTGTGCACAAAATATGTTACCAAGTAAAATGCATGTCATGGCGCCTTTAATTTCAGGTACACCATAGATAAAGTAATACAGTTTCTCCATGGGTTCCTTATAAACTAAGCACACCTAGCTATTTTGATGGCCATAGAAAACAATGTTCTGCCTCGTCATATGTATCATATTATCAAGGCTACTAATGTCATGAAAAAAACAATTGATGTGGTTAATTTTGATACCTACCTATCAGGTCTTCGGCAATGTTCGTTCTACCGATCTCCATCAGAGCTGTGCATAACACTTCTCTCTGTTTGCGCCTCCATTCGATCAGCATGTTTAAGATCTGGTTCTCCGTCTGGCCTGGGTCATCCATCACGATGCGCTCGATCTCTGCAGCGCTTAAACCGAGATGTGTAGCCAGCTTCTGCCATTTGGAGCCAAGCCTCTCAGAGATCTTGCGTAGAACGGGGTCACTGAAATCTGCTTACAGACACGAATCAATTTATACGGCAAAAACAATTATTACCACAAGATCTCTAGTGGCTTCAAATGTAAAAGCAGTAACTGGCAGTTAATGGGCCAGTTGCTTGGTACAATAACTAGCACCGTGATTCACCATTAAATGGGACTCATTGCGTATAGAGATAGCGTGCTGGGAATGGTCAATACCTTGCAATGGTTCTTCCGACTGTGTGTTTAAATTTCAATCTAATTAAGTGTTAATCCTTGCCATTTAAAAAAAAGATGAGGCTATTATAATGTTAAGATAGGGCTAAACAGAAGATCTTTAAGATCAGGCTAAACATGAGAATTATACAGGGTGACACCAAAAAAATGCAACCCTAAAAACATTTGCCTTTCAAAAAAAAATAGGTGCTAAAAGAGATGGATTTTGTGGATTTGGATGGTGGGTTTTTATGTTTTGGGTATCAAATTAAAGCTGAGAGCTTTGTCTTTTAAATTCTGAAACAATCAGTCATTTTTCATCCTGTACACAAAAAATTACCACAGTAAGGGATTTTCAATGTACCTATTTGTGCATGTCCTAATCCTTACAAACAACACAGCACATAATATGACAAGAGTACAAATGAATTTGATGGAAATACCTTTTATTTCCCACCTGAACAGGTATCTCATCCCTTTCAGTCCTATTTTAAACCTTTTCAGCATCATAAATATGTCAAAAATTGAAGACATGGCACAAATGAAGGATAATTGCACAGTAGGCTTACAGTAAAATGTTTCACTGTTTGAAGTATATTTGTACTGGATGAAAAACGACTACTTTTACATAATTGGCATTCTTCAGCAAACCAAAGTGCTATTTTCATGATTGTTTTCAGTATTTTAAAGAAAAAGCTCTCAGCTTTAATCTGATACACACCAAAAAAATCAATCAATCCTTTTTTTTAAAGGCAAATGTTTCAGGGTTGCATTTTTTTTTGGGGGGGGGGTTCACCCAGTACAATCCCAGTCTCATGCTATCCCAACCATTAACTCGATCACCGAGGAAGCAAAAACATTTCAACCTTTCTAGAAATGCCTTTGTAATGAGTATGGCAACGAATTATAAAAAAAAATTTTTTAGACACATATATGTATACTAGGCAATAAGAACAGTCACTAAAACGAAAAGGGTTAGCAAGTGCACAGGTGTTAACAAGGTCACGTGTAGGGTGATGACAATTTTTAGGGCTAAAAAAAATGAATCATCCAGGTCAAAATTGTTCAAAATTGATGTCAATACGGTTAATGATCGTTTACGCCTATTGAAATCTACGTACATCACAATTTTTTTTTTAATTTGAAAAATATTTGGTTTTCCCTTTCAAATGTCCTTAGGACCAAAATTTGGTTAATAATAAAGGAGACTCAGGCCTTAAACAGACAGTAACAAATGTGTTTTATTATTTTCAGGTATATCGTAGGTAAAGTAATACAGTTTCTCCATGGCTTCCTGAAGCACACTTACCGTAATTTCCTGCGGATAAGGCGCGCGGCGGATAAGGCGCAGGTCCCTAAAATCACCCCAAAAAATTCAAACGCCAACAGATAAGGCGCACCACCGCATAGACGCATGTTTGACCGCACACAGAAGAACACTAGGCGTCACCCGGTGTCGGTACATCGCCACAAAGGGGCCATTGTGTTGCCTTAGAACGATCACACTATTCGGAGGATGAATTAAGCCGTGTCCGCACTGGACTTTTTTTTTGGAAGGTTTTACCGAGACGATAGTAAAATGAGAAATGGTCAAATGTGACCACTGTCCGCACTTGGACTTTCGACACGGGAAAATTTACCCAGACCGCGTGGGAGAAGTAACCGAGCTGTCACAGTGTCAGTATAAATAATTACTCACCGTACACAGAAAACAAATTGCCGATCACATTTTCAGCCGCCGATACGCACAGTAATATTACACACGCCATTTGCATGCACAACATAATCGTTTACACGATATTATTTCATCTTGACACGCTAAATCTTGACGAAAAGGCCTGTAATTCTGACGCATTTGTGATGCACGTCGTCGAAGCCATGCCGCTGTACGATGTTCCGTGCAGCAGCAGTGCCATCAGTATTCGTTGGTTCCCATCGCATGCTTACAGAATCGAAGCTATGATGTTGGCCAGGAACCAGTGACTACGGCCTACGTACGGTACCGGACCATGATGTTCCGTGCATGACTACAGTAGCGTATCAGGACGAATTTGGATCGTAGAAAATAACATACATCGGTGGAGAAAGAGAATTTCCGCAAATTAATTCTCAGAACATGATCTCTCTTCTCTGTGTATGTATTTGTCCGTTGAAATATATATTTTAACGAGATTTTACCGCTCGGACTTGATGATACAGCGCAGCGTGTTTCTACAAAATGTTCGGCCACACGTGCACTGAGGTTCGTGCGGTCTCTGTATGCATAACATGGCGCTCGGGCCGGAAGTACGCTTTCCTGAGCCGCTTTTACCGACTCGCACTGTTTTCATCTTGATCTTCAGGCTTGCAGAAAAAAAACAACCGCACACCTTTGAGCAACACCAAAACGCGGTGAATGGAGGAACCTTGTTGACTCCGGTTTCAAAATGATGCCGATTGTCATGCTGACATTAGTACTTCATATTATCCTAAGTCTAAAGCAGACTTCAAAGATATCCTGTACAATAAACACCCTCAACGTTCACACAATAGAACTTGAGTGAATGCGATTTCCAAACGTTTAAGTAATTCTGATTGCAGCATTTTCGGAATGAAAAAACGGCCACAAAGAAAAACGTTTGTATGACGGCATTGTTGGAACGAAAGCACGATCACTAAGGGGGATCAACGTATTGCGGCATTGTTGGAATGAAAGCACGATCATGGGGGATCAACACATCGCGGCATTGTTGGAATGAAAATACGGTCACAATGTCTGGAGAGTTGAGCCTTGGTTGACCGCATTATTGATTGCGGCATTGAAGAATTCTTCACACAAAGACCGTCACTTTGAACTCAAGCGACACCAGATAAGGCGCACCTGTAGATAAGGCGCAGCGATGTTTTTGTGGTCTAGAAAGTCAGATAAGACGCGTCTTATCCGCAGGAAATTATGGTAACTATTTTGATGGCCATAAAAAACAGCGTTTTGCCTCGTCATGCAATCATATGTACCAAGGCTACTAATGTCACGAAAATAACGATTGATGTGGTTCATTTTGAGGCCTACCTATCATGTCTTCGGCTATGTCCATTTTGCCGAGCTTCACCAGAGCTGTGCATAACACGTCCCTCTGTTGGCGCCTCCATTCAGCCAGCATGTTGAAGATCTGGTTCTCCGTCTGGCCTGGGTCATCCATCATGATGCGCTCGATCTCTGCAGCACTTAAACCGAGATGTGTAGCCAGTTTCTGCCATTCAGAGCCAAGCCTCTCAGAGATCTTGCGTAGAACGGGTTCAGTGATACCTACAAACAGACACAAATCAATTAATACAGTAAACAACGTTTCTGTACAAAAACTTTGTGATGTTTATTACTTCATTTAACAGCTGTTTATTGTAAACAAAGCTTACACTTATGTTCAGCACGGCAACTTTGGACACTTATGCAATTTTCTTTCTGATTCCATTGATTTTCTCTGTCTCAGATCAAAAGAGAAGAATACTGACTCATGGTGGTAAGTTGGTGCACATGCAGTGTTTTTTCTTGTGTAGACATTATGAAAAACGTAATACATATTTCAAATTAAGTTTTGCCCTTCACCGACGTTTAAACACTGTATACTCAGTGTGTTACCTCCCGAGTGAAAGTTGGAAAAATCACTCGGGTGGGACTCGAACCCACGACCTCCTGCCTTCTCAGTATAATAGTTTATGCAGTACCCGCTGCTATGTACATCAGATTCGAACCAGCCAGCCGATCCCCTTAGCTCGGTGGTCGAGTGGTAAGACATCTGCACTAGAAGGCAGGAGGTCGTGGGTTCGAGTCCCACCCGAGTGATTTTTCCAACTTTCACTCGGGAGGTAACACACTGAGTGTACAGTGTTTAAACGTCGGTGAAGGGCAAAACCTAATTTGATTTATATCACCCTGGCGCAAAATTCCATCTTGTAATACATATTTGTCTCCAATCAGCCTTTGTCCACTCATAAAACGTTTTATCCGGCAAAACGGAAAGTTAAAAAGTACTTTATAACTTACCTGGAACTTCAGGGTGCTCTTTATCCAAGTTTGCTTCTGAAAAGAAAATAATATTAAATGTACCTGCATTATCATTGAGTGACGAAAAATTATGAAACGAAGTACATGCATAGAACAACTGCATATAAACGTACCTGCATATGAACGTACCCAAGAAATTTCATGACTAGGCCCCTATAGGTCAAAGGGTTTTGGAATTTTGGCTAATTAATTATTCATATGGTCCGAGGACCTTTTCTTTTTTACCTCTCAGTACTGAGGCTCTTGGCTTCAGTGCCAATTTGAAATTTGCTGAGCAACACCGAAAGTTGAACATCAGTCCAAACTTCAACAGAGTGAATCTTTATTTCTTTTAGGTGGCAAGGATTTAAGCGTTAACTGTCAGAAGAATTGGACTACGTGCTGTGTTTCAATGAGTCACTAATTGGTTGTGGTATTGTGTAGTACGGATGCTCCAAGTAATTGGTCATTCATTTGAAAATTTGTTACAAAAAGCCGTATCCTCTCTGAGTGATCCCGGTTTGCATTTTCCAGGTCCAAGGACGTATTCTTTTTATTTCTCTCAGTACTGAGGCTCTTGGTTTCAGTGCCAATTTGAAATTTGCAGAATCGCACCGGAACTTGAATATTGGTCCAAACTTCAACAGGGTGAATCTTTGTTTCTTTTAGGTGGCAAGGATTATCTGTGTTTCAATTAGTCACTAATTGGTTGTGGTATAGTGTAGTATGGATGCTCCGAGTAATTCGTCATGGGGTGACAGGGGCTGGTCCGCAGTGAGGTCCCCCTTGTTTCAGGGTCTCTGCTACGCTATATATTGTGCCTAATAGCGTCAATGCAAAGGATGGAGGGGAAGGATGCTGTCAGGGAACCGATATCAGGGCCAGGGGAGTCATAACACGCAGGGTTGACGGACAAATGTATGTGTCTCACCCGGTCTTGGCTGTAGTTGCGGTGGTGGTTGTTGCGTTGGTTCCTGCTGGGAAGGTTGTTCGTTACCAGCCGGTAGTTGTTGGGTTGCAGCTGCCTGACTGTCTTGTGCTGTCTTTGGACAAGGGTTAGTTTGTGTCTCCCCCGGTCTTGGCTGTAGTTGCGGCGGTGGTTGTGGTGTTGGTTCCTGCTGGGAAGGTTGTTCGTTACCAGCCGGTAGTTGTTGGGTTGCAGCTGCCTGTCTGTCTGGTGCTGTGCTTGGACCAGGGTTAGTTTGTGTCTCACCCGGTCTTGGCTGTAGTTGTGGCGGTGGTTGTTGCATTGGTTCCTGCTGGGAAGGCTGTCTGCTGCCGGACTGAGTCGTTTGTTGATCATCCCTCACTCCATCAGCCGGTAGTTGTTGGGTCGGAGCTGTGCTTGGACCAGGGTTAGTTTGTGTCTCACCCGGTCTTGGCTGTAGTTGTTGCGTTGGTTGTGGCATTGGTTCCTGCTGGGAAGGCTGTCTGCTGCCAGACTGAGTCGTTTGTTGATCATCTGGTAGTTGTTGGGTCAGAGCTGCTTGACTGTCTGCTACTGTGTTTGCGTTAAGAGCAACCCACAAACCAAACATGAAGTTACCTAAGTAAATTATTTCTCAAGCATTGGTGCTAACAATACATGTATTTTTTATTGTTTTAGCAATATTAGTGACCTTGACCTTTGACCTGTCAACCCTTAAATTAATAGGCTTGTTAAGACTATTCACAACAACCCACAAACCATAATTCAAATTCAGGACTGTCATAGAGCTCGTTAAACAACTTATCAAGGTTGATACAAGATGGACAAAATGATTTTCAAAATGGCTGGCTGAGGTGATCCAACGACTGTTTCGCGAGTGAAAAAATTCACACCCAAACAGCCATCGTAAATGCTGCTTTTATCCTCGTCCAATTATTCAAAGCATTGTGCAGCTACGCCAAGTTTCGTAAGATTGATCGTAAGTTTATTGCGCAGCTGCGCAACAAATTTGTTGCGTAAGTCTTACAAATGGCACAAGCTGCGCACTTTTTCAGGAAATTGGCTGCTGCCCACTGTCATGGCGCAACCAACAAAGGGTCTATAGATAAACCAAAATTCAAGATTATTTGAAATGCTAAAAAAAAGGACATTTTGGGGATAAGAAACATTCAATTTACATACCTACATTTGCATATTTCTTAAATTATGGCAGAGTTTTTGCTTACCCTCACTGAGTCCGATCTCATGAACGCCCATTGCCTTGACGTCGCCCTCATTGAACAGCCTCTCAGCCTCCATATCAGACTTGGCTGTGGACTTGGCTAGATTCACGGCTGCAATGTAGCCTAGTGCAGGGGTGAGATTGTTGGAAAATGAAAAATCCACAAAAATAATCAGCAAATAAATGCACTGTGGATCTGCAAACATTTCAACTCTGAATACGTGTCCTGAATGACTTCAAATTAGCTTCAGATTCGCGTTCACATTCACATTTGTGATGCGATCAAGCTAAATGAGTCATTTGTCGGCAATTAGGATTTTAAGATAAAGCCCAAAATAGTTCAGTCAGGGTGAAAATTTCAAAATTGACTTTTTTGTAAAATCGGAAGTCTACATATGTCCTCTTTCATGTCAACTTTTTCTTCCCGAGAAAATTTCAGGATAAAGTATTTAAAATGTGACATTTTTGCTAAGGAGTTAATGTCAAAAACCTGAAATAAGGCATGTTTATTGTTGTGTAATAAACACTTTAATTTTTAATCGTTGATTTCTCTGTTTGATTTCTCTGTTTCCTTCTTTCTGATCTGCCTGTGTTCTAAGTCCCATATCTTCTGAACCGAAGGTCGCATTCACTTGGGGTTTTCACCAAATGTAAACTGAAATGCAGCTCTATTCAAAAAATGTAATTAAAAACAAGTGATCGCATGACAAATTTGTGCATTTGGCCTGAAGACTGCTGACCCACCTGCGACAATTTTCTTGTGTTTCTTGTCAATCTTGAGGATTTCTTGGTAAGTCGTAACAGCCACCTCGTAATCCTTCAGTCCCTGCTGGGCCTTGCCAAGGTGCACCAATGCCTTGACGTTGTTTGGTTCCAACTGCAAGGCAGTCCGGCAGTCCTCCATTGCCTCTGTAAACTTTTCCAATTTGTTGTAAGCCTGGGGAGGGGGGGGGGGAATAAGTGAAAAGAGGGGATTCAAATTTGCCGCATAGTGAACAACGAAACGTTGTGTGTCTCAACAGGATAACAGGTGTGTCGCCTGGGATTAATCGTCTGCCTTATGTGCAGTACTACAAAAACACACATGTAAGATGAGTTGGCCCCCTCCCAAAATGATTTTTTCCCTTTCTTTTTATTCCCTTTATATGAAAACTTTTCAGGAAATAAATTAAAACGTTCATGACGTTGCGTATCTCTCTCACAAGCCTTCCCCTCCACTTACCTCTCTCCACCCAGGAGTACACATGTAAATGGGTAAGGGTATTAGTTGGGGAGCAACCTACAATGATCCAGGGGGAATAGGAATATTCTAAGTCATTTCATGAATACTGAGATCTAGGCTCGTAACCGACTTGACTTGACTTGGAGCATGTTTTGACGGCCCTTGAACTGGAACATGTTTCTGACGTCACAGCCGTGACCTGAAACATGTTTCCTGTGCACCGCGAAAACGACTGACCGAAAAATTGTTCATGACGTCATGTTTCTGCACACAGCCTCCCCCCAAAAAAAATCACGCGGCGTCCGGACATGATTAACAATAACATTCAAAGCAAAAGTGGGAGGTTATTGTTAAAGCATTTCCCCAAAGTTCTAAAAAGAGTAGGCCTGATATTCTGTATCAACTTTCGTACCAATTGAAAGTAAAAACCCACTATTTAAACCCCATTTATGGTAAAAAGTAACGTCGTCTGAAAGGCTTCTTTACCTTTCCACCATCTTGAAACGTAAGAGAACCGACCGGAAACATCGGTTCAACTTTGGTCGAAACAATGACTTCATTTCAGTGTAACCGTAGCGCCAAAGTGGCCGCGAACCAGAAACATGTTTACGGTCACAGCGCCATAACGTGCCCTTGTTTACCTGTGCCCTGTTGGTGTACAGCACCACAAAGTCTTTTAGACGTTCCAGGCCCTGCGTGTAGAGCTCAACAGCTCGTGCGTAATCGCTCTTCTTGAATGCTTGGTTCCCCTGATCTTTCAGAACCGTCGCCTCTGCTTTACGCTTCTCTGCACGCTCGCTGGCGTCTGCTTCTTGGGCTCTCTTGACATTATCTGAAAATAAAGTTGATCACACATTACATAAAAGGACAGAGTTTTCTACAGTATAATCCTCCGTTAACCCTAAGACCAAAACAAAGTCTCCAGTTTCTGGTATGGAGCTTGCCCCAAAAGTTGTGCGGTGACGCAGGTTGTTTTTTTCCCCCACTTTTTTTCTTCAAATGTCCGCTGATATGTTGCAGATGACACTTTATCCCCTTAAAAATATCTGAAAGATTTTGCAGGATTGAGGCAGTGGTCACCCCTCCAAGGACCACATAAATAACAGAGCATTTTGCAGGATTGAGGCTGTATGCAATTTTTACATGAAAGCAGTTGGAGGATTTTGAAGGACTGAGTTTGTATCCTAGCAAAAACGCCTAGGGAGTTAGGATTAATACAAATTCTGGTTATGGGCAATTGAATGTCAAGTCAGTATTGAACAGAGCTTTTAAGAGCTCAGTGAATAAACCTGACAATGTATTTTTCAAATCTTCTACATGGACAGCTATTATCTGGTAATGGTCAAGAAGACTACACAGACTAGGAGTTGTGGATCATTTCTCTGAATGTTATTTAGTTTTATACAACACCTGAATAAATCCCCGTCATCTGATTGGTAAATTGTAGATCATGTGACATATTATTATTCGGTATAATGCACGGTGCGACCATGCGTTATACCCATGCGTTATTACCGTTTCACTTTGCGCTTGTTCCATGCCGCGGTATTTGCGTGCAAAATGCATGCTGGTGTGCGCGTTCAGCGTAGCGCGTATTGTTCCAAAGAGCTAGCGCTACAGCGTTGGCTTCAAACATTTTCGTGAAGGGGTAGTTCAACATCTTTAAAATCAAAACAAATTGTAGTTTATAATTTACCAATCAAATGACGAGAATTTATTCAGGTGTTGTATAAAACAAATAACGAATGTTTTACGTTCGTGCGATGGAAAGAATAATTTCATTCGGTGACAGATTGAATGTTTTATTCCACTCGGCTTCGCCTCGTGGAATAGAACATTCAATCTGTCACCTCATGAAATTATTCTTACCATCGCACTCACAAACATTCGTTATTTGTATAATAATGGTTTTTTGGTTTTGTCAAAATTTCACACAATTCGATAAGGGCCGACAAATGACTCATTTAGCATGATCACATGACATGTTTGTGCATTTGGCCTGAAGACTGCTGACCCACCTGCCACCATTTTCTCGTATTTCTCGTCAATCTTGAGGATTTCTTGGAAAGTCGTAACAGCCGCCTCGTAATCCTTCAGTCCCTGCTGGGCCTTGCCAAGGTGCACCAATGCCTTGACGTTGTTTGGTTCCAACTGCAAGGCAGTCCGGCAGTCCTCCATTGCCTCTGAAAACTTTTCCAATTTGTTGTAAGCCTGGGGGGGGGGGGGGGGGAATAAGTGAAAAGAGGGGATTCAAATTTGCCACATAGTGAACAACGAAGCGTTGTGTGTCTCAACAGGATAACAGGTGTGTTGCCTCGGATTAATCGTCTGCCTTATGTGCAGTACTACAAAAACATACATGTAAGATGAGTTGGCCCCCTCCCAAAATGATATGTTTTACTTTCTTTTTTTCCCCTTCTTTTTAAGAAAACTTTTCAGGAAATAACTTAAAACGTTGCATATCTCTCTCACAAGCCATCAGCAATGTGCAAATAGTGCACAGTACTATATACTTAATCCCTTTCCCCTTTTCAGAAAATCGAGCCCTCTTGGCCCCTCCCCACCCCCCCCCAAAAAAAATGGTTATGGCCCCCCCCCCCCTTGAGAATGGCAGCATGTGCAGTCTACAATAATGGTTGTTTACTTCATGAACCCTGCATTGCATATAAATACAACGCGTTGCAAATTATCTCATATACACCACAATGTCTATATTACATTTGCGTGAAGGGTACATGTGACTCGCAACAGAATACTGCAGCTTTTCAATATCATGTCTGGCACGAGCGAGTTAAAAACCTTCAAACAATTGTTGACTGCTGTGATGTGGGCTATGTCATGTTTAGCACCCTCTGCTTTACCTGCAGGTGCTATGCCCCCCTCAGGTGTCATATCCCACATCACAGCAGTCAACAATTGTTCATTTGTCTACCTTTGGGGGAGTGTGGCGGAGTGGTTAGGGTTATAGTGACTCATGATCAGAGGGTAAGGGGTCCAATCCAGCTGCTGGTCATATGGTGTGTCCTTGGGCAAGCCACTTCACCTCCACTTGCCTCTCACCACCCAGGAGTACACATGTAAATGGGTAAGGGTATTAGTTGGGGAGCAACCTACAATGGACTGATCCAGGGGGGATAGAAATATTCTCAGTCATTTCATGAATACGGGGATCTTTCATGAATACGGAGATCTCGTAACAGACTTGACTTGACTTGTTTACCTGTGCCCTGTTGGTGTACAGCACCACAAAGTCTTTTAGACACTCCAGGCCCTGCGTGTAGAGCTCAACGGCTCGTGTGTAATCGCCCTTCTGGAATGCTTGGTTCCCCTGATCTTTCAGAACCGTCGCCTCTGCTTTACGTTTCATGTGTTTCTCTGCGCTCTCGTTGGCGTCTGCTTTATCTGAAAATAAAAATGATCGCACGAAACATAAAAGGACATAATCCTCCGTTAACCCTAAGACAAAAACAAAGTCTCCAGTTTCTGGTATGGAGCTTGTCCCAAAAGTTGTCCGGCGACGCAGGTTTTTTTTTTTTGCCCCACTTTTTTTTCTTCAAATGTCGGCTGATATGGTGCAGATGACACTTCGATCCCCTTAAAACTCTCAAAAATGTCCTTTAGAGTGGAGCTTGAGATGACTCAGTAAGGCCATAAGTCTTGAGAAGTCTGACCCATACGATCTCAACCGACAGAAACATTCTTCAGGAAATTTTGACAGTCAAGACAAAAATCAGAGAAAACGACAATGTCAGACCATACAGCGACATCGACATCGTGCATGAGCTGCCAGGCTAGTCATTAGTCTGCTCCCTTACATATTGTGATAATTAAAATGCATTTACAGATTCCCTGAGATACACGACCATCGCTCCCTCATTCTGGCTTCCAGACGCACAATAACAAAATTACAACACTGTCAATGCAAATGGTGCCCGACTAAATTTAGTGCAAAATATGCAGGGTTTACAGACAAATGTATGTGTCTCACCCGGTCCTGGCTGTAGTTGCGGTGGTGGCTGTGGCGTTGGTTCTTGCTGGGAAGGATGTCCGCTGCCAGACTGAGTTGTTTGTTGATCATCCCTCACTCCATCAGCCGGTAGTTGTTGGATCGGAGCTGTGCTTGGACCAGGGTTAGTTTGTGTCTCACCCGGTCTTGGCTGTAGTTGCGGTGGTGGTTGTGGCGTTGGTTCCTGCTGGGAAGGATGTCCGCTGCCAGACTGAGTTGTTTGTTGATCATCCCTCACTCCATCAGCCGGTAGTTGTTGGATCGGAGCTGTGCTTGGACCAGGGTTAGTTTGTGTCTCACCCGGTCTTGGCTGTAGTTGCGGTGGTGGTTGTGGCGGTGGTTCCTGCTGGGAAGGCTGTCTGCTGCCATGAGTCGTTTGTTGATCATCCCTCTCTCCATCAGCCAATTTTTGGGTTGCAGCTGCCTGTCTGTCTGGTGCTGTGCTTGGACCAGGGTAAATTTGTGTCTCATTTTGTCTTCGGGCTCTCTTAGCCGGTGGTTCTGCCATTTAGCGCTGATGATGTGGTCACAGTTTAGTTACAGACAGCTTCGGTAGTCCAACCCGGTATAATCCTGCGAGTGCAAAATACAATCAGGTAAAATCACATAATGGATGCTGTTGGTCAGTCAATCAGTCCATCGGTCGAACAGTTGGTCACTTTGTCAGTCGGTCGATCGGTTAGTCTGTCAATCTGTCATTCAGTCAATTGGTTTGTTGCTCTGTTGGTTCGTCAGGTGGTCGGTCGATGGTCTTTTAATATTGGGAACGTCATGGATTTGGGGTGAGGGCAGTTTTGCTTTCTTCAACTTGTTTGTAACTCTTTCCTTTATTTGGTTCTTTCAATTTTTCATTTTTTGCAACAATTGTCATTTCCCCCTTTGGAAGAAAAGGTGGTCCAGAACAGTACTGTTTTGTTAACTTCTAATAGAAACTGTTCTACATGTAGCTCTGCCCTCTGCCTGTCATTCCAAAAATTCTTAGAAGCCCTCTACAGTGAAGCGCCCCCTCTTGTGTGTGCTCTTCATCCGTGGCCGCGTATTGCATCTGGGCACTTCACAGAGCGCCAAAGATTTTGGAATGACAGGCAACAGCCGCGGTGCGCTTTGCCAACGTTGACGCATGCTCAGTAGATGATTAAAGCTCTTGTCTGGTTCCCCGACCCCATTGGCCTTTTGACTATAAGGGTGGCCGGGAAACAGTCTGGTAAATATCAGAGACATGCTTTTTCAAAACCGTCTGCATTCTTGAACGAATTACCATGATTTTGGGATAACTAGACCTCTGAAGGAACCAAATTTAACGATATTTTTGCTATTTAGCAGTCATACTAATAGCTGGGTTGCTTTTCTGCTGACAAAATAATTTTGATTTTTAATTAATTTTTCGGCTCCCCTAGCAACGGGACGCTCCCTGTTTATACCACAGGTGGGATGTGTGAAGTTAAATATGGAGGTAGTCGAGTATTTCCATCACATTTATATGGGATTTCATTACGTAGCCGGCAACAGGTGTGTTTTTTTTTGCGTGTCGGACGCTTCGCCCCATTTTCACTTCGCCCCTAACCGCTTCGCCCCACCCCTGCTTTGCCCCATCCCCGCTTTGCCCCATCCCCGCTTTGCCCCATCCCCGCTTTGCCCCATCCCCGCTTTGCCCCATCCCCGCTTTGCCCCATCCCCGCTTTGCCCCATCCCCGCTTTGCCCCATCCCCGCTTTGACCCATCCCCGCTTTGCCCCATCCCCGCTTCGCCCCATCCCCGCTTCGCCCCATCCCCGCTTCGCCCCATCCCCGCTTCGCCCCATCCCCGCTTCGCCCCATCCCCGCTTGGCCCCATCCCCGCCTGGCCCCATCCCCGCCTGGCCCCATCCCCGCTTCGCCCCATCCCCGCTTCGCCCCATCCCCGCTTCGCCCCATCCCCGCTTCGCCCCATCCCCGCTTCGCCCCATCCCCGCTTCGCCCCATCCCCGCTTTGCCCCATCCCCTCTTTGACCCATCCCCGCTTTGCCCCATCCCCGCTTTGCCCCATCCCCGCTTTGCCCCATCCCCGCTTTGCCCCATCCCCGCTTCGCCCCATCCCCGCTTCGCCCCATGTAGTATGAAAAAGGTGAAGGCTAGGGGTGCAGACCAAATAAACTGCCAAAGACCCCCGATAATATATGCTCCCAATTCTAGAAACTCAGGAAAAATACAAACTCTCTGATGAGGTGTTCGAGACACAGGGACCGAGACACACATCAACTTTTTCGCTATTTCATCATCTTAAATTTTCTGTTCAACTTATAAAATAGAACAGATCTAAAATTAAAGATGATGATATAAGCAAAATATTGAGGTTACCCAAAGACTATTCGAGCATTAAAATCATTAATTTGATTTTTTTTTTTTTACAACATGTTGATTAATTGTCGCCCTGTATACGTACACCGAACTGTTGGGCACATGCATGATTTGCGTAGCTACCTGTAGCTTGATGGGTTCAATTTGATTGTCTTCGTTGGTACAAAGCATGGCGTGCTAATTTGGAGAGGAGAAATGAAGAACTGAAGAAATATTAGTCGATTTTTTATTTTTTTAAATTTTTCATGAAATTTCCAGATTCATTTGCACACGTGGAAAGATTTCCATATACGAAGTTCACTAATTTTCCTCTGTATTGACTAACACGCCCCCAGATAGCAATTTCATGTCATCAAAGTCAATTTGAGCAGTGAGAAAATACAAGCATTTTCTTAGAAAACACTTACAATTTTTCAGTCCAATCTCATAGGGTTTATACACAGGGTGTTGAGTGAACTTCGTATATGGAAATCTTTCCGCACACGTTTGCGTATCAAAATTTCAACATGAAATTTCACAAAAATTAGACATCTGAAAAAGGCAGTACTTTCTGATTAGCCTATAAAGTAGTCCGAGTAACTTGGACCCAACTTATCGCCTTTTTTTAACATTTTGGACATGGTCTGGCGATAGTGGGGTCCAAGCTAATGCCGCGACTTGGACAACATCATCCTGTCACTGTCCCAAACCAACATTTTCCAACAAAAAACATCAGATTTCACCTTAAAAACGGCCTCCAAATTACTAGACATGCCACCTGAAGTACAAGTAGACATCGATGATTAAGATGGTTGTACTTAAGTTTACTTACGATCCGGAAGAAAAGTGAAATTTTCCGTTCAATTTTGAAGACCCCCTCTGCCTAGGTTGTCGTTGTTGTGCTCACGTTCAAAACTGCATGATACGCTGTGTGTACGCGTTCCCAATTGGGTAATGGTGTCTGACCTCGACCTCATGCAAAGGTCGTGACGGCGCGCTTGCGCACAATGCACTGCATGCACAGCAGATTCCCCTGCGCCGCGCCGACGACTGTTTCCTGATGAAGAGTGCGACTCCTAGGCGTACCGCGAACTTACACAGCACAACCATCTTAATCATCGATGTCTACTTGTACTTCAGGTGGCATATCTAGTAATTTGGAGGCCGTTTTGAAGGTGAAATCTGATGTTTTTTGTTGGAAAATGTTGGTTTGGGACAGTGACAGGATGATGTTGTCCAAGTCGCGGCATTAGCTTGGACCCCACTATCGCCAGACCATGTCCAAAATGTTAAAAAAAGGCGATAAGTTGGGTCCAAGTTACTTGGACTACCTATAAAGAGGGTGAGTTAGCTGGAGTTACCCAGCCCTGAGTTTTATCATTGGGTTGTCATCTAGGGCTGGAGCGCATTTTTCTCAAAACTTGTAGTAGGCCTATTTGCAAAAAAAATTTGGAAAATGTTCAATTTTGTCCCCGTTACACACTAATTGCAACTGCAACTCACCCCAAACTTGCCTGGAATAACCATTACACAGGTCCTTGAAGTAAAAAACGATCCACGATGAAGATTCAGCCTACAATTGCAGTGAAAACAGGAGGAATAACCGCTAACTTGACAACCTTTCAGGCATGGCCAGGACTGCTATTGGTTTGTGCACAAAAAAAATTGTGTACAATGAATGGCGGTCGATTAACAGGCACAGAGAGCGATCGCTGTCAACTACTCGTTTTTGCCGGCTGCGCTGGCTGTTGGCTTAAGCCTACTCCGGATTTTTTTCCGGAAGTAGGCCTATCATGCCTATGCCCAACGAAATTCACTAAAGTTAACAAATAAAAAGGCGATAATTTGGGGCCCCAAGTTACTCGGGTTACTGAAGATCTTACTATCATAGAATACCTTCTGCCTCTAGAAGTTTTCACTGACGTAACCGATGACAAAACTTTCCCTTTCTTGCTGAACTTTTAGGAGTTTCAACTTTCTCCTCATGTCTACCTCTTTTTATTTCCTCTTGCTCGATCATGCATGAAAACTTGACGGGCGCCCTCTGTAGTTGGACGTAGAAATCTTACTTTCCGAGGGCGCCCTTCTCAATTAACAGTGGGGTGGAGGTTTGGCACTTCAGTTACGGAAAAGAAGACTTTTAATAATGAATATAAGAATGTCAACTTTCAAGGAAGAAATACTAACTCGTTGTTAGGACATTAACTCAAGAAATACCTATTATAGAAAATCGTAAAAATGATTAAAAGTATTGTGTAAAGCGCGAAACATACAATTTGAATTAAAGTCAACTTTCTGGAAGATAAAAAGAAAAAAAAAGAATACACTCGTTTTACCAGACACTAAAGGGCCAGAGTGCCGAAAAAAAATAAAATATAACCATTACAAAATTGGTTTGTTGAGCGCAAAAAAAATCGAATTAAAGCCAACTAAAATTTTCCGTAAGAGGGCGCTACAAAAATAGTGGTCACAATGCGCCGTAGGCTACCTGTCGTATGGAATTGAAACATCGTCTATTGATTGATCGTGATAAATAGCAAAAGCCATTTGACTATTAAGAGAAATTGTCAAACAAAACATGTTACAAAAAACTCAGAGCTCTCACATGTATAAGCTGAACAGAGAAATGGCGATCAAAATGTCATCTTTTATTTTGTTTTCAATTTTGTTTGTGGGTTGACCATTGACTTTTCGAGAAATTCTCCCCCAAAGAAGACGACCCCTATTTTTCCCAAAGCGGAAAAGTGGTCATTTTGAAAAACGATCTTTCCACAACATGAAAAAAATAGCGCCACTTTCGAGCTCTGTTGCATCCAAAATGCTCGTAATTGAAAGTCCCAAGTCTGGGCCAGAGGTTCACTGCCATATTTTTTTTTTCAATTCCCTAAGCATGTCTATCTAATATAGAATGTTTTAAGGGGAATAACTTTTATTCATGAGCTCGGTTGAAGTGCATGCCTATTTACAGGTGTGCACCCTTAAAAGTCAATTTTCTTCAATATATTACATTCACTCTTTGGCGGTTCCTGTCAATTTTCAATAACTGTGTTTAACAACTCGAATGGCCAGACGTAGCGCGCCTGAGCAGTGTTTGTGTAGCGCGCCCTCTTTTGTAAGAAATTGTTGCACGACGATAAAATACGGAACAGCTTCATAATACTGCAATTTCCATAAATTTTATTACATTCAATCTTTGGCGGTTCCTGTCGATTTTCTAGAGTTCCAATTTTCTAGAGTTTCGTGTCAAATACCATGGCAAAATATTACAAGAAATTTCATTGCAATACAATGTTTTTTTTTTCTGTGTTCCCGTTTTCACAATAACTGTCTTTACATCTCGACCGGCCAGACGTTGGAGCACGGTGAGCAAGATGATTGGTCATGAAAAATAGACAAACAAGACAGAAGATTTAGCCAAAATATTGGTTTTTTCTCCCTCAACAGTGTCTTGTGTCAACACGGAGAAAACTTGGCGATAAGATGCAGTCCCAGTCCAAACAGACCATTTTCCCCAGATTATACTTGGAAACGACAAACTATCTCAAAAATTAAGTAATGCATTAAATTGAACGGTAGCCAGGTGATTTATCATTAAAAATAGACAAACAAGACAGAAGATTTAGACAAAATATTGTTTTTCTCTCCCTAAACAGTGTCTTGTGTCAACACGGAGAAAACTTGGCGATAAGATGCAGTCCCAGTCCAAACAGACCATTTTCCCTAGATTATACTTGGAAACGACAAACTATCTCAAAAATTAAGTAATGCATTAAATTAAACGGTGGCCAGGTGATTTATCATGAAAAATAGACAATCTAGACAACAGATTTATACAAAATATTGTTTTTCTCTTCCTCAACAGTGTCTTTTGTCAACACGGAGAAAATTTGGCGATAAGATGCAGTCCCAGTCCAAACAGACCATTTTCATCACTTTTTGCTCTGAAACGATAGTCCTTGTCGACAATTTATCTCAAAAATTAAGCAACACATTAAATTGAACGGTGGCAAGGTGATTTATCATGAAAAATAGACAAACTAGACAGAAGATTTAGACAAAATATTGTTTTTCTCTTCCTCAACAGTGTTTTTTGTCAACACGGAGTAAATTTGGCGATAAGATACAGTCCCAGTCCAAAAAGACCATTTTCCTCACTTTTTGCTCCGAAACGATAGTCCTTGTCGACAAACTATCTCAAAAATTAAGTAATGCATTAAATTGACCGGTTGCCAGGTGATTCATCATGAAAAATAGACAAACTAGACAGAAGATTTAGACAAAATATTGTTTTTCTCTTCCTCAACAGTGTCTTGTGTCAACACGGAAGAAACTTGGCAATAAGATGCAGTCCCAGTCCAAAAAGACCATTTTCCCAAGATTTTGCTCTGAAACGATAGTCCTTGTCGACAAACTATCTCAATAATTAAGTAATGCCTTAAATTGAACGGTGGCCAGGTGATTTATTATCAAAAATAGACAAACTAGACAGAAGATTTAGACAATTCCCCAACAGTGTCTTTTGTCAAAGCAAAGAAAAACTTGGCGATAGGATGCAGTCCCGGTACAAACAAACCATTTTCCTCACTTTTCGCTCCGAAACGATAGTCCTTGTGACAAACTGCCAGCAATCTCAAATCTCAGAAATTAAATTAAATTGAACTGTGGCCAAAAAATTAAGTTGGTTTTCTAACATCTTGTGGCAAATATCGTTGCATTACAATGTGTTTATTTTGAGTTCCCAATTTCACAGTGTTGCCACCCGCGGCCGGACGGACTACCCAGCTTTCCTAACGCTCGATACCGATTCCGAACATTCCGAACATAATTCCTAACCGATTCCTAACCAATTCCTAACGCTTTCCTAACGGCGCGTTAGGAATTGGTTAGGAATTGGTTAGGAATTGGTTAGGAATTACAAGTGGGCGTTAGGAAAGTGATATCGGATTTCGGCAAACGTGACCTTTAACCCGAGTAAAAGATGGCGGCCTCCAGGAGTCCGCCATTGCTCCGTGATTCAGGTAAGAGAACGTATATTTTAACTAAATGTTCACACTTCCAAATACATTAGGATTCATTTTTATCCGGTGGGTTATTGTTGGATGTAATTTTGGGTTTACTAATATGCAGAGATGTTGAGACTAGGATAGGTAAGAGCGATGTTTTGTAGGGAAATTAAAGTAATGCTGCGGTGTAAATCAGCGCGCATAACGCAATGAAGGTGAGCGCGTAGTAGTACCGCGTAGCTTCAGCTGGGGGATTGACGATATCGGGAACGTGAATCGCTGTTGTTTTTATGGAATGGACATGAACTTTACTGCTCTTTTTTGGTGATACTGCCGTTTGTACTTGTACATGCTTTTTTATTATCAGCAGTCGCATGGTTGGTACTTTTTGGGGAAAGACTGTTGCAACCTGACGCTACTTTTTTCTTCATACATCTTCTCAATGAAGGTCATTCATTGCAAAATGATGATAAGACTTGAATCTGGGACTGAAAAACATTTCCAATTTTGTTAGGAAATACCGGCACATGTACTTGGAAAATTTTCTTGACTCTCCATAGTAAAACATGATAGATTTTTCACACAATCGCGGAATTGGCATCCGGTTGCAATTTTTTTTTTACTTTTTGGTAGGGATAAACCTATTACTACTAGATTTGGTGCTAGTGTGCTTGGTGAGATATGTTTTAACCATAGAATGATAGAGTTATAATATTAATTATTATATTATTAAATTACTAGAGCGCTGACTCAGTCATAGGCCTACTACTACTACTACTACTACTTCCGTTTCACGGATACCGTACGCCCCTCTTTGAATTACTTTTTGGGGGGGGGGGGTCATAACAATTTTCGAGGGCATAACAACGACAATACTAATTCCCATCATGCAACAGCTGTAGATGAGCCTGATGGGACGTGTATTTTCATTGTGATGTCCCCACTCCCCACCAAATTCCAAAGATGCATGCGGTATCCGCAAAACGGCTTATGTACAAAGTGATGCCTGCTGGGTGCACTGTGCACAAACATATGGAAAACCTGAAACTTGGAAAATATCTTGTATAAGTAATTTCCTCTCCCTTCCATCCCTGCATCAGAATTTGGCTATACACAAGTCACAAGTGAGGCGAGGTCATCATGTCTAAGATGGGGCGGCTACATGCTGCATACGTATAGATGAAGTGATGTTGGTGTTCAGCGTGTTTGGTGAGTCCTATTTTGTCATGTTCATATAGGAAATTTAAAAGACCCTGGAGATCTCCCCTCCCAGTCTTGGTAGTGTGCCCCCCCTGTTTGTTTACTTTAGCCCACAAGTCCCCCTAGACATGCTAGATTATAGTTCTTGCCTCCCATTTTTCCTTGGAAAGAATGTTGCAACCTGACGTGATGCTATTTTAGAAACAGAAAAGTCACAATTTTTGGGGCTTTCCTTGTACCTCAGATATTTAAATCATTTCAGCATTGTAAGGAATGTCTGGATGAGGTCTTTCTTTAGGAGAGATTTTTAGACGAAAAGTTGACCTGCAAATAGAAAACGTAGGCCTTCTGCGGTTAGCAAGGTTGGAGGAGCGCCTACACAGAAAGATATACATTTTCAATCTGCCTAAAAATCTCTCTTAAACTGTCTTAAACAATAATAATAATAATTTCATTCAGTAATAACATAGTCTTTATGTTTGTTTCTTTATAGCTATGCCTATAAGAAAGGAAGAGGTGATGCATATTGGGGGCATATCATGCGACAATATGCCAATGGTCGCTACCAATTTGGCATTGGCCAAAAGCTGGGCAGTAAGAGATGGAACTAAAGAAGGTTGAGAGTTGCCCGTGCCACAACACCCCCAGACCACAGATCTGATGGGGCGCAGAATCGTCTGCAACTGATCTTACCATGAGGTATGTTATTTACAAATCATTTTTCATGTTTCTATAGTGGACTCAATTTTTTTCATAGAATTGTCCTAATGAAAAATTGTAGGCACTTTTGTTTGGCGAATATTGAAGTGCCTTGGAGTGTCAAATAGAGCAAGGGTTAACAATTTAAAACTGCGGAAGGACCCCATGCCATCCATCGAGAGGAGACTGCAAAGCAAGCTCCTTTCTATTCAGCGTTCCAGTATCATCCCACAGCCTCTGTACAGACAGCTACGACCATCTAGCTCCAAGTGCCCCAGGTTCTTCGGACAGCCCAAGATCCACAAGAAGGATGTCCCCCTGCATCCCATTGTAGCTTCCAGAGGGGGTCCTACATACATCACAGCCAGGCATCTTGCAAAGATCCTCCACCCCTTGGTAGCAAACACCGAACACCACATCAAGAACTCCGACCAGTTTGCAGCATTCATCCAAGACCTCACCCTCCAGCCGGACGACATCATGGTCAGCTTTAATGTCGTCTCCCTCTTCGCCAGCATTCCCACCTCGGACACCTGCACCATCGCCAAGGACAGACTTCAAGCAGACACCACTCTCCAAGACCGCACCAACCTCACCCCTGACCAGCTTCAAGATCTGCCCCTCACATGTGTCAACTCATCCAGCTTCAGATGGCGGGACAAATCAAATTCTTCGAACAGTCGGCTGGAACTTCCATGGGATCTCCTATATCCCCGTTTCTGGCTGACTTGTTCATGGAAGAATTTGAACAGACCGTCATCGCAACAGCAGATCACCAACCCAAGGTTTGGCTCCGGTACGTGGACGACACCTTTGTCATCTGGCAACATGGGCAAGACAACCTCCAGCTCTTCTTGGAACACTTCAACAAGCTTCACAGCAGCATCCAGTTCACCATGGAACAAAAAGAGATCGCAACATCTCATTTCTTGACGTTGAGGTGTCCAGAAAGCCAGACGGATGTCTTGCTCTCAGTGTCTACCTGCACAGCAGCTCTTTCCACCACCCAAGAATCAAGTCCTCTGTCAAACGAGCCCTCATCCACAGAGCATACAACGTCTGCGACGATGAATGCCTACCTCAAGAACTCCATCACATCACCACAGCACTGCAGCACAACGGATACCAGCCCAGCCAAGTCAAGACACAATACTCAAGAACCATTCCCGGCCGTAGGGTCTCCTATACCCCAAGCCAACTAGTTAGGGTCCCTAGTTCCATCACCCTCCCCTACTTAGGCACCACTTCTCATCACATCCAACGCATCCTCCAAAAGCATGGAATTCGAGTCTTCCACACAGCCCCTCTGAAGATGCAGAACCTGCTGACTTCACACAAGGATCGGTGTGACCCAGAATGCAGACCAGGGGTGTACAAGATTCCATGTCAATGTGACAAAGTGTATTTTTCAGTCATAAACGTATTTTGGTGTTTTATTTTCTGTACAGGATACTACAACCTAACCCACAAGTGGTCCATCCAGGCCAGCCACAAGTGATGCGTCCAGGCCAGCCACAAGCAGTGCGTCCCCCCCAGCCACAAGTGGTGCGTCCGGGCAAGCCGCACGCCGTCTGTCAAGGCCAGCCACCGGATGTCCATTCAAGCCAACCAACTTTTGAATGCCCGCAGTGTTTCTAAAGAGTAGGAGTGGATGCATTTACTGACCACCACAAGAGTCAGCAAGTGAAAAGCACACCCTCCCGTCAGGTGAGCCAGCCCCCCTCTCGCCAGGAGAGCCAACCAGGAGAGAGCAGCCCCTCTGTCCCACCACCTTCTCGTCAGGTGAGCCAGCCAGTCTCTTGCGAGGAGAGCCAACCAGGAGAGAGCAGGCCCTCTGTCCCCCTGCCCTCTCATCAGGAGAGCCCCCCCCCCCCCCTCTCGCCAGGAGAGCGAACTAGGAGAGAGCAGGCCCTCTGTCTCCTGCCATCCTCCAGTCCTCCCCTCCAACCAATTGTATCGCCAACTTTCCAGATGAGGCAGCCTTCATTGGACTGGGCCAGGTTTTTTTTTTTACATCGGACTGACACTTGATACACCGGTGTGTAGAATACTCCTTTACATGTTCATTCGACTTGGATGAAACTCCTTTAAGGCAGTTATTAATAAAACAATTAATAAAACAGTCGAAACAGCTCAGTGCTTGTCCACAAAACACATTTCTAGCTGAAAATTTGATATTTTCTTCTAATTAGCAATACGGTCCTAGACCACCATCCGGAGATTCAGGCCGAATGTGGTAAATTCCAAATTCTTGTTGCAAAAGGTTCATTAGGTCGTAGATAGATACAGAAAATTTCGAAGAATGTGTGACATCACCATGACATCATGAAAATTTGTTTTTTTACATTGGATCGACACTTAGACCACCATGTATAGAATTTTCATGTACTTGTTCATTCGACTTGGATGAAACTCCTTTACTGCAGTTATTGCTAAAACCGTCGAAACAGATCAGTGTTTGTCCACAAACACATTTCTAGTTTCATCATGAAACTAGAAACTGGTGTTTCCTTGATTTCTCCACGATTATTAGCCCCGTCATGCCTGCAGTTGAGCATTTTATAGGGTCATATTTCAAGATTTCTTTGACGTGAACCATAATATGCAAGTGGGGAATGATTTTATTCCGAATAAGTGTTTTTACTTGATTGGTGCATCAGTAATTAAAAAGTGTATAAGAAGTGTTTTAAAACTTGCATGTACACACAAAAATATAGTTAGATTATGTATAGTATAATTATAATTGACACTTATAGCAGTCTTATCTCATGCTGTTGAAAGCATAGGCTTTTGCAACTGATCAGTAAATTGTGTTGTCCCTTATTTTTGGGGTTCTGTGATGTAACTTTTGATTTTCTGAAAATGTTGAAATTGCTTCTCTCGATTTGTGGCGTCTGCAACCCTCTGAAAAAAAATGGTTTTCAATGGTTTACTTTATGCTTGTACATTGCATATTAGATCACATTAACTAATAAATGTTTGGTATTATTACACTACACAAATTCTTCTGTTTTACCTTTTGGTGTCCATTCACACCCCCCCCCCCATTTTACACATAATACGATTATAGAAAATATACAGAATAGTTCCCAATAGAAGAGCGCGGTGTTCAAAAAGACAACTTGCAGCCCAAACTGTATAATTATGAAGTTATACTTATTGCAAAGATATAATTTATTCGGAAATATTAATAATTAACAGTAGGGGTCACTAATTTGCTGTTAATTTGATGGGGGGGGGGGGGGGGTAGGGCAAATGCTCTCACGCTCGGAAAAATGATGAATTGAGAATATAATGAAAAAGTTAAGGAATTTTGGGGACATATTTGCTTTAGGGCCCCCCCCCCCCCGAAAAATCCTGACAACACCCATGAATATTTATGCCAAATTAAAAAAAAAAAAAACCTTTTCATCAATTTAACTAAAACTACTGGTTTGCACTAAATTTATTAGATTTAACCTCAATTTACGCCCCCAAAAATATAATTTACATTAATTTTGCAATATATATGCAACAAAGTACCTAACATTGCATTAAAATCCATTAAATTTTAATAATTTACACCAAAAAGTACTCGTTTTACACTGAATTTTTCACGATTTAACACCATTCTGTCAACAAAAAGCACTTTTCTTCGTTTTCTCTTACTTCTCTCTTTCCCCCTCCTTTTCCCCCCTTTCCTTCCCCTCTTCCCCCGGGAGGGTAGTCCACTATGCCCCTTTTCGTGTTGACATAACGAACGGCCAGACGTCGGATCTGTGAGCAGTGTTTGTGTAGCGCGCCCTCTTTTGTAAGAAATTGTTGCATGACGATAAAATATGGAGTGACATTTATACTGCAATTTCCTTAAATCGTATTACATTCATTCTTCGGCGGCTCCTGTCAATGTTCTAGAGTTTCGTGTCAATTACCATGGCAAAATATTGCAGGAAATTTCCTTGCAATACAATGTGTTTATCTTGAGTTCCCGTTTTCACAATAACTGTATTTACATCTCGAATGGCCAGACGTCGGAACGTGGTGAGCAGTATTTGTGTACAGTGCGCCCACTTTTTGAAAAAAAAAATGTTCCATGACAAGAAAATACGGAGTGTCCTTACAGTGTATTAAAATTCCCATGGACACTAGTGCTAAATGCCTATACTTCTAAATTCTTTAAAAATAACCCTCAGAACTCTCACATGTATTTAAGCTGCACAGAGAAATGGCGATCAGTATGTTTTATTTTATAAGATTTGAGGCTTTGCATGGTGGGGTATCGGTATCGTTTCGGTTTGCGGTAACACCATGTGGTAATAACTACTGGACAAGTTCTTCTCAGAACTAATATCTTCAGGACAAGTTCTTCTCAGAACTAATATCTTCTAAGCAGTAGTTATTACCACATGGTGTTACCGCAAACCGAAACGATGTTTTATTTTATTTTCAATTTTTGGTGGGTTGACCAAAGACTTTTCAAGAAATTCTCACCCAAAGAAGACGATCCCTATTTTCCCCTGCAATCGATCGTGCTGGTAAATTTTAATTCGGAAAGGACTAGCGGACATCTCAACAGCCAACAGTAGAGTAACTGGGGTCCCATGAGGGAGAGGGGAGGGTTCTATGGGTGTCATTGGAGGCACACAAAAGATTTGGTCATTTTTTTAAAAGATATTCGCAGATGTTTTCTTTAGAATATCAAAACCAAACGTTTTGTGTCTTAGGCTAGCTATAGCACGGAAAACGAAAATGGGACAATCAGATTTATCTTCACAACCTTTCCCCGGCCCAGGGCAATTGTTATTTCCGATTTGGTATCCCATAGTATGTAGTGGTGAGAGCGTACTGCTATACGATGAGAACGAGGAAAGACTTGACCCAATTAATATTGTGGTGAAGATAGAGCCTGCACAACCTGTTGTTTGAGTCTTTGATTCATCCCTCGCACATTTTGGACGCAATTTCAATCAAATGCAATATGTTGTTCTTGAGTTATCGTCTCCACAAAGAGTGTCAAAAGAGACTAAACTTCGCAATGAATTTTTCGTGATTAAAACGCTTTGTCCTATTTTCTTTATATCATATCAAATGTACTCTTCCATGGTTTACGTCAAATTTCAAACTGGTTGTGTCAAATTGTATATGGTTAATAATCGGACGCAATTTCAATCTGATGCAATATGTTGTTCTTGAGTTATCATCTCCACAACGAGTGTTGTATTTTTGCTTTATAATGGGCAGATTGTGATCCGCATTGACAGGTCTCGAAATGGTCCTGACCCTGTTTGTGTAGGGCGCCCTCTTCAGGAAGAAATAGAGACTGAGTAGCAAAAAGAACGGAGTGTCCTGGCACACTGTTGGCCGTTAGTTATTGTCGTTGTGTACTCTTTTTCTCTTATTTCAAGGTTTCAGTCGATTTTCTAGCATCTTGTGTCAAATATCGTGGCCAATTATTGGACGCAATTTCAATCAAATGCAATATGTTGTTCGTGAGTTATTATCTCCACACAGAGTGTGAAAAGAGATTAAACTTCGGAATGAATTTTTCGTGATTAAAAACGCTTAGTCCTATTTTCTTTAAATCATATTAAATGTATTCTTCCACGGTTCACGTCAATTTTCAAACTGGTTGTGTCAAATTGTATGGTCAATAATCGGATGCAATTTCAATCCGATGTAATGTATTGGTCTTAAGTTATTGTCTCCACAAAGCCTAGTGTTGTATTTTTGCTTAATGGGCAGATTGTGATCCGCATTGACAGAAGTTTTAACGTTGCTGACCAGTGTTTGTGTAGGGCGCCCTCTTCATGAAGAAATAGAGAGTAGCAAAAAGTATGGAGCGTACGTCCTGCTGGCACGTACATCAACTTCTATCGTTTTTTTCCTTTTCTTTGTAGTATCGATTCCCCTTGTTTTCGTTCCTGACAGATTCCATACAGCAACACTCCATGTCATAGTGTCGATTAAGTTTCAATGCAGAAACCACGCACAGTTAATGGCGCAAAGGCAGTCTGATATGACAACAACCACAACAACCACAATAAACATACACAATAACCACAACAACAACAACAACAACAACCACGACAACCACGACAACCACAACAGCCACAACAGCCACAACCGCCACAACCGCCACAACAGCCACAACCATCACCACAACCACATCCACAACCACACAACCGTCACAACCGCCACAACAGCCACAACCACCACAACCACCACATCCACAACAAAAGCCACAACAGCCGCAACAACCGCAACAACCGCAACAACCACAACCACCGTGACCACAACACCACAACTACCACAACCACAACAACAACCACAACCACAACAACAACAACGCATTTTAGTGGCAGTTTCGCTTGTCAAATTTTTTAATTAGGAAACTTGTAACAGTTGTGGTCTGATTTGGGCACAAAAGTAAAAGCCCTGCCGATCAAAGTTGAATCTTTCCTAAGACAATAATGGTATCTGGCAAAAATCATATGTTCTTTAAAATGAAAAATAAATTTAAAAAGCCAAGTACATGTTTAGCGATTTAATTGGATTTATGTTGGAATAAATTTATTATGTGAAAACTTTCAACAGCTTCTTTTTAGTACGCTTTTTCATCAATGAATACTGTTTCTGAAAAAAAAAATTAAATTCTATCTTATGTCATTCGAAGAGCACACTCTTGATTGACTTAGTGACATGTTGCTAAACAATTAATTGAAAAACGTTGGAACTGTTTGAAACAAAAATTAAAAAAGAGACAAGTTTTGTGTGTTTTTTTTTTGTCAAAAAGCTTTTAGAAGGAAGCGGTCATCCAAGTCGGCAGTGTAGCGTTTCCAAGGAGTTTAATGTTGGGAATATATCGCTTCTTGCGTCCAGTGATAGTACGCGTGTTATCTGGCGGTGCACCCCCATCGAAATGACGCACCTAAACACAGAATAAAAAAACTTTTAGTCTTTTAAATTTTCTTAAATGATTCTTACTGATACACCATCTCATGATAACCTTAGTTTCACCCCTCCCCCTCCCTCTGAAGCCCCGCTCTCGAATTAATGCAAGAGCGCCCTCTCTTTTTCGATGGTTCTATAAACATGCGGTGCTCAAAATTGGGCGGGAAAAAAAACGCAAATTCGTCCCCATGGTGTCGAGCAGAACGCTCCCACCACAGCCTGCTCGAAACGAGGTTGAACACATTTTTCTTTATATGGTTGTCAAACAGTTATTTATGTCATAAAAAAGTTTAACAGAAACAAATTAAACTGTTTCAATCTAATTTCAAATTTTTAAAAGAATTTGCATTACATAAGGAACGCTTACACTTCACTGGTTCCGCATGATTTTCACTATCTATAAAGCCTTACTGAACAACGAGCACCAGGCCGGCGGTACGATTGGTACCCGCCCTACCATCAGTGTTCTCGCTTAATATACGACTAGAACCAACTGGGTTTTTAATGCAAACGTTGCGTCACTTCATCAACATATTTGCGCCATATACGGTCCTTCAAGTCTCTGTTTTTGACCAATTGAGGGGGTAATTGTGCACGGAGGTTTGTGTTACCTGGAGTGTTGTCTGTGGGGCACTTTCAACATGTCGTCTTCTTGGTCGACGCGGGAGGGAACTTTTGCCGACCTGGATGGAATCGCCCGGTTGGGGCTCGCTCAGTGTGAAACCTTCGTCTAAAAAGGTAAACAAAAACAGCAATATGCGTAGCTTGAACTTCCTTTACATGGCGAACTTTAATAGTTTCCCCCGATTTTCCTCATACAGTGTTGCAAAACCTCTTCAAATTAAATTCATTCAGTTAAATGCTGGCACGATAACAATGCTTGCCGTTAGTGAACCCCAGCTTGTAAACAAATTTAGTGTCATGAAATTTAGCCCGAAATTAAGAGAAAAACGTGGTGTCAAGAAATTGGGCTCAAAATCAAACAAGTATTCTCTAACGTGGTGCACGTGGAAAATTCAAAGTGAGTATTTGAGAGTTTCTTCAAAAATACCAAATTCGAATAAACTTGTGTTACATCCATTTACATATCCAGCCACCAGTTTGTCAGAAAAACGTCACTGTTTTTTTAGCGTATTTTAAAGGGGTTCACTCTAGGCATTAAACTAAATATAAAATCAGCATATCGCGCCGAATTAATGTTTGTCTTAACTTTGTAACATTGAGGTAAACTCAGCCTTCGTGTAGTTTAGGACATCTTTAATGCTCCCTTCATAAATCGAAACCCTGCCCACTTTCCACAAAATTAAGCAATATTCGACATGGTGTTTCAGCTTCCAAACACATCAAGTGACTTATCCAGCTTGTAACATCGCCAAATGTTTAGATATTAAGCCCCAAAACACACTGTCTTTTCGTTTTCTTATATGAAATGGGGTCGTAAACTACACGACTGGTATAAACTCAACAAGGGATTGTTTAGAGCTGGATGAATTTAGAGGTAATTCGCCACGGCAGCAACGCATCACCAATTTAGGTTTCACGACCAATTGCAAATTTAATGTAAAATGTTTACGCCTTGTGTTTATTAAAGAGAAAGAAGTAAATATTAACCTGCCGCAAATTCTATGGGAAGTTGTAAAAAATTCTTGGATTATTTTCTCCCAAAATTGTTTCGCACTTATAGTATAGGCCTATAGCTATGATACCTTGTATATGAGGGACGATTTTTCTTCGACGTGGCACATAAGAAAACGGACTTGACGTTGTCATCATTGTAGTATGCTGTTGACAACAAAATATGACATGAACATTGATATATGTTTCTAGTTTCATTTTGTCAGTAAAATTTACTGTGGAGTCAGCTCTCGTTTTAATGTGTGTATATTTTTCTTTCTATTTGTCCCCATTTAATACAAGGCCTATACGCAACATCGCGTATTGCTTGTTATTATTAGGCCTTTAATTTGACCATAGCGTGAACATACGATGAAGTAAAAACGCAGCTTTCTGTTATAAACAAAATGCGACACAATATCCTACTTGAGAATTATTGTGGTGATGGGTGAAGACGTTGATATACTGTGTATCACACGAACTGCATGCAGGCCATAGACATGCAGGCATATTTTGATTATAGAGCGCCACCATGCGTTCGCTTCGACGATTAACTTTTCAACTTATCACCGACATTATTGTAAAAATATTTCTACCCATATTTTTCATGGGGGCGGACCCCCCCCCCCCCCGTAGCTACGAGTTGCTGGCAGTACCGCGTGAAACATATCGCGTCTCGTAGTTATCGTTATGCTCGCAAAAAAATACCCCCAAATGTGTGCACATAGGTGTCACCTTGTTCCCATAATGCACAGCGAAATTGTATCAGTGGCCCAGTTAAATCGCTCCTTTTCATTTATTATTGGATTGGTCGGGTACCTTGTAGCATGCCGGCAAAAGTCGTTCTGTTTCCAGCTCGGGCTCCGGGGTACTCGGCACTTCAGAAAAAGGGGGAAAACATAATGGAAAGTGAATGTTGCAATATTCTTTTGATTTCTTCTTTACTTGTGCTTTTTTGTTAATTCATTGGTTTTGACTGTCAAGTCATCGTAACGATAGAGACATTGAGGCCTACATTCATCGCGCTGTCTTATTACGTCATAGTATCATAATTTCATAAGTTGTTTGACGATTATCATTATCACCATTATGATGTTGTCGGCGGCCAATTTGATTTTTTCCCATTTAAATCATCGTAACCAAAACGAGGTTGGAAGGAAAAATAGTCTGATTCCTGTTTTGCAGAAAAACATTACAATTCAGTATTGTTATTGGATACATGGGAACATGACTAAAATGGTGGCAGCATGAAAAAGGTCTTCATAGCTGTTCATGTGAATACAAGGAGAGCCTCGATCATCAGTTTCGATACGGAGAAGAGCAAAATAGGTTAACATTTCATGTCTATAGACACATTTCAAATTAGTATTGAAACCCACGCTCTTAATGCTAAGCCATTGTATGAACTGAGGACTTTTTCTTAAAACCATTGCTATGACGTCACAATATTGTTAAAAGTGTGGATTCAGATCTATGAATCTCTTACACTGGTCACAGAGTGTGGATCGGAACGACCAATCTTTAGTAAAGTGTGGATTCGGAATTACGAATCCACACTTTGAACACCTCAGACAATTGTTCTCCATAATGAGCCTGAATAGGACCGTCTGCGTGAAAATTTGCTTTCCGAAAATTGCATCTTCACTGTCAGATTCTCTACTTTTGGTCAGAAAGAAATCGTCGTCTGAACTATCCATTTTGACGTAAGGAGCCTATGTACACAAAATGACTTGGTTGTACGGTGGTGGCGATACACACGCTAAACAAGCCAGGGAGAAATGTTGCAACCTGACGACATTGTGTACGAATTCTATGGAGAGTCATTTCAAGCATTTCCTAATAAATTTGGAAACATTTCTCAGTCCCAGATTCATGTCTTATCATCATTTTTTGCAACGAATGACCTACATTGTGATGATATATGAAGAAAAAAGTGGCGTCAGGTTGCAACATTCTTTCCGATACTTCTGTTGACGCAATGGTTTAACCCTAAAAGGGCCGGGGGGCGGAATCCGCCCCCCCCCCCTCAACATTTTCCGTGATAGCCTCTAAAAAAAAAATTTCGCGACCCGAGCTGTTATGACTTTTGAGCCTCGAGCTTTGCGCATCTTTTGATACCAAAAACATAAAAATCGGACCACGGGTTGCCGCGTAGCGAAAAATTTTCCGGCGCTACGCGCCGTGAAAACTGAATTTTCGCATATACGTCGTGTACACAGAGCAGAATTGCCATTCATACATATGAATAATTAATTAGCCATAATTCCAAAACCCTTTGACCTATAGTCATGAAATTTCTTGAGTATGTCAAGGAAGAGTTGCTCTATGCATGTATCGAGTTTCAAAATTTTTCGTCACTCGATGGCCGAGATCTTGGGGGGGGGGCCGAATCCGCCCCCTCCCCCCCCCCCCCCGGCTGAGAGATGGTCAAAATAACCCGGCCCCTTTACACTCGCAAGTATGGATTCTTAATTTACGAATTACGAATCCACATTTTGTCGTGTATTCTCCTTAATTTAATCCTCTCAACAAAAGACAGTACCATGTATGGCCCTTGGTTTCAGTGCCAATTTGACATTCGCCAGCTCAGTGTATTGTAATGAATGTGTACTCACCAATGCCACATGCGGCCACCTTCTTTGAAGGATTACACCCAAAGCGCGTCGATCTGACCATGCGCGCGTGACCCTCCCTGATTGGATAATGTGTCCTCATGGAAGAGGTCATGGTATGTGTGGCGCCCTCATCGTCAGACTGTGCGATGACTGTCTTGACTGTGCACACGGGCTTTTGTGGAACAACAAATCATATCCCAATATTTGATATTACCCAACACACATTTACTATTATGTAACCGACACAGATCCTTGTCATTTGATTGGTGGAAGTGGCATTCGTTATTGCTCCCATTCATGCCGAGCCTCAAAAAGTACTATCCGCCCATGGGGAATGGGAAATATTATAACACCTCACCCACAGATTCTGTGTCTTGATTGGCCGAGAGCGAGTCACATGTTACTTTCTAATTTTGCTATCTTTCTGTGCACGGCCAAAGTACTATGCGCATAGCAACCAAAGTACTATTTCTACGGCGCGGTATTTTTGTGCAAATGCATGCTGGTGTGCGCGGTTCGCAACTGAATATGAACGAGGTATAGTAAAACAAATATAACATGTTTTTTGGGGGGTTGACAGTCGATATTAGCTCCCCTCGGTATTGGAAGTTGACAAACTAGTTCCCTCGGCTTCGCCTCGGGAACTAGTTTGTCAACTTCCAATACCTCGGGGAGCGAATATCGACTGTCCACCCTCAAACCATGTTATATTTGTATACAACACCACTCGAAGCATTCAATATTTGTATACTATTCAACAGTTAGGATCATGACGCGCCATTTGTGTGCAAATGCATGCTGGTGTACGCGTTCAGCGCTGCGCGTAGCGCGTATTGTTCCAAAGAGCCAGCGCTACAGATCTGGGTTCAAACATTTTCGTGAAGGGGTGGTTTGGAAGAGAGAAATACATTTTCCTCCAGGTTTGTATTGAAATAAAAGTTCAAATATCAAATGACAAGGATCTATATGTCAGTTATATAAAACAAATATTGAGTGGCTTTAAATTGTGAAATGGGAGGATATCATCGCTCTGTAAAATCTGGACTTTTCCATTTCACTCGGCTTCGCCTCCTGAAATGGAAAAAGTCCAGATTTTACCTTGCGATAATATTCCTCCCATTCCACGCTGAGCCACTCAATATTTGTATACCATTTCATGATATGCATCATTTGAGTTGAAGATTTTGTGAGTAATACGTCATTCTGCGAAGTTGGGTTTTGAGTCCTCCATGTGGGTCATGGTCCATGTGTCCTTGAGCAAGACAATTTGCATTAATTGCTTCTCAAGCCAAAGATACGGGCAGCTGTGAGGGCAAAGATGGCTGTGTTTCAATCGCTTTGTTTTGTTATCGCATGTTGCATTAAACGAAATGGCAACGTCAGTTGTGTCCTGGTGTGCATCTCTGCAGGGAGCCGAGGTGGTCTTTGGAATGTTAACAGACATGAGGAGCAGGGTTTGAGGTGCGTATGTCCTTGGGCAAGATACTTCGCAGTAATTGCTTCACGCAGCCAGGGGTAAAATGGGTACTTGTGTTTTAAATGTTTCGCCCTACTCGATGGTCAACGAAAGTAATGCCGAACTTGGAAATATCTGTAATCCCCAGGGAAAGGTTGCCTAAATAATGTTACTGGCCCGACAAACAGGGTTCGAGGTGCGTGCGTCCTTGATCAAGGCACTTTGCAGTGTTTGTTGGTCAATATGTCCGTTGCGCTGAAATGACAACATCGAGTCTTGGCAATGGTCTTGGCAATGGGCTTGATGAGCAGGAGTAAAATAGAATTTGTCCGCTCTTTACCTCATTTGAGAGTCTTCTCAAGTGCGCAAGGTGAGCGGGATGGGGGTTATTCTTGCGATTGTCCGGGATGGGTAGACTGACCCGACCCGCTTGGCTTGCCATGGGTTTCTTGGTGAAATCTGTGGCGTAGTTACTGACATCGTGACGCCAGTCTGGGTTAACGTCCCCCAAAACCCTGTCAGAAATAACACCAAATGTTGTGTCGATTGGCATGAGAAAGTAATGAGTAACAACGGTGCCCTTGTAACACTATAATGTACTGTCTCTATCAACTTTTCTACACAGGAATACTGTATGACATTACAGTACCTGAGTTTTGTACAGTGTATAGTCGCTCTTCATTACGTCTTACATAGGCCTTTGTCTCAAGAATTATGTCTCAAGATTTGTGTCTCATTTAACACCCCACGCGCAGTGAAGTATACTTCCAGAGGCCACACAGCAATTTAAAGTTCTAAATAAATGCCAGTGGAAGACTTTTCATCTCGCTTTTGTTGGCCAATGTTCTTCTCCTTTTAAAATTTAAACATTTAAATTGACATTTATTGTGCCGGTTTTTTTTCTAGGTGAGGACCGTTTGTCATTTTGCCGATTGTTTTTGAAGAATGGTTCGCCTTGTATAGAAAGGCCTAAAAAAAACCTCAGCTGTAAAGAAATAAACGAAAAACATATACCTTCTCCTTGTATTGACTGCAATGGCGTGCGCTGTGGCAGTCGCCGCCGACATCTTATGAATTACTCCCAATTTTTCCTAAGATGTTTTCCTTTGTAGTTCAGTCCGCACGCATAATTTGTTCTAACCATGTGCATGACTGCATTATCACCACACGTAATAATAATTTCAGTGTTGTTAAAACCATGTTTTTTGAATATTTGATATCATTGTGATGTTAATTTACCATCAGTGACGTCATAAGGCCCCACAACTGGCGCCTGCGCGCGTTGCGCATTGTGCGTATGGTTATGGAACTACGTACGCTCAATTGCCGCCCGCTCAATATGATACAAACAATGCAAAAAGGACGCGGGCACGCGCGCGTGCATTGTGGGGCGATACCATTGTCCAGTACGGGTGAATAGCACTGCATGCCATGTTTCCGTATGCACAAGTTCGTGGTGGCTGCACGGGCACATTATTTTTAGTAGGCGGTCGACTGAGCAACCTTACTACATGGCGATACCATTGTCCAGTAAGGGTGAATATCTGCGCTATTTTTGCAGAACCACTCGTCGAGAACCACTCGCCCAAACAACTTCAAACTTCAAACTTGGCACAAACTTTGACGTGAGTGTGCATTCAACCTTTGAAAACAACACCTTTGAATGAATCGCCTGCGTTGTTTGCACGAGCAGTTCTCAAAAACTCTGCAAGCAAGCAACCAATACCAGTGGCAAACAGTGGCGTCACCAGACTTTTCAGTCTGGGGGGCACGGGGGGGGGGGGGGGGGCAGCATTTGAGGGGGGGGGGGCACTTAGGGGGCACTTAGGTGGATACGGATCGCCGTCCTGAGGGAAGGGTCTAAGGGGAGGGGGTGCCATTGGAAAATTTTCGCATACGGAGGATGGACTAGATGCAAAATGGTGCCACATTTGATGCTAAATTCGATCTGAAGATATCTCAAGAAATTGCTATTTTTGAGGTAATGATTTTAACAACGCGCAGAATTTTGCAGAGGATAGGGGGGCACCAGCATTTGATGGGGGGGGGGCACTCGGGGGGGGGGCACTAGGTTTTCCAGGGGGGGGGTACGTGCCCCCCCCCCCCCCCCCCCCCCCCCCCCCCCCCCCCCCCCCCCCCCCCCCCCCCCCCCCCCCCTGGCGACGCCACTGGTGGCAAAGCAATTTGCGCTTCCCGAACATGCACATTTTAGACGGGCACTGCACTGCGCCATTTTAGGGCCTAATTTCATCCACATTTCACACTAATACAATCTGACGTTCACGGCCCTCAAAATGCTTTCATACACCGGAGAATAAGGGCATGCCTGTAAATCGAGATTTTGCCGGGAATACAACGGCGTGCTCTTAGCGCGAGATCACATTTAATTCAACAAAAGAACACTCCTTGTGCGGACATGTCAAGAAATAATCTGTTTTATTGAATTGAAGTGACGTTTTTGATTAGCTGTGTGATGTTTTGAAGAGGCTTAGCTTCCTAAAACCATGAAAATTGTCAAACAATTTTAAGTTTATACATCCAAAACAATAGCGTGCCTTCACTGAAGACAGTGTGAAATGTACAATGTTGGCCTACAATATGAAGGGAACAAGTAAAATGCAACCATATATTTAGGATGTGCGCCCTCTATAGGCCACTTTTGGCCTGTCATGGGTGTAAAATATTTATGAACATAACAATCGTTGTGGGATCAATAACTCATGAAATATCTGTTGTATGAAATTCCAAGCTTGTCTACTGATTGTTTTTGATGTTTCAAAGACGTCTTATAAATATCAAGAAGTATTGTGATGCCCAAAGATAAATATATCCCAAATAATAATTCAGCTCGAAAATACTGATACTTCAACAACAGTATCTCGTTATGGGGCCAATAACTCAATACTAACTTCTGTTGTTTCGAATTGAAATAGCGTTTGTTACTTAACTGTGATATTTGAAAGAGGCTTCCTAATTAATATCACGAAGAATGGTCAAGCAGTTTGATTAAATATATCCAAAACATTCGCGTGTCTTCAGGGTGAACAACGTGCAATCTGAAAATCAAACCATAGTTTTGGATGTGCGCCCTCTACAGGTACTAGGTCACTTATGGCCAGTAACGCATTTTTACACACTCGTCGTTCGGGCCAATTACTCAAGAAATATTTGTTGTATATCAACAAAGTCAACAAGCTATTAAAGGGAATGCACAGCATTTGCTTTTGCTGCAAACTTCCTTTTCAGGATACGGGGTGTTTCTGCACTTTATGTTCTTGATATTGGCCGGGTTTTTTTTTTCAGTTTAAAATAGTTGGATATTTAAATCTGAGAGAGGGCGCCCTATAATCTTACCGTAGTTAGGCATTTGAAACTTTCAGATGATACAAAACAATAATTAGTCAATTGAACTTGAAATACTGTGAATGGGGAATTTATTTTTAAACGGATTAATTTTTACTGAATGAAGAGGATTACACCATTCCTCCATGATTACACTATAGCTGCTGATTTTGTCGCTTGGGGGGGGGGGGGGGGGGGGGGGGGGGTGTGCGTTGGGGCGGGTATACCTAGAAGGTTTTTTTTATTAACTTCCATATAAACCATTTTTAAAAGCTGAGGAAGGAAGTTAGAAAAAGTTATTTTGTAAATGTTGGATGAAAAATTACAACCTGAAAATTAGTTTGAATAATTTTGGATCCACTCAAGTCGAACATTACCCCACTCAACAAACATTACCCCTCCGCCCCCTCCCGTTACAAGCTAGCTCCGCCCACGCGGGTTTCATATCGATCGTGAACGTTCTCGAATCCAATTCCAGAACCAGAACAGAAGTAACTGATTAACAAGACTTGTACAGAAATACTCTGGCCAGCAAACACATATAGCACCACCTACATTGTGCATGTGTTTGTTGTGAATATAAAAATATCGCGATGAATCAGCTTTTGAGTTGACTTTGTTTTGTTTTTAAGGTCACCAGGAAGTGTCTAACCTTTGACCTTGAAAAAGTGTAGCTGGTATCTTGAATTCTGCCCATTGCGTAAAAGTAATGGGAAGCGTCTTTGGGTACCATTGAAATTCAGCCATGTTGGAAAAATACGGATAACTCGAGTAATATCCATACGCGTTAACAAAATATTAACTTTTAATGGTACTTTCATGTTGAATGTAACTTAAATGTCAGAAAATGCAGTTTCTGTAAGAAATTTAGCTAAAGTATGAACGTTTTCGTTTGGGTCAAGCTGAATTTAGGGGTTTCGCACTTCATTTTTGTTAGTGTAGTTGGAAACCATTTCGGAGTAAAAAGGTTTAATGCCAGAAGTCTGCGATGGGACAGTGGCGAAAACTTTGATATATTTTGACGAAATTTGCCGATTTTTTGACTGATAACTTCAACGAGAATGCCAGTTCTGCACGTAGGTGCTGATGCAGGATATCACTGAAAGTCGCCAGTGTCGCTGAAACGATTGTCACTACCAAATTCATTAATTTTCGGAGTGTTATTGCGCACGGTAAGTAAACGCCATTCATTTGTGCAATTAAATTTAGGCAGTGGATATTTTGCCGGAGACGGCAAACCTTTAGTAAACGTTAGTTTGCCGGATATGCACTGAACATGCGCAGTTACTGTTTTTTTGTACTTTTTCGGGTGACAAATTTTAGTCTGGCTCCATGCCAACATTTTCCGGTGACAAATTTTAGTCTGGCTCCATGCCAATATTATCGTTGTAACCTTGTATTCACAAGATGGGATTCAGACCATTTTATAATTTCGGACTTTATTTCCCTTTTAAAAAAAATCCTCCAGAGCCACAAATCTGAAAAAGAAAATGTAATACTCGACTCTGCAATAAAATGTTTGAGACATGTTAAAATAATAAAAGAAGAATATTCTTATTTATTTGGGGATGAGAAAAAAAACTTAAAAATATGACGGGGATCGGGGTCGAACTCGAGTCATCCCGCTTACCAAAGCTTTTGCTTAACCACTACACCAAACGTGCTGCACAACTTTTGGTGGGAATTTAGTACATCTTATAATTCAGCCCTATCTTAAAGAGTACAGCGCCCTCTGTTGATATGGATTGCCGCCGGCAAACCTTTAGTAAACGTTAGTTTGCCGTCATTACCTCCGGCAAAATATCCACTTCCAATATATTTGGACTCAAATTTTGGAACGTTGTTTATCACTTCGTCACTTCGTGACAATGTAATGTATGAGGAACGATAATATGCTGTGCTTTTTCCTGGGAAAACATATAAGAATTTATATTTACTAGAAAATGCTTTACTCTCTTGAAAGAATCAAATAAATTGGTGGCTAGATAGGAATGTCAGACAAGTCGACCGTTGAGACAACTCGACTCGGGACAAGTCGGCCGTTGAGACAACTCGACTCGGGACAACTCGGCCGTTGAGACAACTCGACCGTTGAGACAGTGACATGTAACGTGCACGTGCACGGTATGGCCACGCGGTTGACTGGAGATGCGCGCACCGGCCCGGCAAATTCGAACGATGTGCACGGACAATCACGCTGCGCTATATCGGCTCTGCTCTGTTATGTGTCATAACTCCCAAACGGCGATCAGCCGCCGTCAAAATCCCCGGTACTATCCCCAAAACTAGGCCCAAAAACATGCGAGGCGACTTGTCTTAACGGTCGACTTGTCTTTCCATTTATCGCACATACGGTTGAGTTGTCTCAACGGTCGAGTTGTCTCAACGGGCGACTTTTCCCGAGTCGAGTTGTCTCAACGGTCGACTTGTCTGACCCCCTTCAATTTCTACTGTTGCTAGTCATGTCAAACAAAGTAATCCTTACTTTTAAGTTTTAGGACACCTCTATTTTTTACGAGTTCTGTTCAAAACTGACTTTTGCAGATGACTGTCCAGTACCAAAGTGACTTTTGCAGGCTAAAGCAATCTTTTTTCTTCATATAAACTCATGTTAGTTGTAATTTTGAAAGCACTTTTAAAAAAAAGTGACTCCTCCTACCTTTTTTCACAGTCAGACGTGCATGTTGTAGTTCTCACACGCGTGAAAGCCCTACATAATGAAAGCCTGATGCTGATTGGCTGCTAAAAAAAATAATTAAGATGTTTATTTTTTATCAGCCAATCAACATCGAGCTTTCATTGCATCGAGCTTTCACGTTTGCCATCTTGGTTTTTGAGTCTGTTTTCTGGTTGTCATCGTCGTCTTTTACCCCTCAATTTCCCTCTAAAATCAAAGCCCTGCCCTCTTTCCACAAACTTAAACCTGCTGATATTCAAGAAGGTGTCATTTCCAACTGTTCAAATGTGTCAAGAAATATCAGAATGTCACTTTTGAGTGTCATTTAGTCAGCTGTTTTGGTGAGTCTTTCCCTTCCTATATAGGAACAGGGTCCTAAAAGTAAGGATTACCAAAATGTTAATTATAAAGTGGATATTTAGCCATAGTATTATGCTTCTTGCGAACGTTAGATTGTACAGCACCCCCTTTGACATGTTTATGAGTAGGCCTTCATTATAAAATGTATTGCATTACCACGTAAAGTATGTACTCCTAGCATGCCTAGAACTATGAGGCTCCACGTAGACAACTTACCCCGCAAAATTGTTTGCCTCTACAAAACACCAACATTAAAAAGTTTGGCTTATCTTGTGTTTTGGATAACGACATTTGACGTAGTGCGCAGTGGCTATTGTTAACGGAAGCCGTAACACATTACAGAATTACAACGTAACATGGAAAATCTTTATGAGATTTTAAATTTCTACATCGATTAACCCTAATTCCTGATGGCTCTTTTACTAGAAAGTATCCCGAATCCGCCAAAATCCACCAATTTTGTCATGCAAACAATGCTGGTATCCTGAATCTATCAGAATCCCCCAGTGTAGATAATGGAGGTATCCTGAATCCGCCAAAGTCCACCAGCAAAAAGTCTCGATGGATTCTGGTGGATTCAGGATACCATGGTGGCATAAAAGAAAAATACAGCATGTGTTTCCATAGAGTCTTCAAAATCCATCACCTAAATTTCTGGTGGATTTTGACAGATTCAGGATACCATGCTCGAATGAAAATTGTGATGTGTGTTGTTGCATAGGATCCATCAAAACACACCAAATGCATGGTTTAACTGCTGGTGGATATGATGTGGGTTGGTTTTCCTTTCAACTTGGGCTGTGGGTAATTATGTATACCATGATGTTTGCATGAAGGGCTATTTCAATGAGCCATTGTCCGACCCCAGCATTGCTTTGTCTGGATGGGTTATTTTGTAATCTATTGTTTATATGCTGAGGCCTAATAAGCCGCAGTAACAAGCTCCCAACTGCCCAGTACATACATTTTTGTACAGCAGGTGACAGACTTGGCAGGGCTACAAGCAGTATTTACTTGACCACAAACAGAGCCAAGAGTTATTCTGTTGAGATCCTGAATCAACAGCTCAATATGGAGGTATCCTGAATCCATCAAAATCCTGCAGTTCCGCTCGGCTTACAATCCTGAATCCATCAAAATCCCCCAGTTTGTGCAATATGGGTGTATCCTGAATCTGCCGAAATCCCCGAAACAGGGGGGTGGATTTTAATGGATTCAGGTACGTTAGGGTTAAAGTGCTTCAGTAGCTCATTATGATAGATTTTGGTGCCAAAGGTGTAGAGATAGAATGTCATTATTGAACGTTAGATTTAGTTTTTTTCTGCAAAGAATGTAGTATCCAGACGCCACTTCTTTAGTTGTGTACAAAGTCAATGGAGAGTTGAGTGTATTTTCTAAAAAAAATTTGAAATGTTTCTCAGTCCCAGATTCATGTCTTTTCACCATTTTGCAGTGACTGCCCTTCATTGAGATGATATACGATGAAAAAAGTGGCTTCAGGATGCAACATTCTTTTCCATTTTTCTGTCTAATTCATGGCTCCATTCTGTCAGATTTTTTTTAAAGGGAAGTAAAGTCTGAGAACAATTTGATTGACAAATGACACACATACTGTACGTAACATAATGTAAAAAAAAAAGCAACAAAACTCGCATTAAACACTCTAAGAATAATCTTGACAATTTTTTTATGAGAAAAAAACATTTGACATGTTTACATCAATTTGAAGGAGGCCCTCTTGTGACACAGTGAAGGCAAGTGGAACCATACTAATTGTGACTAACAATGACTTAACAGGTCGTACTAATTAGTGTCAACATGTGTCAACCAAAAGGACAACAAAATCTCAATAAGTTTCTTGTCCACTTAATACAGCATCAACAAAGTTTTCTATTCCAACTTAAACTATGTACATCTGCATTGTGTGTGGAACCCCCTCAATCGTGTAGTTTGCGCTGGGATTATTTTGACATTGATCGGACCCAGGCGCGGGATTGTTTTCACGAACCTCGATGCCAGACGGGTTCAGGCTGTCATCTGCGGGTAACACACCCTGATATTTCCGGCCTTGCTCACTGCGAGCGGGTTGCAGACATATTTCCAGCCTCGCTCATTGCATGTTAATCTGTCATCCGTTCCGAATACGGATTCTGTTTATACCCCAGGCCCCACATACAAAAACAAATGTAAAGCACAGCAAGGCACCAGACTATTCCTAATTTGCATACGAATCCAAACATTTTGGAAATGCACACAATCCAATACCAGGGTGAGAGAGCAGGCATGGGTGGGAGCCTACCGGTACTGCTCGACACCCTGAAAACGAGGTGGACAGTCACTACATGTAGACTGTCAAAAGCTGTGTTGGCATTGGACTTTGTGTGAAACGTACGGAGACTATTGTCCATATGACGAGATTAAGTCCAGTGCGGACAGCCAGTAAACTTCTGGAATTTCTAAGCTTTATTTTTTTTGTTCACAAATGAACCCGCCCTGCAATATACAAATTATTGTTAGGCAGCAATAAATCAGATTTTGTAAAGAAATAATTCAGTAACCAAACGTCCGTGTAGTGTGGATTGCTTTGTTTGATGTCTCATTCAAAAATGATTAACTTATTGCTACGAAAATAGCAAGTGCACAAATATATTAAACCTGCTTTTGGAGGTGAAACTCAAAATACATTGTGCTGTACAACAGTAGCTCTAGGAATGCATGTCTATAAACTCCGACCTACAATCCTGGCCAGATCTCGCTGGGCCTCCAACCCCCCCCCCCCCCCCCGGCCCCCGTTCAATGTTGTCTGTCGTTGCGCGGTGTGTGCTCCATCAGCTGGAGAGAACAACATTGACCGGGGGAGCGGGGGAGTGGGTGACCGTGGCAGGCTCAGGAAGTGTCCCAACCATTTTGGCCGGGATTGTAGCGAAACCTATAAAAGCTATAGGCCTACAAATGTATAATTTAATTCTGCTTTAAATTTTTTTTAAGAAAATCTTAAAAATCAATTTGCCCCACAGTTTAGTGAGGCCCCCCCAAAAATACTTCTGCTTCCGGTTTCCCTACCTACCCTATTCTGACAGCCCCTACCCTAATTTTTTTATGGGAAAAATGTGGAAAAAAACACGGAAAACCATC